TAGGCATAGTCGTTATCTACCTTGTTACTACTCATTGACTTCTTCTCATTGTGAGAAGAGTGGTATGACTTTTTTTTGATAATAAACCCATCAATCATTTTTTTTCTAAATTTACTCGCAAAATTTTATTGAGAATTGGTAACTTCGACTGTTGAAAGCAAAATAGTTCCTGTGTGCTTTTTCCTAGATCGATTGATACCTTTTTGATTAATCGAGCTTATTATATTGGAACAATTTATTTTTCCATTTTGAGTCTACGTCAGTGAGGCTAACCAGTAAATATAAATGCAAGTGTCTGCAACGTGCTCTTGCGAAAGCATGGCAATATAGGGAAAGAAATATTTTTGCTTTTCTCTTGATGCATTTCGTTCGTCAACAGTGATGGAGTAGAAAAGAATAAAACGGCAAGTAAAGGGCGCACAGTGCACCATTCAGTCTACTTCGTTTATATCACTCAATGTAAAATACATTTGATGTTACCAAAGTCCTTTTCGATCGACATTTTACAAAGTATAGCAGTCGACATTTGGAGTCGATGAAAGAAAAGAACTACAGATGAGTTTATTTTCAGAATCGACTATATGAGTAGGTAGACAAAAAATATACTTTTTTTAACAATGACTTTGATTCATTTTTTCGTTATGATAAAACAATGTATTTCTTGTTTTCTAATAAAGCCTATTGCTCTTTTTCTTTTATTCAAATGCTATATTCATTTTTGAACACATTGACATAACGTTTTTAGTTTACTCGGGTTAGATGATCAGATCAGTGATATAATTAATCAAATGTTCTCATATGCTCGAGTTATTTTTTGCGTTTACTCCTTGATTTTAAAATATAAACAAATCTTGTCTATGAAGATTGTTTGAAGCTTTCATTTCAAGTGATAATTATCAACTTGTTCAGAGGTTCTCTCAACTGTTATATTTAGGGTTCTCCACTATAAATATTATATTTCTAAGTATGTCGCAGAGTAAAATTGAATTGATATTAATGTAAAAAAAACCAAAATTAGCTCTTCATGTATTGTTCTCTACCTAATGCCTTTATCTCTTTTTACATATTTTTTTTTGCTTTCTATTAATGTAAGTAGTCCAATACAGTAAATATACTACATGAAGGGTTAAAAAAACTTTTTTTTTCTGTTCTGCTATCTTCTATCAGTTAACAACGTATATAAGTACTTCAAAACCTTTTTAGCTATAACGCATAGAATTTCTAATGTCGATGAATAGAGCTAAATACACTAAAAATGATTTGCAAGGTAAAAATAATGAACGTTCGGGAAGAAACCGGTCATTCTCAAGTATAGTATCAGAGAAAGGTAATCAGAAAAAGCGCGGACCAATGGTCAAACGTTATAAAACACTCTTAACATGTGTTGTCTGTCATGGTGATGCTCATGGTAACTCAAAAAATAAAACGAAGATTCTATTAAAATTATTTTTATTCCTTCTAAATCTCATTAGGTTACAATTTTGATGCTATATCATGCGAGTCATGCAAAGCGTTTTTCCGTCGAAACGCATTACGATCATTGGTAAAGATTACTTTTTTGTAGAATATCGTTGCTTTTTTTAAATAAATCTTATGATAATTTAGGAAAAGTTAAAATGTCGTGGTACCGATTCCTGTGATGTGGCATTCAATGTGCGAAAGCGCTGCAAAAGATGCCGGCTCGAAAAATGTATTAAATGTGGTATGATAAATTGAAGTCATTGTTTCATCGTTTTATTTCATTGTTTTGTTTAGGTATGCGAAAAGAATGGATTCTTTCGGACAAAGAGTAAGTTTTCCGTTAAGAAAAAAACATAACTAATCTCAAACAATAGAGAAAATTAGTGTAGGCCACCGGTTAGATATTTAATGCACTGAAAGATCAGCCACCATGTTGATGTAGGCGTTCTGAAAAATGCTCCGGAATATGTGTGTCATGAGCATCTTTCATGTAAATATGATATCTTTAATAATTATTTTCCTCTATGTTGAGTTCATGGAACATTCAGAATTTTCATTTGTATATTTTTCTTCACCATGATTACCTTCTTTAGTCTAGAGCTAACAGAATAGTAGAAGCTGACACATTTTTTTGACGCATAAAGGTGCAGGCTGCTTAAAATATGATTCTGTTTTCATTAAATATTTATTACTTATTATATGGCATACTAATTGAGTTAGTACCCGTAACATAAGTCATGTATTTACGGATTTGCACAAATCGTTGTGAAACTAGACGTATGCAAAGTGATAACTATTCGAGTGCTGTTCATAGCGAATGCAAGTACAATATGTTATATGTAGATCCTGCAGCACGTAGCAGAACCTAAAGAAAAAGCCTACCAGATGGTTGAGTAGAATTTCAATAGATGGGACATGCCTTAAAACTTGATAAGTTAATGGTTTTATTTGACTTTTGGTGATAAAATCTCTTCAACATTTCGACATTACAATTCTACTAGTAATATATTTCTATAAATAGGAGCCCTTTTAAACTATTCACTTTTTATTACACAATTATATTGTATTTGCCACCCACACAAAACTTATGATCCTGACATTGTCTGAAATTATTATTACTTAAAAAACTAATTTCAATTGTTTAGTTTTCATCTGCCTCTCTTTCTTTTTGAAAATTAAAATAATTTCATTGAGTTCATCTTTTACACAGATCTCATGCACTTTGAACTGTTTGTTTACTTAATGGAAAAGCTTTAATCGTAATCTTTCTCGAATACTCAGAAAAATTTTCAGGATTTTAATTACATTCATCTGTTACAGTAAAACAATATAATCACTGTCCGAATAATTATAACAAATGCTAGAAAAACAAGTTGTTCTTATAGTCAGTATAATCGTCAGACTAATTCATATATATGTCACAGTTGACACGAGAATTTCAGTTGACATTGGAATGCGCGAAGCTAATAATTAATCGAAAAAATATTTTTTTCTTCTGTTTTTTCTGCTCGTGAAAATAGATTATAGAAAAACAGAATAGAGAAGAAATATATCTCAGATAAATTCAATGCCCCCATGTCCCCATAGGGAAGAAAAATATACAGAGAGTGAATTAATCATACAGATAAAAAAGAAAATTGGTTTTTCTCAGATAAATTCAATGTCGCCATGTCCCCATAGTTAAAAAAATAGACAGAGTTGAATTATTTAAAAACTCATTGTAAAAAGAAGCAAGGAATAATTCTCAATATAAAAATTTCTAAAATTAGATCTCAACAAAAATTGTATTAAAAAAATTAAGAAAAAACTATTCCAAACTCAACTAAATTCCAAACGCGCCTGCCACGTATACAGGATTCTATGAGGAAAAACCACCTAATTTAATTATATTTAATGGAAATAAAACCAAAACGAATAGATTTGCATGAGGATAGGATTATAATATTATCATGTCTACATATATGTCAAACTTGAAACTTGAATTCCATTGAAAATTGAAATTTTCAATTTTCAACTTTTAAACCAATAGCATTTTGGAGAATCCTGACTCACACATATATCACTATGAGTTGAAAGTTGAAAGTTGAAATTTTCTATTTTCAGCTGAATTCAAGTTTCAAGTTTGTCACTACTGCATGCCTATGGACTAGATTCGTTTTGAATATCAAACGCTATTCTTGTTACTATTATCAAGTATCGTGAAGAGTCGTTTAAGATGGTATTTGATAATCTTAAATCTGAATACCTAATCTATAAGACCACACAATTATTTATAATTAAAAACATTTTGCTTTTAGAAAAGCAGAAAAACTTGTGAAAATCGAAGAAAATCGTCGCCTTAAGCAAATCAATGATAACAATCAGCGAAATGGTTGTTCAGGAAAAAATAATGTAAGTTTTTAATTAATTTATCTATAAAAGAAGAAATTCTTGATTTTCAGTGTAAAAACGAGGATGATCTATCTTTGGTTTTATCACCATTTATCAATGAACCCATTTTAAATGACTTTGATTGGTTTAGTATTCAATTTGTTCAAGATTGCTTTGCTGAAGCTGTTCGATTAAATCAAATTTCTGGTATATCATATTATCCAACAACAAAATCCATGGAATCTACAGCTGATTTATTTCACTTTCCATTACACATATCAGCAATGCGTCTAGTAGCTTATATAAAGCAAATCAATGAATTTCAACAATTGGATGCCGACGATCAAGTTTATCTGGTTAAATTAAATTTATTAACAATTTGCTTTCTTCATTCAATATTTACTTATGATCCAAGAACCGATTGTTACCATGAACGGGATACAATGGATCCAGTAGTATCTGGTAAAGATTGGAATACAACATTAAACAGGCAATTCCATATTGAAATGAAACAAATACGAAATGATTTAATTGATATATTTCAGTCGGATGATATTGTTGTTAAACTATTTTATTTAATTCTCCTATTCTCAAATCAAATGTCTCTAAATCAATCTTCTAAATGTTTACTAACAGATAATAATTCATTGAGTATATTCAAAGGACAAAATGTATTTACCGATTTAGTGTACAGATATTGTTTATATCAATATGGCTTTGATCAAGCACCTATGTTATTTCTACGATATGTTAATAAATTAATGAAAATTCAAAAATTGGTTGATGAAATCAAATACACAATAAACAATTACATTGACATAGGAGAATTATCACTGTTAATGCAAAGCCTTCTTATGTGACTTATAAATAAAATGAGACGTTTTCCATTTATTAAGTATTTTTATTCAAGCGCTGGCACTTGTCTAAATCAGTTCTATGTTAAATTCTACTATTGTTGGTAATTGTAGTTGATCTATTTTTAGTTTTGCTTTTGTCTGTATTGTGCATTAGTATACGCCATTCAATGTTTTCGTCAAAAATGTTATTCTCTTGTTTTTGTTTAAAACGAGTAAAAAACAGATCATGATATAGGAAAAGAAAACAAGCCCATAAGATAATAATATCCAATCATATACTATTTGTGCTGGTTTGTGATAGTGATGAATTTGTACTGTTAAATCTACGTGGTTCGTACTACTATTCCTTCAGTAATTCGTTGGTGATTACCTTTATATATGGTTGAACAAGAATTCAAGTGAGTTCATAGCTATCAGAATCGAGAAACTCAAGTTGCTTTGGTGCGATATGATCACTTGATCAGTTTACATAAATATGAAGAGTGCGAGAATGTCATTAGCAGTACCAATCTAGCATCGCATTCAGAGTACTCACTCACTGATCTTCAATGTTTCGCATAAATATGTATAGCATAAGACGAAAACGTCATCATTTCTAAACATCGCATAATAACCTAACTTACATATCTCAATGCGAAAAAAGTTTAATTTATTTACAGTCACTAGATGATGAGTCAAGGAAATAGTATTTATGATATACGGAAGTAAATTAACCGTACTTGAAAGCTCCATGCATGACGTTTTGACATCTAACTCTCGATACTTCTAGTAATAGTAGTATGACATTTACATCTCTAGTCTTTATATTTCATTCAAATTATCACTATGAAAAAGAATCATTGATAACTGAATAATTAGAAACGTTGCAATATATGTTTTCTAGTTTTCTTAAATAAAAACTTAAAATTAATAGAACTATGAATCTAACAATATGCACTTACACGTTTATTTATTGCAAGAAAATACACAAGTATTTTCATATTGGAAAATTTTCTTACAATAAATAATATACTATCGTAAATGCAACTTCTGGAGAATGCAATGCTGAAATCAGCGATTAATATATCAACTCGAATGTGTTGAAAGAGATTTTTCGTTTTACTCTAACGATGGCCATAAGTCATTGATAACTTAATTTCATCACAGTCGATATACTTAAACAAATCTTCACCAAATTTTTCATGTTTTTTGCTTTTAAATTGCAATACTTCATAACTTCCTAAATATAGGATATCTTTATTCAAATTTCTACAAAGAAATCATTGTTCATTATCGATCAATTTTACTTTGAAGAATAGTTAACGACTCTTCACAGTAAACAAATAATTGAGGAAAATTGAACGACTTTTTCATCGTTCGCAATATTGTCTTCGTATTATATTTGATTGCTAATACGAACAATATCGAGATTACCTTATAGTATTTTAATATGAAGCGGGAGTCATTGGCGCTATTCACAATAGAAACGAAAGAAGGATGCGTCTCGTTTTTATGCATATATTTATTTCTAAATGTTATTCATGCATAAACAGATACAAGCTAGACTCTTACGTTTTTCCCCCTTATGATTATCAATCTTTTTTTTTCACTATTATTCCTGTCCTTGAAAATGTCGATTGGTTTGATCGTATTGGAATAATTTCCAACTGAATACGATCAAATAATGATATTTCGATGTCTTTCACACGTATTTTTCATGGTTTCCGACTCTACAATTTCAAAAATTAGCTCCGCACAATATTACATATGTCAATCGATTAGTTTTCTTTTCACAGACACATGAAACATTCGTCTTTAGCATTACCGAGTATGCAGGTATGCATAAAATATTTCAAAAAACATGATATTATCAAGATTAAATTAATACAGGCATCTTATTCATTGCTTAGACTATAATTAAAACAACATCGAGTTGAACTGTAGTGCAGAACGCATTTAATATCGTCTCAATGAACTATATGGTATTTAATATCAGTTACGTTTAATCTTTAATAATGGTGTTTTAAGAATTATCTCATTATTTCATATTCTTCAGAAAATTTTCAAGAAAAGCATACTTCAATCTTAGTTAATATGTTTAATACAGGAATAGTCATTAATATTGATATCGTCAGTCATGAAACATAGTCTGGAATAGTTTGACTAGTTAAAAGACTATAAAATAGCCTTATTCTTAGTTTATAATTCGAAAATTTGTGTAGAATATTTTAATCATATTATGAATGTAATGACACATTTAGACGTATTGCATAAATAGTCTATTTATCTATATGCACAGTGATTATCGAGTATAAGAAGGTTTTTCAATTAATAGACAGAACTCGAATGTAATATAATCTTTTTTTGTGTGACTGCTAAAGATTGACATAATAGAAAGTATTCCGAAGATCAATATCATCTCAAGCTCTATGTTAACCTCGAATGATTTTCTAAAAATATTGAAACATCGTCATTATGCGAAGTATTTGCTCAAGAAAAAGACTATTCTGTTTCTATGTCTTCAAGTTAAAAGCGCGTCAACGCAAAATTTAATTGCACAAGAGTGAAATAAGATTTATAAGGTATTTAGAGTAAAGAAATTCGTCATTGTTCTTATTAAAAGTGAGTTTCACTTAAGAATTTTCTTAAGTACTGCTAAAAGACAATTATGAAAAAGGTTTATCATGTAAGATAGGATTGTTATCATCAATTTTATAGTCAGTTTTTTCGATAGAAAGAAATTTTCCTTACGAAATCTGTACTATGTAACGATGAATAAAAGTTACAAAAAACTAATTCAAGCACACTTTATTTTAATTGATCAAGTAAAAATCGTATTTATGCTTTTGAGCCTGCAAAATTTTTCATGTGACATTTGGTAATTATTTTCAGCATAGCACTTCCCGGCGGTAATTTAAAATGGATGAATATAATATCTGATATCGTTTGCAGAGCCATCTGAAGTTTAGGTCAATAAACATTTATAAGATTGCACTAACCATTTTTTATCTAATTATATTCGACATAAACTAATGAAAGCATTGGAATAAAGTTGGTGTCGCATTCTAATAAAAGAGCTGATACTTTGTGATAAAAATAAAACAAATTGCTAAAAAATTTGAAACTTTATCAGTTAGTTATGATCATTAAAGACTTCCAAAGAGGTATCTGTTTGTAATGATGCTATAAACTGTGATGATTTGCATGTACATTTGTTTTACTCATTACGATAGAAACTTCTCTATCAGTTCACTTAGTTTTCACGTTATATTACACTGGCAACCCTGTTCTTAAGAATATATTTGCATGAAAGCTAGGAGGATATAAATTTACTTGATTTATGCCCAGATCTCTATTCTGTTTCTTTATCTATCAAATATAATTATATCGATATTTTACTGAAAACAAAGAAAAAAGACTACCGTCAAATTTTCAATGTTTTTGGTCGTTCTGTTAATTGCTCATGATTTTCTAGGCGGCGACCGATGATACTTTTGCGCCAATCAGATGCACTCGGATCTCGTATTTATATAATTGTGGTTTTTTAATACTAACCAATTTCTTGTCGTTTGTACAAGAATAACAGGATTTTATTTTGTTATATAATCCATCGAATTTTTTTGAAGAAATTTCGATTGGACGATATGATTTTGTTGTTTTTTCTAAGTTTTACTCGTAATATTCAACTTCACATTAGACAAAGATAGTTTTTGCATTTTCTTCAATAGATTTCTTTTTTATTAGTCTAGCTTATTGTATTGAAATATTATTTTTTTCTGGAGGGTGTACTGAGACTAAACAGTAAATAGCAATGAAAAAGTTCTCAGCGCACTCGTAGAACACGGGTTCATAGCGAAAATAATATTTTTCCTCTTCGTTCTATGCAACCCGTTCGTCAACAAAGACAAGACGGAGAAAAGAAAAAACAACGGGTACGAAGTGCACCAATCAATTTAGATTTTTATATTAACCCATTCCAACAGACTTTCTATGTTAGTATAAGCATTTTCAAATAACTCGTTGTAGTCTTAAACTTCTTGCTCGTGCACTTGAATTTTTATCTAAGCGTTTCTGTTATTAAAGAACTTTTTCAATTTTACGTTCAAAATAACTCAACTTGTAATAAAAATATATAGTTCCATTTTTTTGTAGCTCGTGCAAACATTCAAACACTTATCTTGAGCAAGAAAGTCATGCACTATGGACATATCTTGAGGTCAAGTTTTGGCAAGCGCATGAATAAAAAAGTTCGACTAGGGTTATCATTAGAATATATTTTGTACACAGGATAGTCATAAAAATATTTGTCTTAATGATCACTATGATTATTATTTTTTTGTTTAGGATGTAAGAGCATTTTTCTTGTTTTCTAATAGATTTATTATTCTATTTTAATATTCAGATACTCCATATTGGACATATTGGTATGAATTTTTAGTTTATTGTAGTTAGATGCTCAGACCAATGATATAGATACATATATATCCTTAATTGATTTTTGTATTCATACTATATATTTCACAGTAAGCAAGTATATGGTGTTTGGAGTTTGTTTTGGGGCATAGCTGACTAAACAATAAGGTAAAAGAAAAAAGTACGAAAAAGCAGCGTTTTATTACTCGTGGTTTACTGAGTGATTTTTGTCTCTTTCGGCATATTATTCTTGCGTGTATTAATATAAATATTGTAATGCCGTAAAATATAACATATGACGGATTAGAAAATATTCCCTGTAGCTTATGTTGTCTACTATCAGTTAAAAGTCTATATAACTATTTTCATCTGTTTTTAGATGAAACATTAAAGAATTCGGATGGCGAGTGCAAAAACAAAAGAAACTGAAACCTATTTGCAAGTTGAACACATTGGAAAGATACAATCATTATTAAGTATAGCATTACCGCAAGATGATACGAAAACTTCTGGGCGGAATCCCAAACGTTATAAAGCACTTTTGATATGTGTTATCTGTAATGGTGATGCTCATGGTAATTATAAATAAAACAGAAAATCTATTAAAATTCCTTTTACTCTTCTAAATTTCATTAGGCTACAATTTTGACGCTATATCATGCGAGTCATGCAAAGCGTTTTTCCGCAGAAATGCATTGCAACCAGTGGTAATCATCACTGTTTCGTAGGATATCGTTGTTGTTTTAAATAAATTTTGTGATAATTTAGGAAAAATTAAAATGCCGTGGTACCGGTTCCTGTAATGTAGCATTTAATGTACCGAAACGTTGCAAAAGGTGTCGTCTCGAAAAATGTCTTACATCGGGTAAGATCAGTTGAAGTTATTTATTTATCATATTATTTCATTTTTTCTGTTTAGGTATGCGAAAAGCATGGATTCTGTCAGACAAAGAGTAAGATTTATGCTACTTAAAAAATATCAGTAACCCAAAATAATAGAGAACATTAGCATAACTCAGCGACTAGCTGTTTATTGAAGCTGAGAATTCGTCATTGGCTCGATGCAGATATTTCAAAAACCATTGTGTAATATAACTATTTATCAACGACAGTCTAAAGCTAAAAGAAAAGTAGAAACTGGCTTAGTTTTTGACACTCTAGAATGTAAACTTATTATAATATGGTTCTGTTTTAATTATATATTGAATACCTATAGTCTGAGATACTAGTTGAGTTAGTCTCAGTAAAATGAGTCATATACTTAAAGAACTGCACAAGTCGTACCTTTCTTAATAAATCAAATAGATAGTAAGAAAAAAAAGTACTACTATTCTTCTGACCACTGTGCTGAATAAATATATTTTCGAATATTGTTCATAGCGGATGAAAATAAATAATTGAGCCTATCATGAATATTACTGTAGTACACCTAAACTGTTAAGAACTAGTACGTCCCTACCACACGTGCGGTGAAGGCGCCACTACCGACAAGTCGATGGGCACAGAGCTCCTGCTCGATGCATCTACCATACTAACATCATTGATATCAGAAGAGCTTAACGTAGATGGAAATAGTTTAAAAAAGTATTTTTCAAATATTGCAATAGTTCACATAACATAATTTTTCAGGTCTTGGCGCACATAGCAGAATCTAAAGAATAAGTTTATATCAGATTGTTGAGTAAACTGTCGATAGACGAGACATCTTTCAAAGATCGAGAAAGTCATTTTATCATCCTAGCAAAGTGTCATTGGCTTATTCTGTTTTTACTACCGAATCTCTCCAGTTTTCGTGATCTCCGTATATCCTACCGTTAAAGTTCTTCTAGTAATATATTTGTACATGCAAGTGATCATGTAAATCAATCGATTTTAATCGAAAATTCAAATGAAATCAAAATCAAAATCATTTGCTTTCTCAGTTCATCTTCTACACACCAAGACACGATGTGGCTGAAATCGTATGTCTGTTTATTGGAGAAGTCTAAATGAAAATCCTTGTCGAATTCTCAGAAGAAACTCCGGGATATTAGATACATCTTTTACATTAAAACAACATACTTACAGTTTGAATAATTAGAACACATATTATAAAAGCCAGTTATTATTCTAGTGATTATAATCTTCACACAGGCTCATATGTGACGAATTATACGAGACCATACAAACTGAGTTAATTATATTTAATTAAGATAAAACCAAACCAAAATGACTAGATTGACATAAAGTTAATGTCATATATTATTGTGCAAATGTACATAATTGTTTTTAGTACACATGCTGTTCTTGTTACGATAATAATAATGTATCTGGAAGAGTCGTTTAAGAAATGACTTCATAATTCTAAGTCTAAATATATTTCATTCTACCTGACAGTGATTTTAAAACTATACATTTTTCCTTTTAGAAAAGCAGATAAATGTGCTAGAATAGAAGAAAACCGTTGTCTCAAGAAAGCGCATAATAATATTCAAGAATCTCTTCAACTTGAAATATGTGATGTAAGTTCTTACTTATCTTATCTATAAAATAAAAAAGTTCTTTATTGTTAAGTCCAAAATTGATGATGATTTAACATTTGATTTATCATCATTGATCAATGGACCCATTTTAAATGAGCTCGATTGGTTTAGCATTAAATCTATTCAAGACTGTTTTACTGGAGCTGTTCGATTAAATCGAATAGCCAATATATCTGAGCAACCATTAACGCAATCCGTTGACTCTACGGTTGAATTATTTCGTGTACTATTACGTTTATCATCCAGGCGCCTGATAAGTTATATAAAACAAATCAATGAATTTCAACAATTGGATGCCGACGATCAAGTTTATTTGGTTAAATTAAATTTATTAACAATTTGTTGTCTTCATTCAATATTTACTTATGATCCAATAGTCGATTGTTATCATGAACGGGATACAATGGATCCATCATTTTCTAGTACAGATTGGGATAAATTATTGAATACGCAATTTCATATGAAAATGAAACAAATACGAAATGATTTAATTGATATATTTCAATCGGATGATATTCTTATTAAACTATTTTATTTAATTCTTCTATTCTCAAATCAAGTGTCTCTAAATCAATCTTCTAAATGTTTATTAACAAATAATAATTCATTGAGTATATTCAAAGGACAAAATGTATATACAGATCTAGTATATAGGTATTGTTTACATCAACATGGTTCTGAGCAAGCACCTATATTATTTCTACGATATGTTAATAAATTAATGCAAATTCAAAAATTAGTCGATGAAATCAAACATTCAATAAACGATTCTATTGATATAACAGACTTATCACCATTAATGCAAAGTCTTCTTGTCTGACTTATCAGTAATACTTGAAATTTTCTTCTTGGTTTCTACTCAATAAATTTTCATTCGATGGGAGTGCATCTGCGCAAAGCACTTCTATGTTAAATTTCAATATTTTTAGTACTTGTGCTGAATTATTTTTAGTGGTTTTGTACGATTGCATATTTGAAAACGAACGTAAAAGAGAAGATAATATAATATAGGAAAAGAAAAACACAGCACCACATCATTATGTGTCTGTTTTCTTTGCATATTTAGATTTGTTGGATGAAAAACTGTAATGAAATAATAACTAACCAGAGCACTGTTCGATGTTTTCTTTTGTGTGAAATCAAAATAATTTTCATATATGCGACTAAAATCAAGGATTTCTAGGCGTATTTTCATTCTGTATGGCGACGATAAGTACAGGCAAAAACAAAGAAGCATTGTTGTAGAATTTATATTCATTGCAAATGACCATTATGAAAGTAATCCGTACGTAGCATGGTTATGTTTTAAAATAGCACAAAAGCTTAAAATACGATTCTCATAGTTAATTATCAAACAGAGCTTTAATTACATCTTTCTGGGGTTAATTATCTGAAAAAACTAGAATACAATCTCGTCATATGTATATGAATGCCTAACACGTCGTATGTTCGATACTTGAGGATTAGAAGAGTGATTATACCGAGCTGGCAAGGTGGTACATAAGATTACTTCTATAGATACAAATTACAGGACAGAAAAATGTTCAACTGAAGTGTTTGAAGACTTTTTTCTTGATATAGAAATTGATTCGTTTTGTGGGGAAAGATTGTTTAGTCTAACAACAGCTACTGATAAAAATACGTGGCAATGCTTATTAGCAACATTTTAAATAAATGGAATGTTTTTCTGAAAACTATTTTTTATAAAAAATTTCGAAGTTTTATCGTCTTTTTTTCTTTGATTTTATCTAAAATATTCGCAAATATGCATCATTCGCTTGCATCAGTAGTACATTCTATCCTTCGAAATTACTTATGGTGTGGCTGTATAACAATTCATTTGAATTACTACAACTTATCTTTGAAGTACGGATTGTTAAAAGAGTGGCATGTACGAATTTATCAAATACGTTTTAGTGACGTATCAGCAGTTCATTGTGGAAAGAATTTAAATTATCAATGGTGTAATGGATAGAAGAGACCATTTTGCGGAACTCAAATATATTTTCGAAGAAAATAGTGAGTGTAAATTTTAAGGCGAAATTTTTTGTGGTTCACGTTCTCCCTTACAGACATCTCAACATTAACAATTAAAATCTGCCTTCGTTTACTAGATATCAGGATAATCAGGGCTCTATGTCACTCGTCATCATTGCAGACACTAGCAACGAATGTATGCTCGTATGACAGACATAAGCAAATCGGTAATGAACTAATTGCTGATGTTAAAAATAAGGCCAATTTTGACGAAAGAATTTCACGTCACCTATTTTTGCATTAACATCATGCGTCTAAAGCATATCTGTGAATTCTACATTTTAGCCCCAAACGGGCTGCGCTGATAAGATTTTTTTAAATAAATAACAAATAAGAAATCTTTTTTTTATGCGCTAAACTCATAGATCAAAGGATTTTACTTGGTTCTTATTATCTTAGTGTTGTTTCTATACGCAAAGGTTAACATTAAGGGTCTGATTGCATGTTATATAGTTCCAATATGCGGGCAAAGCAAAGTTATATAAATCCTAAAAATGTTTCATCGTATTGAATGTAGCATAATATATTTTATAACAGCTAAACATAAAAATAAATTATCTCCTCCTACAAATAATAATCAAAGAAATTTTACTCGATCAGTAAAAGTTTTTCAGCATTTCAGCCATGAAGCATAAACAAATGTATGGTGCAAAATACTCACGTGATTATCTCGTTCGATATTAATCAGTTAACTACTAGTAAATATTCCTTTCATATCACGTTTGAGTCTGGATCGAATCTTATCATTCCTCCTTACAAAAAACTGATTTCATTCGAATAAATAACTGATAATTTCGTCAAATTTAATGATAAGTTATCGTTATGTTTAAAAACAAGATATTTGAAATCGTTCGTGTCATTATGAAAATTCAAGGCGGTAATTAATATGAAAACAAAAATACATTGGCATAGTTTCCTTTGCACTATTTAATAAATGAAATAGATAAGACGTGTTCCTATAAAGCAATCAAAAGTGTGCTTCAGCCAATTTTTACATTAATATCCTACTAATATTAATATTTATCAAGGAGAAAAAGTTGATCGTCATCAGTGCCAATCAACTGTTTTCTTCAATAGATATATACGTTTTTCACGAATTCAATACATTGAAATTATAATTACAAAACAAGTAAGATCATTTCACAATGAAAACTTGAAAAATAGTAAAAGTATTCTTTAGAAACCGCGAACCAAGCTGTACAGGAGAAGAGTCCAAAATAACTCAACACTTCATGTAGGTTCTGTTTTACATTATTATCTTTAGTAAACTATTTGCAGTGGATACGCATGAAAGCTAAGATGAAGATTCTCTAGATGATGAGAACATCGATTTATTTTTTTCTAATTTCAAGGTCATCGTATATTTCTCATAATTCTAATATTCAATAGATTAATCCTATGATGTCCTATGTTTGCAGTATTAATGCAGTTTTTCAGAAAAAAACGAATTCTCTTTTTTTTAAATCCAAATATTCTCTGAAATTCATCATGCATCTTGGTGTAAATATCTTAAATATGCTCTATTCTCAAGTGGAATCGTTATAGTAACCAAGGAATTACAAACTTCTTCATTTTTTTGTCATAAGATAGCATCGAGCCAAGCAATTTTTGCTACAAAGTCAAAATTCATTTTCTTGGCCTGTCAAGTGAGATATTAATTGACTTGTCAAATTTACGTCTCATGCTTCTGGAAAAATTAGAATTAAAGCTAAAAAAGTTTTCTATCAATTATTTGTATACTTTGTCATCGTCTATACGAGCCTGACAGACAAATTACAGGCCTTCGGAATGCCTGCCATATATCATATAGTATTAACATCGTTTTGTACCACAAATCATAGCTAATTTACGGTAGATATCAATGTAATGTAGAATTACAGATAGCTATTCTTTAACCTTCTTTCATAATAATTGAACGATAACGCGATTAACATATTTTAAACATCGACAGGGTTAATGATAGATGATAATTCATAAATTAAAACTGATATTGATGGATTTTCTGCCCTACAACCGCAGCAGCTCTTTCGCGCTTGAAATCTATTCTCATCAAAGGTTACAGTATCAAATTTGTGTCCTTTTTAATATTGTGACATGCGTTAAATGCCATAATGATAAAAACGCACTAGGCAATTAAAAAGATTCGATTTTTCCTTGAATTTTAATCCAATCCGGTGTTGATGATACAGAGATAAACACTGAGTTAAATAATCCTACGATGTGAAGTATTTTTTGTAAAGTTCTCGACATAGCTATGTAAGATACCACCTATATAGTTATGGAAAATTTAATATCGATGACACGACATATTGTTGTGTAATATCATAAAGTGAAGCTACGAGCAAACGGCTTCTTTCAGATATTAATCTTCTGTCAGTCATCGGCATTAAGTATAAAAGGCCTCTAAAAATTTATCTTTCTTATTTTTTACGAGGAAACAACTTTGTAGACAGAAAGAATTTCCAGAATCTTTGAGTTAGCATGAAAACAGTGGTTAAACGTTTTTCTAGAAGCCCTATTTTATATGCATATAAAATATCAAAGATTTTTTTCAATGACAAGCGATATAGTCAAAAAATTATGCAAATCTTTTAATGAGAATGAATTGATCAGATTTGCATTTATTTTCAGCATATCAAGCAATCACACATTTGAAAACATCGTTTGATGTATGTTATTGCGTTAGTTCTCCAAAATAGATATTACAAACGTCATCTTTTACTGAAGATTCAACTAATTATTATGATATTAGTTGACTAATATGCATGTTGAAAAACAAAAAATAAAAAATTGAAATAGAGGAAGACGTTCTACTGGATGAGTTTTTATGATACAAAAATAGAATGCACAATATTGTAAATTTCTTTAAAAACAAATACATCTGCATACATGCCATTAGTATGGTTCACTTGGTTGAAAATTTATCTTTAGCAGTGAAAACTAAACATCTAAGGGGAGAAGTAAACGTGAGATTAAACACAATAATTATGGAATTGATTACTCGTTTTTTGTCATAATGTACGAATTAGTTTATATTAATTGGCCTAAAACTCAAAATCTTTGTAATTTTAAATCTAATTAAAATTTACATTAACTTTAAAGGATTTTTTCTTAAAAATTGCTCACTGATGAATGTAACAAGTGGCTTATTTACCTATATGAAGCAAAAGCCGTAAGGTATTTCATAGACATACGATCTGCTCTTTTTTTTGTGTCAATATCTGAATTGGACCAAAAGAGACCATTTTAAAGAAGTCGTGAAATTGTGCAATAAAATGTTTTTATATTTTCTTGTGATTTGTAATTATGGAATATTGTTGTCATAATAACATTCTCATCGATTTAACTCTTAGAAAAAAAAGCAAGTTTAAGATTAATTTCTAAACTATTGATTCAACAGGCAATCGTACTGATGAATCATCATTGTATCGCATTTATGTGAAAATGAAATTTTTGATATTATTGACATCAATAAAATCTAGAATAATATTCATTTAAATTTTTGTCAAATAGATCGTGTGGAAAATATTCTGATAACAACATGTGGCATTCGAAGTTGAATCTAATGCAACAACAATATAGATGAATCATTTGTCAGAGTCGTAGAGTAGAACTGCAACGAATATGAAAGCCTTCTTCTATAGTATAAAAACAAATAATGCTTGTATTTGTTCGTGACAAAAAAAAAGAAGTTTTTGTATAGAAATAAATTATTCTGCATTTTTTATTTAATGTTTTCGCCTCATTGAATTTGAATTTTGTGGGTAATTAGCTTATGATTCATTCTAATACGTCGCAATTTTAATATCCTATCATATTCAAAGGCTGTCTTGTTAATCCATTATTAATGATTATGCGTTTTAAGCAATCCGAAATCATATAGATTACGTAAGGGAAACGTTCGCGTGATATTTATTGTATTATCAGTTACTACCAAACAACAAAATTCTGTTTCTTTTTCTTTTTCTTATCGTTCGTATGTAAACAAGGAGAAAAACGAAAACGATAATTAGACTAGCAAAAAATATCATATTATATTTATAATGATGTTGATAGCTCAAGTTGTTTTTCTAGTTTTACGACATAGATTTAGTTAACAATACTATTGTTTCTTTTGTTCTCAGCGCAGAATATTGATGAGATCTATTTAAAATGTGACTACGTTTGAAATAATCTAAAAGTAAGTTGAAAAATATTTTTCAGCAAATAGAACAGGAAAGGAAACAAAAGACAGCAAGATCGAGAAGAAGAAGAAGAAGAAAATAGAAATAAAATGAAGTGTTAGTCATAGAAGCACAGAAGGTAAAAGAAAAGAATAATCTGTTTGGTAAAGATGATTCGAACTATTCGAATTCGATGTATGCAACTAGCTGCCGAGACATCATTAGAAGACTAATACATTTGCTTTCTCCATTTCGCGTATTTTCCTTTTCTTTTCTTGCCTATATCTCGTGTACTCTATGAATGGAAGATGCGTAACTTTGTCATTCCTTTTCGAGAAAGACTACGCATAGTCTTGATAAAGAAGCTTTTGTTTTTTGTCAAAAGAATATAGATTGTTTTTCGTTTTTTTATATATAGATATAAATGAATACTCTTTATATGATTAATAATTTATTAATTTTTCATCGTTTAATCAGAAATAAAAAAATAGACACGGGCAACAGATTCCGAAGACGATGTACCAAATATGTTACATGATAATCAGCTCATAACGGGCTCTTCGTTGGAGGATCGTACTCCCTTATCTGAAATGAATATGAGGCGTAAGAAATTAACAAATAAACATCCAAAATTTTCTTTACGTTGTATTGTTTGTGGTGATAATGCATTTGGTACAATAAATACCTTTGTGCTTCTTGTTTTGATAATATTTATTTTGATTTGCATTAGGATACAATTTTTATGCTATTTCTTGTGAATCATGTAAAACACTTTTTCGTCGAAATGCGTTGGTAAACATCTTTATGTTTTGTTGGCACGAATTAATACAGAAAAAATAAACTTCGAGCAGATCAGAAACCGTAATCATTTCAAAACAAAAATAAATCAAGGCTATGTCATATGCTGTAATGTAAGTCAAATAGGATATAGTAAATATTTGCCAAAAAAAGTCGAGACGATCTAGAAGTTAAGCAGAACGTTTATGTTGTAAACGGATAAAATATAACGCTCTCCTTTTTTCCATATCCGGGGCTCATGCACGATATCCATGATTCATTACCGTTGTCAACACCAGTAGAGATATAACGAGGAGACGTTATTTTAAAATTTCTCAACTACAATTACCGATCGCAAAGACAAAAAAGTCATGATAAGACAATATATCCTTGCCTGTATACAACACATGATCTATTCAATTATATGTTTCCGACGACATTGATATTCTAGAAGAAAGATGAAAATGTCATACTGTATTCCCTCTAGCAAAGACTAATCATTGCAAGATAAACATATTCTCTAGGTCAGAAATAGTTCTTTGTTCATAAAGAGAAACAGACGACTTTATTAGCATCGCTACCGGTCGAATCAATAGAATGAAAAACTAAGTCTTGTTTTAGACGAAAAAATAGCTTAAGTCCGTTTTATTGTGGCAATCGATAATATTCAATTTTTCTATTACAGTAATTATTTTAATTTAGTGTCAAGTTAAAACTAAAATTTGGTAAGTTACTAAACATTCATGATTCACATTAGCGCTCTATCTTCTCATTGCCTGAGCGTACTGTTATTTTCGAAGAACACATCGTTGAACTGACAAGGAAAGAAACTGAAGTCTTTTGAATTTCTGTTTGTTGCTATCAGAAAAAAATCGCGGGGTATTTATTGATTGTAAATGAAAATAAAATCCAGATATTCCAAAAGAATTTTTAGTTTAGTTTCGAACAATATTCAATTGTTTTAAAAAAGAGTTAGTTTCCTCTCAACTAAATCTATAGGCACAAGTCATTTCTATTAGTCAACTTTCATCTTCTCTCTCGACTATCGTGACATTGAGTAATGATCAGAATGAAAATTCATAATGAGGAATACATGTCTGTGAGCCCACATCAGCAATTGTATTAAACCAAGTCGCACTATACTTTCAAAATTTATGTAGTAAATTCATACGAGTGTCTTTCTCTGCCATTGCAAAAGTATTAATAGGATTATCATTGATGAAATATGAAGTAAGACCGAGACCCTACGAAATATTTGTATGTAAATAAATAGCGAACCATAATACTATCGTCAGTTACAATGATTCTAATTCTTCCAAGATAACATAGAGATATGCCATAGTCATGTGGTTCCTATAAGCTCAGTAGTTCATATGGATTCAGTATTGAAAAAGCGTACTTAGTACGATGTAGAGACGTGCGCAGGACATCCTTTTTTCTCCTGTCCTGTGCACGTCTCTGGTACGATGGAATATCGAATAAATTTACAAAAGTAACCGTGTAAAAAGTCAAGTGAAAATGTGTCATTGAGTAAGAAAAAAGATTTTAAGATTTGGACACACTATATAAAGTGTTATTAAAATTTAGAGCACACGCTCCTCATATGTTTATTTTATTATAATAACTTTCAATTTAATTGATTTCTCAAGCATTGTCGACTGATAGTGTTCATCTATTGAATGTCACAAATGTCCCGTATTTCATTACAGATATTCTGCCGTTCTATTAGATACTTAAGAGATTATGAGTTACAATATACTCATCGTGATTATTAATTTTTCAAAGCACGAAAGAAATATTTTTGGCTCATAGTTTGAAAGCATGAAATCTAGTATCTAACCGGATGAGCCAAAAAAACACTGTTTCATGAGATTGCTTGGTTTGCTTCGTGTTATTCGATGGAGTTTATGTGATAATTAATTCAGCATAAATGTTTTTTCCAAGTTTTCAATTGACTTGCATGACTATCGTATATTATCATATCAGCTTCTCTATTTTCTTTCTATTTAAGCTGACTAATTGAACAGCTGTAATTTTATATGACGTAGTTACATCAATTCTAGTTATTTGAGCACTTTTTAAGGACTGAAATTTAAGAAATTTTCAAGGTTACAAGCTAAGGTTACTCATATTTGTGAGAGAAAATGATCGTTAACTTTTATTATTTACAGTTTTTTTTCATTTGAGAGTAATACTAGAAAAACCGAGGGATTACTAAAAGTTTCACTGATATACTCTATAGTATGTGAGCCTGTCAACTAGAAATAAATCTGATGAAATCTATGCAACTATGCTAAATTAGCACCATAAAAGAAAAAAATCTTTCTACCAGCTTCTCTAAAGCCATCATGACCAAGGCAGATATCCTACTATGAAGGATTTCGTAGAAAAACATATCGTATTAGCAACCGAAAAACTGTTATAATTACTTTCCAAAAAAGCCACGAAAGGTTTTTCTTGAGATTATACACAAAAATACGTGTTTCATCAATCACGTAATTGTATTTTGTGAATAGGAACTCGATAAAACTTTTTATCACAAGACGAAAGTATGAATCGATTTACTTGAAACATTTTGTAAATTTTTGATTTAGTTGTATTTATAAAACAAGAGGTTTCACAGATTGCCTGTAAGCTTTATATCTCAAAGAATAGGGGAAAATGTCAATGTAAAAATCGTGTCTGATTTAAAATAACTTATGAATCTGTTTTCAATCCCTTCTAAAGGAGGGTGGTCATTTTGCGGATACATCGACCCCCTCGAAAAATGTGATTTCACCTGTTTAAAACTCTTATAGACAACTTTTCTAGTACATTTATTCCTTAAACCCTTGTATTTACAGCGACTAACCCGGTAGAATCACCCCACGAATGTTACATGTACATTGAGTCTAACCGTTAATGGCAATCAGGCTTTTCGTCAAACAAAGGGTTTATTGATCGAGCTGATATTTTAGCATGGTTCAATAGAGCTTTTCAAGCGGTACAAAATAATATAAGAATATTAAAAGAAAAACACTGCCCGCCAAAAATTTCTCGACAGATATCAAGGTACGTACACGCTTTATTGTTTTTTTTCATTGGTAGTTTTCAGATTTCGTTCGAAAGTCTACTAACTGGGGGAAACTAATACGATATTCAAAATCAGCGTCCGAAATCGAGTGGATACGTAAGCGCTTCAGAGAATTTCATTGACTTTTATTTGTTTACAATATTTCCCCCCTGGTTCCCCTCAAGGATAATTGAAAAATTCAACTTGATCAAACAATCTTTAAAGTTATAGAATATAATTTTAACGATATAAAATGAGGTGAGNCGAGGGGGTCGATGTATCCGCAAGACGGCCTCCCTCATTTTGTGTAAAATGATAAGATGGAAAATATACTTCGAGTATTTATTATATTCAATTTAACATGGCAATTGATTTTTTTACAGTGGAAGTAAAAGGTAACTAATTCAGGTGAGTGAATTATCAGTTTTTAGAATTTTTTCTCAAAAGAAATCTTTCTAGGATAATCTTCATTGTCGTGGTAATGGCGATTGTGAAGTAACTATTGAAAAAAGAAAACATTGGAAAAAAATGTCAATTAGATAAATGTTTCAGAATGGGTAAATAAATTCATTTATTTCCTATTAATGTACATCATTCTATTCTATTTCTAGGAATACGCAAAGAATGGATTCTTTCCGAACAAGAGTATGTTCATTTTCATTATTAAACAAATAATCCGAAATTCTTCAAAGGTTAAACTAACTTTCATTTTTGAAAAAATAAAAACAAATTTTTGCTCTTTGGAAGAAAATGTTTTTTCTATTGATAAAAAGTAGAGCATACGTGTGGTAGCATGTGAATAAGTGATCTGATAGAATTTAATTTATATTGTAGAGTATTTGCTATGGCTCCTTTGTTTTCATGTCTATAGCTTTTTCGATAATATTTGCTCAGAAGAAAGCATGATTACTTTATGAATTACATAGATTATAAATGCGATTATATTTGAATATCAATAATTAAAAGAGTTCACGGTCGAAGAAATCAATGGTATAGAATTGGCAGAAAGAAAAAACGTCGAAAGTAAAAAATGTCGAAAATGCTATAGATAGAGTCTAAACCCAGCTTTTCAAGAATCCTATATGGACAATCTGTAGGAGCATCAGTCGTTGTACTTTCAAATGGATAGCGTATGTTCAAACTCGATTTATAGCACTTTTTACGTTTTTTCTTTCTGCTAATTCTATGCGTACGGAAGAAATACTTTAATGTATTTTTAGTATACACCGAAAGAAACGTAAAATTGAACACAATCGTCGTCAAGGGCAAACACATGAAGACGTTCAAGGACGACGACGACGACGACGTTACTTTAAAAAGGTAGGTCACAAGTGATTTTAATGATTCGCACATTTATTTATGAATTTTATGTTATTCGATTTCTAGACGAAATTTGACGAAAATCTACCGATAGATCAAGTTCATCCATTGAATATTGATGATCAATTACTTATGACAGTGTCGAATTGGTCAAGAATTCATCAAGTTCAATATGCTTACAGTCAAGTAATTACATTGAATAAAGTAATCGGTGCTCCTCTTTTCCAGCAACGCAACCGATACATTCAACTCTTGAACTTATTCGAATTCCAACTTATCTAGCATCGATACATCTTATAACTTTTATGAAGCAAATACCTAAATTTGACTTATTGGATACAGAAGATCGTGTTACGCTTGCAAAACATAATTTACTGGCAGTTGTTTTTATGCATGTCGTTCTATTGTACGGTCCAATTGCTGATACTCATCATGAAATTAATACAGAAGATCCGACATTTCAAGGCAAAGATTGGATTGAAATACTGGCCGAAGGATTCTATCATAAATTAACAAATATATCAACAAGATTAATTAAAATACTTCAGTACGATCGAGTTATTGTTAAAATATTTTTATTACTTTTATTTACGAAAGATTTTTGCGGCTATGATATTAGTCATGAGCCATCATTAAGAAACTCTTTAGTTGTATTAAATATACAAAATCGTTACCTAGAAACACTTTATAAATATTGTTTGCAACATGATGGGTTGACAAAAGCAATAATTTTATTTACGCGTGCTCTCAGTTAAATATATTCCATTGAAGGTTTAGCTGTGTATTTGAAAGACTTTGTGCATAATCATATTGATGCAGCACAGCTATCATCATTGATGCAGACTGCTTTACAAGCGACAGGCTAAAAGTGATTGATATTAATTTTTATGTATAAATATAGTTTTTGTTTTGTAAATAAGCATAACATTACGGTGGAAAAGAAGAAAAAAAAACACTTTGTACTTTTTCTATAAACCCTCTCAGGTTAATCATGTGCCATGATGGACAACACTTTTTTCTTTCTTTCTTTTTCTTCTTTCTTTTTTTTCTTTTCTTTTCCAACTACTGCTTTATTTTGTGTAGTTCCGTTAGAACGCTGTCGTCACATGAAAGGTGAATGTACCCGTGCTGTATTTTTTATGCGTATTTATTTTTATTATATTATTTATAACCAAAAAGAAAATTTTTTGACGATTCAATAGTATCCCGTGGTTGATCTGTTAGTAATGAAATTTAAAAAATACGAAGAATTCTAAATTAATTGAAGTACACTAAAGCAAAACAACGTTTCTATTTATATCTGTTCGTAGAAAATGAGTGAAATCTATCAAAATAACTATTGCACACTATATAAAACTTTTGTTTTTTCTAACAAGTCCTCTATTCTATTAAAGAACTAAACCCTCAGTGTTTTAGAATGATTATATATCGAAACTAAGGAACAATTTTGCGACGGACGACTGATTAATACTTGTTTTGCAAATAGATAAGAGAGAAAGAAACAAGTGATAGTATTTTGTTTCGGTGGTCATCCCTATTTTTGAAATGACTCAAAAATGCTTGTTTTTATATGTTCTCTTTTCTCTTTTTGTTATCAATCGGACGATATCAAATAAAACTACAACATGAGGTTCACGTATTTTATTAGGGTTTAACGAAAGAACATTGATTCGTTCTGTCTCTTCGTTATTCCTCTTTCTTTTATTATTAGCCACCTTAAAATATACTTTGCTATTATTTCTATTCTAGAAAAAAAAATTCAATAGAACATCAAAAAATAACATCTTAAGGAAACTGAATATTTTGTAATATTATAAAGTTTAGAAAAAACGTCTTTTCGAAACGTACAGATTCAAATGTATCTCAATAGATCTCTGTGAATTGACCGACATCTCAATTTTTCATATTACTTTGTAGTCCTCAATAAATAAATAGCATGATGCAAAAAAGTACATTGTTAACTTCGGCCTTGACAGAGTACCCGGAGTAATTATCTACAAACTCTATTACCCCGTTATCGTTCTTCGCTTTTTTTCTTCTATCGTAGCCATTCTGTTTTATATTCTTTCTTTCTCGAACGAGACACATTCAAGTCTATTTACTCAATCTTTTTTTTTCGTTCTTTTCTTTTCTGTGGTAACTTGCATTCGCCTCCGTTGACTCCAAGGCAGAAGGTTTTTTGTGCAAATCATTATTCAAAATCGTAGCTAGTAAACTACATGATGACTCAAGACTATATAAGACATCGCAAACGACCGTTAAATCTTTCGTATGCTCTCGATACAGGTAGAGACTCAGATATAATCGATTTTCTATCTTTAATAATGACAACAATGAAATAGATCAACAACGTACGACCAATATTCGTAGGAAACCAGAATATTTAACTTGTAGTATATGTGGAGGATCAGCACATGGCTATAATTTTGATGCTATTACATGTGAATCTTGCAAAGCTTTTTTCCGAAGAAATGCGTTAAAACCTGATGTAAGCAAAAATAGCACACGATTTTTTGGAATCGAATCTTTGCATATTTATCTTTTCATTTTTTAGAGTGAATTTAAATGCCGAATCAATACTGGTAAATGTGTTATTACCGAATCGACAAGAAAACGATGCAAAGCTTGTCGCTTAGCTAAGTGCTTAGAACAAGGTCTATTGTTTGTTTGTTTACTTTTTTCTTTGTTTTCACTTCTTTTTAAATAATCTGCTCTACATTTCTTTTTCGGCGTATTCAGGAATGAGAGCTGACTGGATATTAACTGACGCAGAACGTGTAAAAAAACGAAAGAAAATTGAAGAAAATCGCTTACTTCGCCAGACAATCTATCCTGATTCATCAGACACCGATGAAGTACGATAGACAAATATTTTTGAGTCTAATTTCTTTTTCTATTAATTTTATTTATCCTCTAGATGGAAACAATAAAAAGAAAGGATCGAACATACGACAATGAACAAGGCCATGATACTAACGGTGATAGTTCTGTTTCATTATCACTTATGCCAGTAGAAAGAGCATTATTATCACCTGAAGATTTAATTAAAATTAAAAAAGTTCAACAAGCATATTCGGATTCTGTTCGTTTAATATCACTACCAAGTCATATTCCATCATATCCACAATTAGTACGAATAACTGAAGCATCAGATATGATCAATATTCCTGCGAATATTCAAGCAACGCGTCTTATAACTTATTTCAAACTTTTACCAGAATTTTCATCTCTAAATGAAAATGATAAATTGATTTTAATTAAATACAACACATTTCCATTAGCCTTTATTCGTGCAGCATTAACTTACGATGTAGCCGCCGATACTTATCATGAACCTAATACAGATGATTGCATTTTTGCAGGCACGGATTTAATTAAATGTTTTGGCTTGCATCAATATGAGCAATCAACACGTTGTATACAAAATTTATTAATTGCTTCAGCAAATGATACGCTTATATTACAAATACTACTGGTTGTGATGATATTTTCCAAAGGTTCATCAATATGCACATATGAAGATGAAGTTGAACCTATAGCAGAAAATATTTTAGCAATTTTTACGGCACAAAATCTATTTGTTGATTTATTATGGAAATATTGCCAAAATAAATTTGGATATTCAAAGACAGCTAAAATTTGGCTGAAACTTACAATGTCCTCGATGGATGCACATTTTCAAGCATCTACAACAAGACATGATTATATAAAAGTCGATTCTGTTGCTAGACAACTTTTGCCGCTGATGAAATCAGTTATGTTAATCGTTTAAAACTGAGAAAAAAGGACATTACCAGTGTTTTGTATAAATTTATCTATGTAACGTTTTCTTCTCGTTGTCATTTTCTTTCGGTTTTTAAAAGAAAGATATCAGTCGTGTATTTTTGGTGATACATTTATATCGAATCAAACTGTTTGTTAAACCAGTTAGATAAATAAAATAAGAATAAATCGCAATGACAATAAACATAATCGATTGCTTTTCGATTCACGGACCGTGCCTTTCTTAAATAAAAGAATGATGATGTATAATTAATGAGTTGTTGTTTCATTATTTAATATATCATTATGATTGTAGGCAAGTCACAGGCTGCATTAATCAGATGAATGATAATTTGAGAAAATTATTTCTTAAAAAAGATTCATTTCCTTAGAGACAAACGAGCTATTGTTAATTGAGAAAATAAAGATGGCACATGCTTTTTTAACCCCTCCACTGGTTGACCTACTATTCTATCGCAAGAAAAAGTATCTACCTTATGAAGGTACTCATTAATTGGCTAGAGAGATATTTTTCATTAAAAAAACAAAATTAAACATCCCGCTGTATTAATCGCTATTATAGTTTCGTTAAACGAAGAGAATATAAGTCGTTAATAATACTGCTTGCAATCTTGACTAATTTAAACTTCTTGTTTACAGTTCAAGATTAAAAGTACTTTCTTTTTTCCTTCTCGTCCTTTCTGGTGTTCTTTTTGCATCACGAGGTAGAAAAGGAAAGAAAGTAAATAATATTTTCATTAAGCTAACAATTTTCATATGAGTATAAGAGCTGCATAATTATGTGTTCATTTACAATTCAAAATTTGATTACACATAGTTGTTTAGTTGCTGTTGTTTAATGAAATCTCAAAATAAAATTTTTCTGTTGTTCAATTTTTACATTTACTGCTTGCCCAAGAATATTTGTAACGTGTCGCTTTTGTGTTTTTTTTATCCGAAGTATTTATTAAAATATCAAAACGATCCACAGGCAACGCTTGTTATTTTTCCTTGCAAACCTTCTCTTTGTCTTTACGATATTATTTTATAAGCGTCTGCTCGTGTTTCGAACACGTGAGTCCATCTTATTTGGTAGGATATCTATTCTCTCTTTCGTTCTATTTCTTTGACTCTCTCATTCTCTCTCCCTCTATATTTTTCTCTGCAATCACCCCATACAACCCCTGCCGCTTTTATTCCGTTTTTTTCTTTCCTTCACAGCATACTAAAGACGCTGCATTTGACGAGTCACTTTGAGTTGATGTGAATATGCGCACAATATCGAAGTATTTACAGTATAATCATCATTTATAAGCATATTTTTTTTCTGTTGTAGTTGATTACCAAAAACGAAGATATTTCCATTGAATTGCAACAATCGTTGATTACAAATGCAGACAGATTATAGAGTGCCTACAACAAATACAGCAGCAATGCGTGAACAACAACATCGAAAACGATCAATTTCGAGCATCAATTCTCGTAAACGTGATCGTCATGACCTCATCTGTGTTGTATGTCTTGCGCCAGCAATGGGTAAGTACACATGACTTCTAGCACACAATCACATGGTGAAAGTTATCTTTCTTTCCTTCATGTAGCATTTCTTTAAACGTATTATTTTGTAGGTTATAATTTCGACCAAATAACATGTGAAAGTTGTAAAGCATTTTTTCGTCGCAATGCATTAACTAATTCAGTAAGCTAATTAACGTCTTTTCACAACTGTTTATTCGTTTAAAAATATCATATTTTTACTTCAGGGCAAATTAAAATGTCGATCTGGTACCGATGATTGTGTTGTTAATTTAGAAACCAGAAAAGTATATCAATAAATTTCTTCATTTCAATTTTATAACAACGTTTGTTTTTAGCGATGTAAAGCTTGTCGACTTAAAAAATGTTTCGATAAAGGTTTACGAAAAGAATGGATTATGTCGGAAGAAGAAAAACGAACAAAAAAACAAAAAATTGAAGATAACCGTCGTTTACGTGCAATGTCACAAAATTTAACAATGTTCTCACTTACGCCAGCAAGTTCTCCATCAAATGCCCCTGAAACTAAACTTTATAGTTTTCCAATTAAAAATGAAAAACACAGTTTTGATGATTTCGATGATAATAATAATAATAATAATAAAGAAAGTCTTCTTCTTTTTGATTATAAAGATGAGTCCGCGAATTTTAAAATAATGCATGAATTATTGAATCATAATAGTAATACTGATGAAATCCAACAAAGTTCATTCGATTATAAAACATTATTAGATGAAAACGATCGATTATTAATAACACAAATTGATGAAAATTATACTCATGCTGTTGAATTAAACGTATCAATTGCAGAAGATTATGATTTACCATGTTTAAGAAATCTCAATCATATTACAAATATCGTGAATGAACTAACACACATAAGTACATTACGAACGATTACATTCTACAAATTGACACCAGAATTTAATGTAAGTTTTTCTTTTTGTTAAAAAGTGAAGAGAAAAAAGCGTTTCCTATTTCTATTAGTCTTTACATGAAGATGATCGCTTAGCACTAGTCAAGCATAACCTAATGGCTTCATTATTTTTTCATTTATGCATGTGCGTTGATAAAGATACACAAATATATCGTGAACCAAATACATCGCGTGATTTTTGCTACAATGCCAACGAATTACGTCTGTACTCCGATGATGTTTACAATCAATCGATGATCTTCCTTCAAGAAGTTCAAGATCTATGTGCAAACGACCATTTAATCATGAAAATAGCCATGTTAATCATGATTTTTACAAAAGGATCCGATTTGAACGAGCCATATTGGCTTGAGCCACACAAAATTTTTCACGCACAAAATGTTTTCGTGGATCTTCTGTGGAAATATCTTACCGTCCGTTTTAACAGTGATTTAACACCATCGATTTATTCGCGTCTTATTTTTGCTTGTATGAATGCACAAATACTAGGACGAAAAACGAAAGAAGCTGTGTCTAAACAGAACGTTAATAATGAACATCTTGCTCCGCTGATGCAATCAGTTTTATTGAGTATCTAGTGACTATTTATTTGCCATATGAAAATTATTATATAGTATAGGCTGTTTTTTTCCTTATTTGTTCTATATTTATTTTAAAAGCTTTTTATTTACGAAGAGAAAAGCGAAATAAATACATCGTATATTCGAGCTACTATATTGTAATGAAAGTCAAGATTTTGTTTTCTTCTCAACTTTATAATTATTTTCACTGCGATCTTGTAATTTACAAGAGGTACTACGGACATAGCTAAGTGTTTCTCATTGTCAAAAAGAAAATAATTATTTATGGTTGTTAAGGCAACAACAAAAGAGAATAATATATTTTTTATCTTATGTTAAATATGACGATAATAGAAGAATTTTCTATTAAAATCAATGAATATTAGTAATTCAAAATATGAAAATAATTCTCAAACAAAACAATCACTCATAGCAAAAGGCATTCAGCAAGCATGGTGTCGACGATTTTCTTCAAATATTCATTCAGGTGTTCGAGTTAAAATGCAGCAACAACCTATACAGGAAAATCGTGACCCTCGATCAAAATTATCTTCATTAAACCACATTCAATCAATGCTAAAACACTTTCGAATTGAATCAGCTGTATGTCAAAATTCATCAAAGCAACTTGATCATTCATCTCAAAATCAATCATTGTCTTCCTATGAATTAAAATCTATTCTGCATAATAATAATCATGATCTTCTTCTCCACAAACAAAATCATGAAACCAATGAGAAAGATAAAACTATGAATAGTATTGGTGTACAAACAACAATACTAGCCAAACTTGATCGACAAACATCGTGTGATATTCTTGTAGAAAGAAAAAAACTTATTCGGAAAAGTCAATCATCATCATTGTCGACAGTTTCTGATTCTAAAACATCAATATCAGATGAAAGCTCAACATATACGGACAGTACGTCAACAGATATGACAACACTTAGTACTGATACTACTACTACTACTACTAACAGTAGTACAAATATGAATCATCATAAACGATATCAACGTAATAAAAATCGAAATAGCAATGCAATAGATACTGATATCGAAGAAACTCTTGAACGTAAATCTCAAACAGAAAAGTCAATACAGAAATCATCGGTAAAAAACAGTTTTGAATTTCTACAAGTAACAAATCAAACTCATTATGTCGTCAGTAGAAATGTAAAAAAAAGATCTTTCTCGAAGCAATCCGATCTTCGGCATATCATATTCTGTGACTAATCACGAAAGAAAAGAAAAGAATACATTAAAACAAAATTTGTCAGACTATCTTTTAAGGAGAAAATAATTTTTTAAATATTTATGATTACTTTATCCACAGTCATAATCATCAGCCTCATCAATTGTGGACAGGCGATGTTTTCAACCGACAACAAATTTGTACTGTTTTTTCCTATTAGCGGAAGTCTTTCAAGGATCGTTAACAGACGCTAATATCCGATTTCTTATGAGTTTTACAATTCAATCATAATAATTTGAGCGACTGCGACCTCTTTGGTTTTAGTACTAGTGGAAAAAAGCATGATTAAAACCCACTCTAACTTACTTTTCCCAACATGAAATGCAGGCCAAATACTCGCGCACGCACATATTTTAAATCATGCACGACTTTTCCATCATTAATTATGATAATCTAAATATTATTACTTTCATAGTATGACGAACAGTCATTACAGAATATAAAAATTAACACGCCATGTTGTTCTCCATCAACTTCATCAACAGCAGGAAAACAACGGTTTTTTAGTGCGTTCCTTAGTCTATTTTCATATCTTCGATTATCATCATTCAAACGAGATCGAGCTTCGACATCTACTTCTAAAGTTCTGAATATGGAACAAAATATTCGACCGCCAACTTCTCGTTGTCGACGATCTGCAGCGAGAAATTTCAATTATAATTCATCTATTGAACCAAAAAATCATTATTTACTAATAGGCTCCGAAGAAGATTCGTTGTCGAAACAGAATCACTTAGAAAAACAACCTTCTCTATATTCAATTCAAAATAAATCACTATCAATGAGAAAACAATATCGACGAAGTAAACATAGGAAACATTTATTCTTTCGGACATAATCTATTTATTCTCCATTATAATTCTATATTGCAAAAGTCAATAAATCAAATTCAACTATCGTTGATTCTCAACGATTAAAGAAAAATCAAAGGAAACATTCGTATAGACAAGAAAGACATACTCATCGTCATCGAAAGAAACGAAAACAAATTCCCGCTGATAATCATTCCAAAGAACTCGTTGGAGAAAGTAAGTATCAAATGATAAACCTTGAGTTAAATTGATGATAGATCTACAGCCAATTGCAAATATCTATCTTTTATAGGTATAAAACCATCAGTATGTACTATGGAAGATCCTAGCAAAAACTCTTCATCAGTGCATGAGGATACCCAACAAACATCAATTCTCTATCCTACTGTTGAAAGCGAAAGATCGCACCATGTATTTCTTCAAGAACAAGATCTTTCTTCAAAGGTGATTAAACTTATGAAAAATTCACTTCGTTTAGAATACGTATTTTCTTTAAATCTATAGTGTATCGATAATCATTCGACAGATACTGTTCCGTGCTTAGAGAATCATGAAATATTTAAATCGAATCCTTTGCCATCTTCATTTCAGAAAATATTAAATCAGCATGTGTCTCATCCAATAGAATCCGTTCGTTTACGTGTTAAAAATAAAAATTTAATTTCAAATTTATCCCAATCGTCTATCTACCATGTCGATGATTCAATAAAATGTCACCATAGAAATCTAATCAACGAATTTAAATCGATTCTTCAACAAACAAAAAGTATTCATACTAATAATAATTCTTTTGACGATGATAATTTAAAAGCACAAGCAAACTTCAATGCATCGAATATAGCGGTAATAACGTATAGCCATGAAAATGAATAAAATATTAGTCTATATTTTAACTTACATATGTTCCTAAGGCTTTCTATGATGATATTTATTTTTGTTCGTCTATGTTAAACGCATACAGAGAATATTCAATTGAAATATACTCTCATTATCAAATTATCACGAACTTCATTCTATTGCTGTCATTGAAAAGAAGCTTTCAACTTTTTATGTCTATAGAATAATCTTTTTAAACAAATAATACGAGAGCTCAACGTTCCCTATTATCTAAAATATTTCTTGAGCATTAATTAGAGTATTCCACAAGTTAATTTTTCTATTAAAAATTTAGATAATTGAGTCTATACTTGACGTAGATACTGGGATTGTGTTTGAATTACTGTTTCATAAATGAATGCAATACAAAATATTCTTCTATAGTAAAAACAAATCTAAACATAAGATCTTGTGTTTTTTCATGGCAATGATAAACTGAAGTGGACAACAATCATAGTGATAAGGGTACCTCCAATAATATTTGGTTTTGTGCTGTTGACATATAAGTAAAAGCTAAAACTCAAATATAGGGAGTGCTAGAAATTTTACAACAGCTTTCGGAATTCGCTTTTTTAAATTGATCTTCACTATGACTATCTATTTTCGTGAACATAAATATGATAAACTTGTAATTTAGTCGACTTTTTGCTCAATAAACAATCTAAATGATAACAAATCTCACAATCCATCTATGGCTTCGTCACATAGTTCAACAAAATCGATTGAGAATCATTCTATATCAATTCCTCAAACAATAAAAAATCAAAGTGATACTATTCGTGAAGGTGTCGAACAGCTCATTCGCTATCAAGAATTATCTCGATCATATAAATTAACAAGTAATAAAGCTGTTAGACAATTCCTTACGCGATCGTCAATTTTATCGCCACAATCTCTTCATAAATTATCTATAAAAAATGAGCCCCATTCAACAAAACAAGTCAAAGAAAAAAACTGAATAATAGACTCAATTTCTTCAACATTTTCTCTTTACAAATATTTTTTTTATAACTTTTTCTTAAATTTCAAAATATACAAATTTTTTCGCAAAAATATTTGAAACGGTACATCGTAAAAAAGTAATATTGAATTGTTCGACATAATGGCAGTAACAAAACAATAAAAAGATAAAATAGCTCGATATCTACTAATAAAATAGTGCGCGCACGATGAAGTTTCCTATGATAGTAATCTGTTCGATCATTGAATGAATATAAGTATTATCAACTGTTGCATTAACTCAATCAATCGAGTCATTCAGAATATCTTATACGTTGTACGCGTAGAAATCTTCAAATGAATACATCGGAATAGAGTAGATGCGATTATTTTCCTTATCGAATACAATATTCAAATAATCTTAGAAAAATATTCGAGTACGTAATCTATTGGTAAACATTGATTATTGGATAATCCTAAAGAGTCATAGATTAAAACGAAGTTATCCCATCGAGCTATTCGCTGTAGATGCAATGATGATGATCCCCTGTTGGAAACTGAATATCTCGAGAAAGGCGTATTCTTGGGTTTTTTTTAAACTACCAAATATATCTATTGGTAAAGTTGCAGGTTGAAAGTCAATATCTTGATTTCTTTGCAAATGCCATGCTCGCGATGATAACAAATGGCACTCCAATCCTCATAATATTCTATCGGTCGATAATAAGCCACGGTTCTTTCAACCTTTTATTAACCTCATCGAAATCAACTCATAATCCTAATATGAAGTCAAGCTAGGTCCAACAGTGGTGCCGTATATTTAAAAGAGTCTTTTTAACTTAATGTTATCATTTATTATATTAAAATATTTATAAATGTCAGATAATAAACTTTACATATGCACGTTTTATTATTTGTCAGGAATTGATTTTTGCTATTCTTTTAAATCCAAATGTTTTAATAACATTAATAAGAAGAGTCAAAACGATGAGAAGAAAAAAACAAGCTATCATACATATAAATATAATAATAAAGCAACGTTGTCTATCTTTCTTTCTTCTTGTCTGTAAAATTTTATGTAAATCCGAGCCACCTTTCTCTACGCTTACCTGCGTTTGATTTACAGATGTTTCAATGTTTTCAAAATGTATTTGCTGATTATCCAATGTCGTATATAGTTTATGATAGAGTTCTTCTATTTTATTTAGATTATATTTCAATTTAACAATTTCATCACGTGCTTCGTAGATTTCTGATGATGAATATTGATCTCTGAATTGATTACGCATAGAGAAATAAACTAGAATAATGAAACCGTAAAACATAGCCAAGTTAACATTGGATTAATAAGAATTCAGTGCATTTGTACAGAGAAAAATTATGTTTTAGTTTACAATTACTAGCGCGTTGAACTTATTTAACTAACTTATAAATCACAATATTATGCATAGAATTTTTCAAATTCATAAGCCGACAGATCGAATAGCTCTATAACAAGTATCATCAACAAGACGAGATTTCTTAGTTAGCTCCAATTGTTGCAATCGAAAATTTTCTTTTAAAAGTCAACGACTATGTTACTTTCTAAGTGATAGTCGCAACGAGTACGCCGAAGGAAAACGTCTTCAACTATTAACCTGTACTCGAATGCATTGCATGGCTGTTGTTCTAAAGACAAGATTAACGACAGAGAAAAATGATATGTTTCATATCAGAAGATTTTTGTATCAAATCTAACTTAATGCGTGCCAGCCGATAATAGATCATTGCTGTTTTCATGACATCTAAATGCCTGATCAAATGATAATTAAAACATTTCGATTATTTTCTATGACATAAATCGAGTATTGATGCAAAGATCTTTTCCTGAATTGAACTGATTGACGTTTTTGTTTTGTAAAGTCACAAGTTCTAATGATTAATTAGTTGAACTTTCACGTCTCGGCAACCGCGATATTTTCTTTCCTGAGTAATAAGATATGCGTCCAAGAAAAAAGAGAATTTCGGCTTTTTATCTAATAAATAAATCACATTGTGAAACCAATCGACAAAAGTTGGTGAGATTAATATTTATGAAACGGCCAGTCACATAATGTTAGAATGATTTTGATTGAGTTTAACATATACAAAGGAGATTACTCTTTTAAAACTCATTGGCAGGAAGGTATTCCAACTATTCTTTCACATACCTGTTCAATCAATGTCACAGCGGGGACACCACTCGACCGTAGTACACAGTCAAAAGTTGGATATAACCATGACTAATGAATTGTTTCACGTAGTATTGCGATACTGATAACGTGTTAGAGGCAATTCTTTCTAGTAATAATCTTAATTACATGTAAAGATCTATGAACTATCTAGTCAATATATTATCATGATATTTTTCGATGAATTTCTTTTCTGCTTGGCTATTTGACCCTAGATTTTGTTGATCGAAATCGGATTTTCTTGGAATGATTAAGCACACATAATACATCGTTCACGTTCAACTGGAACTTCTACTTGAGGAAACAAAAATCATAGGAACGGAATGGCAATTACACGCATGCATTCATATTATATTAGAGCGTCACAAACAAACAACGTCTCTAAATAAAAAGATTTTTAACTTCGGAGCAATTCTTTTCCAATTGCTCACTCCTTAGATTGCTCTCATGCGTAAAAAAAGACGTAGGAGTCAACTTGAACTAGATTTCAGTGAATAAGAAATATGTAATTATCGAAATGTTCAAAAAGCAATAATGAAGAAACATTTCTCACTAAACACCGATAATGAAATTGGCGCATAGCTTGACGCCAATAGAGATGACGACAACATTGAAAACTTCCTGTACTCTTACACATAATTGTATTTAAAGGTTTCCTTAATACTTCAATTGAAATCAATATTTAAAAAGCAGTTAGATACATTATGAGTTATGTCGAATAATGAGATCTGAAGTAATCTTACGCTAATATGTACTAGTTGCATTTGAGAATTTGCTGAGAAACTTCGTTTTCGTTTTGTTTCAATATCAATAAATAGCACGAGCTATTTTTCATGTGATTTTACCATATTCAATATCTCTTGAGTAGATAAAATGAATAATAATGAGAACGAGAGAGTAAATTTTCTTCTACATTTATTGACATTAAAATGTTTCATTGAATTTTATTTTCTTCGTTATGTTTGTTTTGTATCTAGCTCTATTTCTCATGTTGAATGTGAACTAGGACAAAAAAAAAGTGTCTTAAAAAGCATCGATTCGTTGCTGAGAAGAACGGGAGAAAGAAAACATGAAAATCTTTCTAGCAAAGATTCTATAATTAATAAATACAAAAGATTTCGAGAAGAAGCACTCTGAATTATTTCCTTTTCTGCGAACATGCAAAGAGCTTCGTTATCAAATGGCAGACATTTAATCTTGTACAGATAAAGATTCCAAAGTTTCTCTTTATTATTTTTTCATGATTTATTGAATTGATACTCTCCAAGTGCATGCATCAAAAAAAAGAAAAATACTGCTACACTTCAAAATCAAACACTATCAGCATTGACGACCTTGACTATTCTTTAAAAAAAAAGGAATGAATAATTCATTACGACGTCAATTGTTTGTATAAAATAAGTTCCGCCTAAAATACAAATCAAGATGTTTCTTGTAGCATATTGATACAAGTCATGCTATTGATAAAGCTACATCATGAATGATCATCCGAAGAATATTTTTATTTGATTCGATTATTTTAGTCCTGCTATGGTTAGTTTATGTGATATGATATAGTTTGAAGTTTGACACGTTCGACCTTTGTTTTTAACATACTTTTTAGTCAACAAACGTTGGTCCCGATGGTAACATCAGCAAGACATGAATCATAAAAAAGAATAAGCTTCAGAGTTTTTCTTTGTCTATTGAATATTTTATTGCACTCTTTAACGGATAGATTAGAATAGTAGGCGCCTCGATTTTTTGTTTTGCCGATACAATTTCTTTTATTATTCTATACATATCCCTTGTGTTTCTCTCCTTTCATTACAAGAAGTACATCAACAAGCGCAAAATTTATTCATAAAAATCTTTCATTTGCAAACGGAAGTAATCTAGTTAATCGGAGAATGATTAGAATGATAAGTAAGAGGTTCTTTTTTTCTTTGAAGCCTTATTTTCGTTTGTTAGTACGCATTACTGCCGCACCAGCAGCTAAAAAAAAGTTTTTTTCAAATCGCTAAAATAATATTCTTCGAAGAACCTTTGTTTTCTTTTCATTCGCATGTTATTTATTGACTATGAATCAAATAGATAGTTCAACGAGAATTCCATAGATACACGTAGATTTAATATTGATCTTTCATACGAATCTAGAAACTAAAATAAGTAATTTATATATTTTTTATTAATATTTCTTTTTTGTTCTCAACAACATATCCGATTGCTACTAATCAAATAAAAACAAAATCTTCATAGACATGAAGTACTTGTTTTAACAATGAAAATTTGATATGACAGGATGGCATGTTTTGTACTCGAATTTAAATAAGATCTTTGACATGTTGATATCAAACTTTAAACATTACCAAGAATATCTTATGAAATTTTCGAATTAAAATGGTAAATCGAACATAATTATTCTAATAAATTAGTTGACGAATTTACAATCTATCACAAATCAGAATAATATTTACCAACATATACAAATATCTTAATACGTGTCATCAAAAGCATTTCCTATAAAACTTCATAAAATCTCTGATCGTATTAATAAGATAAGAGAAACTAACTGGGCAAGATTGATTCTAGAAAATATCCATCACATTCAAAAATCTATTCACACTTAGATGTAGAAAAGCAAATATTCTCAATAGAAAACAACAACAACAACAACAACATTTCTATTATTCATAACTGAATATTGGATTATTGTTAGTGTTTTAAATTGAAATAACCTTGTAAGAGGAATAATTAAATATATTTATATATTTATACATATAAATAACATTGGCTCTATTAACACATTATAGAAAGAAATGACTTGGCATCATTGAGTGTATGAGTGAGTGAGTGAGTGAGTGACAAGAAAAACCTCAGCATGGAGACTCTAACACAGACAACACGGAAAAAAGTCAGTTTTAAGTTTTTGATTCTTATACTGCTCATTATAAACAAATAACAATATCAATCGGAAGATTAGAATCAATATTGCTTTACAAAAAATAATAAAACCAGCACATAATACAGTTTGACGGAGAAAAAAATTATTCTGATAAAGCTATAGGCATAAAAGAAGGGTTGTGCAGAAAAGTCCACAATGAGAAAAATAAGTTAATTATGCATGCACATAATACTGAACTCACCTTACAAACGACAAGCAAGGCAGTAAAAAATATTTAATTTTAACTTTTTGCACACTGAGCAGACGAAAAGGGAACGAAAAAAAATGAGAAAAAAAATAAGATCCTACATCAGATCATTAAATTATATCGTGAAATGAAAAAAAATACAAAGAAAAATAATAATTATCCAGACGGATCGTTAGTAAATTAACTTTTTAACAAAGTTTTAGCGCGTTTGTTAGCCCCCTCGATTCGAATTTGACTTATATCAGTCTAGAAAGGAAAACATACAAATTATTAGATAAAAAGAGCCATTTCTTCTTACTTTTCCTTTGATACGATCAATTTGATTATTTTGATTAACAATTTCATTGCCCATATCACAAGCCATATTTCGTAGATTACCAATCATTGTACTTACTTGTTGAAGATTTTCTTCCATTTCATCCTCGCGAGCATCGTTCGTAATTCTAGAAAATGGTATTTGAAATTTTAGTTTTTTTTCTATTTCATTTATGTATCGAATTAAATTTCTACCTTTGGATATAACCAGAACCGGGACCAACATCAGTTTGCGAAACAATTTGTCTTGGACCTGATGAATTTACTTTTCCATCTTCATTCCCTTTAAATGTTTTGCTGTAGGCAGCACTTTTTTCAAAGTTCTTCGTTCTGAATAAATGAATAATATGAGATTGATTCAAACAGGACGCTTCTGTACCTTTTCCATGGAAGAACACATAGACCGCAACATTTTTCTAGACCTTCAAGATTTTTTTCTGCATCACGCATTTCAGCGTTGATACGATCCATTCCGGAGTCAATTGCATCAAGTTGTTCTTAATAATAAAAATATGAATTGTAATATTTCTAATTTCTTAGAATTATTTCAATCAAGGAATCTTTTTAATTTTTGCTTGATATTTCTCCTCATCATTTCAATAAGAGGATTATTGTTTATATAAGAGTTCGATTCCGTCTTTGAAATTTGTTATTTTTTCTCCTAATAGAAAATGATCGATTTAAAGAAATATTCAGTTTGACAACTAGAAGATTAATCTTTGCCATTTTGACCTAATCACTTTTCAAATTCTATATAGAAATAGTATCATTATGGGTCATTATTCTGCATTATATGTCAGCAACCCACTATAGTAAAATATCTTATATCAATCATGTCGAATCATATTTGTTGATTAGAATCTAATATTCGCAATAAGCGGATCCGTTTGTTTGACTCAAGAAAATTTTCTTCAATATTTTGGAAAATAGCAAAAGCTTGAATTATATCCAGAGGAAAATTATTATACTCAAGTTCGAGAATATTTCGCCTTGCTAATTTAACAAACAGAAGAATTTGTCACCCTCTCAATGTTAATGTATACAAAATAATATGAAGTATGTTTTCAAGTTATTGTGACAGTCCACACATTCAATATACTTAAGAATAAGAAAAGCCCATTTATTTGTGTTGCCCTTGAGTCGATAAACTTATTATGTTACAGACTGATTCATCGTTGTATCTAGTAGAGCTGAATCTATCAATGTGATTCAAAATATTCTTTTTCGCTCTTTTCAATGTGAAAACCAAGAAGAAAGTTTTCAACAAAAAACAAGTTTAAAATATTTCTAATAACAATTCGTCGAGGGTTTTTATCAAAAATAACTAAGAAAAACAAGTATGTCACTCTTTCTAATCAGTAAAACGTTTTTACCTCCTTGTTCATCAAGCATAACCAATGTTCGTATGCCAGCTTCTTTACTCTAAAAGAAAAATCTCAATTGCAATTATTAAAAAATTTATTTTCAAATACGCACTTCTTCACATAGACCCAACATACGACGAGTAGATTCAAGAGACTAAACAAAAAAAAAAGAAAAGTTAAGTATGATTCCATCGATATACAGAAATGGATTCGATTAAAAAATTTGCAAACGAATTTCAATGAATAATATAATAATTTAAATAAAATAATTTCAATTGGCCACCTTCTAAACTTTAATCGTTTATCGTATTAAGTAAAAATTTCTTACGTTTTGACATTTAAGATTATCCCGTCCATTGGGAAATTAGTTCGGCTTTTTTTTCTAATCAATGGCTTGTTGTAAATATAAAGTATCTTGAAAAAAAGAACTATTGAATGACTCAGAGAAATTTAATATTCTTTTAACAATCACATTCAATTGATTTTCTTGTTTTCTTTAAATTTGCTGTGATAGAAAAACAAGAATCCAATAATTCTATTTCTTTAACAGTAAAAATTGCTTTCGATCCCATAGGAATTTAAATTCGAATTGATCCGGTTTTATTCACAATTCTATCCATGATACAAACATATTCATGTCATTTTGAATAATCAAACTTGTCAGAAATAAAAGCAAAACAAAGAAGAAGAAAAAACTATCAGAATGTTTATAAACATAGTAATTGGAAATTTTCAGCACAATATCACTTAGTAATAGGTTGGATGAAGGTTCTTGGAAATTCTCCACCATTAATGGATTCAATCGCTTCTTTTCCTGCCGAAATCGGAGAAAAAGAAAAAAACTAATTAAGAATTATCTTCTTTGTCTATTGCTTATCCTCAAAGCTATTCATCAATCATCACATGGCATGGCACATACATAGGAGCGAGATGCATTTCTACTAATCGAATCCATCTCGCATTCATGCACGCAAAAATATTTAACATAGGAATTGTGCATCGAAGGGTAGGAAAAAAAGTAAATAAAGCTGAAATTATCCAAAAAAATCCGCTTGAAAATGCTATTTTACCTCATGAACACCCTTGTCGATGGACAATAATATTTGTTCTTCTTCCGTAAGTACTCTTGGTGGTTCATTAGTAACTGGAACGGTTTCGGCCGCTTTTGATGTAAACGGTAAGACCATAGCGTATAGTTAATAAATAATTAAGGATGCGAAAAATATATCTTATTATATACTCAATTTGTTTTTATCTTGCTGTGTTCTTTTTACGTTTTCGAATATTAGAAACCATCGATAGTACATAGTAATAATAATATGTTTTTGTTTTTGATTAATGTAAAACCTTTATTCGCTCTCTGATTACTACTTGTTGAACAGAAGAAGAAGAAGAAGAAGAAAAAAAAGGGAAATTTTGATCCAAGAGAGAGGGAGAAAGAGAAAGAGACCGAGAAAAGGAATGTCAAAGCAAGTCTTTGCTCGCTAACTTGCCGTTGTCTTTCCTGTTGATTGATGCCGGAGCAAAGAAGAAGAAAAAAGGGAAGCCATGAAAACTGGGACTGTTTTTTATGAACAATGTCGAAAAAGAGAACGCGCAATAACCAGAAATAATAGAGAAAAGGAAAAAAATAAGACAAAAATAACAAAATCGAGTTCGTTATTTCCAAAAATCGCCACTATGGCAATAACAAGACCTTTTTATAAAATAGAAAATTACAGGAGCAACTTGAAGATTAATAGTTTATGCTTCTTTTTGTTTTATTGTTCTTTTCTTCCTTTTTTCTTTTTCCTTTCTTCTTCTATATATACAAAAAAATAAACCTTTATTTGCTTATACATAATACTAAATCTCTCATTTAGAGTTTTTATTCAAACAATAAATATTTTTATTAACTAAATCAAAAACGTTCAAAGGGACAAAATGGAATTTTTTTTCCACAGTTTACATTTTCTCTTTTGTTCTTGTCTTATTTCTTCATATAGGACTTCATAGAACTACTGGATTATTACATGTTAGAAACAACCCCAAGCGAGCAGGTTGATGTATCATTAAAAACACTGCTACAGTTTCTTTCTATATTGAGTGCGTGCGTCATTTTTGTCTTAATAACAGAAAGATCCCTAAGGAAGAGGCAAGAGCTTGTGCACTAACTATTATCTTGATCGAATTTTTGTAACAATAGGCAGAGAAAAAACTTATGACAACTGCAAAAATCATGAGTACACACATATAAAAACAAGCGTTGAATATAAGAATACGCGTTAATGAAGACGGTTAGCACAGCCGCCCTATAGTAATTAAGTAAATATAGTTTTGTGTTACTAAGAAGGAAAATTTCTAATTCAAAATTTTAAATTAGACGATTATCAACTTTAACAGCCGGTTGCTATCGGTGTTTTTTCTTCTCGTTTTTTCTCTCCATCATTATCGGTACTGACTCTGTTTTTATGGCTATCCAATCAGTTAGAAAAAAAAATGGTAAGAACCAAACAACTTACTTCATTTGTCGTTTGGTTCATCTGCAATTGAATTGCTGATAATTCAGTGTGCACTGGTTGTTCATCGTTCATTTTGATAAGTTTTTTTTGTTGCTGTTGATGATATTTATTCGTAAAATGACAAGAATGTTATGTTAGATCAGTGGCTTCTCAACGATAGCTCCGTATTATCTAAATATGAGAAGAAAAAAAGAAAAAAATAAGAATGCTTTACGCATATAGGAAACGATGACAGGTGAGGGACGATAGGCAACATCATCCTGTTCATATATGCAGTATAGAGGCCTATTTCTATTGATTAAAAAGGGAAAAGAAAGTATTATTCCAATACTGTAGCCGAAAGCGATACACATGAGTATTACTGAGCACAATGGTGCTAACATGGCACGATGCTGAGATGGACGGCTGAGTGTTTGCTTTTGAATTTGTTGACTAATGAGTATATCGTCGCCATTGGCCTTTGTTTGTAACTATTTTTCCGATATTTTTTAATCGAAACACACTTTTGACTTTTATCTTAGCCAGGAAAATTATTGCATCTTTTCTTTGACGATAATTATTTATGAATAATTTAATTAACTATTGTAAATATGACGATAGAGGACGCTGATTGATGACAACGCAATCGATATTATATATATATATATATATATATAGTCCCTAGTTGAACTTTTTCTATTAATGCACTTGCGAAGACTTGAGCTCAAGATGTGTCCATAGTGCATGACTTTCTTGCTCAAGACAAGCGTTTGCATGTTTGCATGAGTTACAAAAAAATGCAACTATGAATTTTTAGAACAAGTCGAGTTATTTTGAATGTGAAATTGAAAAAGTTCTTTAATCACAAAAACGCTTAGATAAAAGCACCCGACAATTGACAAATTATATTTAGTTTTCATTTGAAATAATTACAACTATAGAAAAAGTATCTCGTAATACGGACAAAAAAAACTACCTGAGGGAGTAATAAATTATTCATTCCTTGATTATTATTTCATGTGGAAAGGAAATTAATCGTAAAAATACTCCACCATAAACTAATGCTTAACTATTGACTGTAACGTGCCTGATTATTATTAGATTGTACTTGTTAACGTAATCCGTATCCTATCATGATCAATCAAAGAAACGATGATGCACGAACAATTATTTAGTCATAGTGAGAAACTCCAGTTGGGTAAATGGATTATTCTTTATTAATCGATGAGTGTTTTTATTCCATGATAAAAAAATCTTTTTTTGTGTGATTGTTCAATATTTTCATAAGATGTATTTTTGTTTTCTCGACCCATCACACGATGATTTATACCGATTGAATTAGCAACGATTATTGGTTCAATGGTACACATTCTTTCGTCAGCAACATATCTATATCTATTTGAAACCACGATTTTCAATCTGAAGAAGACATCATATATTGACTTCTCATTAACACAAAACAATTAGCTTCACGTAGAAAAAAAATGGTTTCATAAATAATTTATTCAAAGAAAAAAAAGTGGGAATCAACATAGTTAAATATCTATCTGTTTTTCACATTGATTTCCAGTAAATTTATGCCGACATAAACATGCAATTTTATTGCCTCTTGCTACACATGTACCACCGTTCGTACACGGATTTGGAAAACAAGGATGAACACCTATGAGAAGAAGGAGATCAAATTTTACACAAAAATAAAATAAAACTTCTCATGTCTTACGGCTTTCACAGAAAATGCCAGTAAAGATCTGATTACAATGACATTGAGCATAACCATCGAAACCCATATAGCATGTGCCATAATTTCGACAAAGTGTTTCATTACATTTTCGTAAATCATATTGACACGTACGTCCAGTAAATCCAGGTAAACATTGACAGCGATAATCATTGACGAGATCGACACATGTACCGCCATTCATACAAGAATCCATTCGACAATCATCAACATCTTGAGAATGAAAACTGTTACTACGTGGAAACATTTCATTTTCAAATCTTACTTATTTCACAATATTTTCCCGTGAAACCTCGTTGACATTGACATGTATATGATGCAACCCCATCAACACATGTTGACCCATGTAGACATGAATGACTAGCACAGTCATTCCATTCTAAAAAATGAACAATAAAAATTTAATCCATAACTTGTTTTTGTTTTTAAATAAAATACTGACTTTGATCACATCGTTGTCCTTCATAATCAATGGGACAAATACATTTAAATGATGTAGCCGTATTTACACAGACACCACCATTAAAACATTGAGGTGTTGAACAACTTTTTTCCACTAAAATATTTGAAACAAAAATGAATATTTATCGAAACGAAAAATCTTCAATTCGAATACTTCTTTCACAACGATGACCCATAAAATTTTCTGAACATTGGCAACGGTAAGATTCTCCCTCATCATGGCATGTTCCATTGTTAAGCTGAAGTTTATAAAAACAACAAACAAACATTGTAATCACCATTTATTATGCACAGCGAATACTTACACATGGATTATATTTGGCACAATAACTACTCACTAAAAACACAATTTTTTTGATTAGATACGAACGAGAATAATTTAAATTTTTTGCGATTGAAGCTATTAGAATAGAAATTTATTCAAGCCGGAACTATAAATTATACTTTTCTAGTATATCACTTTATGAATAATATTGATCAATGATGTAAAACTCATCTTGTTGAACGACGCAATCAAAATACTCATATTTCAGACCGGTTGCTTCGATGCAATACGAGTCTATTTCTATGAAGTGGCCACTAAGTAGAGACCAGGAAATGTTTCATGTCGATAGAAAGTGAATAAGTATCAAGATTACATATTCAAATGAAGATCTGATTATTATCATAAGGTTCTAATGTCAACAACAACTGATCTGTTTCTATAGTGAACTTTTGTTTATGGAAGACAAACTGTCATTCATTTGACTTCACTGTCTCGGCTTTTCTTAAATGTCAATTCTATTATTATTGTTATTAACTTCATCATGTCTTCTGTTCAAGTAAAACCTATTTCGAAATCATATCTTATACAATTAGTCTCGATTATAACTTTGATTCATAATCGTGTCATACAACGAAACAAGCTGATAATGATCATTGTGACTCTTGCATTGATAGATCAGATAATCGATTGAGACTGCTTAATCCAAAAGCAAACTTTAGCTAATACGATAATGGTATTATCATATGTTGATAAGTAGGATTGAACATATCTCACGTGCCTTGATCACATCGACGGCCAGTCCATCCAGCACGACATTTACATTGAAAACCACCACGTTCATTCGAAATACAACGACCATTTCGACAAGGATTATGTGGTGCGCATGGATCTCTTCGAGCTAGAAAATTCTGATAGTAACAAGCAATTTGACAAATAAAATTAAAACGCTTAACCTTCATCACAACTTTTAGCGGCAATAACACGATTTTGACATAAACATACATATTTATCATCTGGCATTGGAATACAAACACCATCAAGTCCACATGGTTCTCTAACGCATTGTGAAGATTCAGAATCTAATATAAAATTTTATTTGTCAAAGAGAAGAAATTTATTTCAAAAAACTTTAGTCTATACCTTCTTCAGCATTGTCGACTGCGGCTTCCTTTAATAATAACGGAAGTAGTTCCTCTGGAACCAACCCAGTTACTAAATAATATAAATTAACATGGAGTCATTAAAAACAAAAAACAAAAAAAATTCTCTCCCGTACATGTTTCACAATTTATCCCAGTATAACCATACGGACATTCACATCCATATGAACCGTAATTCATTATACATCGGCCACCATTTTTACAACTACATCCAACTTGATAAGCTAAAAAAAAATATATATATATATATATAATTCAAATCAAATGTCGCAATCATAAGTAAACTCTGCAGATAAAATTACATTTTGTACAATCTTCTTGCCATGGTGCACAAATACACGTAAATCCTTCTTTTGTATCAAGACAGATTGAACCATCTTGACATGGATTTTTAGAGCAATCTTCAAATCCTAAGTAAACAAAAGTGCAAAAAACAAATTGTATATCGAAATAAAAATTCATTTTTTTTTCTATGGAACCTCGAATTGAGTCCAGATCACCTCCATTACACATATCAGATGAACACATGCACCAATAAGTTTTCATATATGTTATACATCCATCAGTAAGTAACTCTCGTGCCCATGGTTGATTTGTACATTGACGATCATTGACTAAAATTTAGAAGGCAACAAGAAAGGCAAACGTTATTCTCATGACTATGGAAAAAAATCTAAATGGCAAACTTGTTGCATTAGGATGTTTTGATTTAATATAACAACGTTGTGTCCAATGGCAAGGTGTTACACATCCTTCATCGGCATTTCGACATGCATAACAACGTTTATCTTCATCAGAAACAGATAATTCTAATACAAAATTCACGTTGAAATATTTCTGTCTTTTTCTCTAATTGTTTCTATCATACCAGATTGATGGTTTGTTGTTTTCTTTATCACTGATGTTGATGAAATTATATGAATAGAGAAAATAATTACAAAACATTGGAAGATCTCAAACGAAGAAAAAAACCTTATTAAATAATATTAATGAAGTGAACCATCTTACCATCATTCATACATTGAAATTTTCACTTTCGTTTTATCCTTGTTGTGCGAACCTGATTATACGTTTATGTGAGAGTGATTATATATCTGAATAACTAAACGTCTTCATTGAACAGAAAAAAGAAAACAACGTAGGTACGTATTGTGTATTGTATGACATTTTCACTTATACGTTCTCTCATGCCTATACAACCCCATAGATTAGAACACGATGAGATTAAATAACACTATTCTTCACTCTCTATCGTATTGTTGCACCGTAATGAGAATGAGACAACATACTACAACTACTCTACTACTCATTCAGCCAGACAGCCCAAGCCTCTCAATCTCATTATTACTCAACAATTTTTTTTAACTGAACAAAAATAATAAAATGATTGCATAGATAAATCTTTTGATTTGCATTTAACAGACAATTGAATTGTATACTTTGTATTTGTTTTTATTTTTTTTCGTTTCATCAACTGCCAATAAGTTCTTATGACAAGATAACTAATTTAGATTTTGGAAAAAAAATTATTAAGTTTTCTTTGATTGATATTTGCCGCCCTTCACAATACACAAGATGAAAAAAATGATATATCTAACTCGTCTGCTGGCTATGTGTACTGCCGTTTTTCTCTGCATTTCCATCTTGAGAAAGAACGAACGAACGAACGAACGATCCTGCAGTTATATTTATGATCTATAGTCTCATCATATAAACGGATTGGTTGTTGATATATGTATATGATGGAAAATATATCTATATCACTTATATATATATATATATATATATATATGATATAGCAAAAGAAAAGAAAAGCCAATCATAAAACGATGCGAAATTAGTATTGTAGAGTGAGAGAATAACTTAGCTATATACAATCGACAGAATAAATGATCATTTGAATGATGATCAAAGTTACTGGATATATGATTATGGTGAGAATATAGAGTGTCATTTACACAAGTTCGTTGTTTTTTTTATACAGTCTAAAAATCATATTTAAAAGAAAATTTTTGATCGTATGCAAAAGATTTTCTAGTAGAATTTGTTGATCAAACAGTGAATTAGCTACATTTTTAGAAGAAAGATTTTCGTCGGAATGCACCTGTCTTAACGAATTATCCGAAGATTTCGTTTGAATAATGAGAAGTTTTTATGCTGATTACTATTCAGTCAGGGAAAATTGCGTAGCTATTTCTCCATTCACTTTTCATTTTAGTTAATAATTTCAATTTAATCAAATAAAAAACAATGGACATACCATATCATAATCCATATCACTATAGTCATGAATGGCCACTGTCTTCAACATCTGATAATTTCCCATTATATTCTTCACAAAGTCATTCAACAACTTGTTATAGCGTCAATCCATGTCCTCCTCCTGCTCCGCCGCCACCGCCTCCGCCTCTGCCTCACCCCTCTTCGTCATCATATTATGACTATTATACTCCATCAAATTGTTGTCCGTCAACATCTACTACTTACTCAACTCATTATAATACTTATTCATCATTTAATCAACACAACGCAAGTCAAAGTGCTTCTTTGCCTAATACAAATAGTATTTCAATCCCATCTGAGTAAGAAGGACTTTTTCTTCTATTGAGTATAAAATGCTTTGTTTGTTTTCTTTTTGTTACATCAGGGTACCAAAATCGAATAATGAAACAATATCAACTAGTACTGTTATTTATCCATGGATGAAAAAATTACATGTGAAAAATCTTGTCCAAAATAATGATGGTAGCGAAACTTATAAACGTATTCGTACAGCGTATACGCGTAGTCAAATTCTCGAACTTGAAAAGGAGTTTCATTTTAAAAAATACCTAAACCGCCGACGCCGTATTGAAATTGCACGAACGTTACTATTAAGTGAACGACAAGTTAAAGTAAATTATCATATGGAAAAAAAGAAAAGCTAATATTTTTATTTTGTCTGTTTTTTCTTTTTAAAAAGATTTGGTTTCAAAATCGACGCATGAAATGGAAGAAAGATCATAATTTACCAAATACAAAATCAAAATTAGTTGAAACAGCAATTAAACAAGAGAGCGACGATTAAAAAGAAATGTTTTTTTTTTGTTCTTTGCATTTATTTGAATTTCGATTCTTTTTCTCTCTTTCTATCTATGATCTGGATTGTTCATTAAATATGTACACGTTTTAAACATATGTAAACAACACGCACGCGTTACTTGTTCTGTTCCATCATTTGTCGTATAAAAAAAAACAACGAAGCAGATATCATTGACACAGAAGCGGAAAGGGAGAGAGAGAGAGAAAGCGACGTGATCTCAGTTGATAAATCGATACACATCTGCTATGATCACAATTCAAATTGAGAGAAAAAGATCAGCGTTTTGATTAATGATTTTGATTCGACCTTTTCAGACTAAAACAAACGTGTGGCGATATTTTGTTTTTGATCAATAAAAACGATAGAATCATCATTAAATAACGTTTGAGATGTTTTGTTTTATTACGATTAAAACACGAATCAGATAGATTCACCGTTGGAAAATTGATTTCCGTACTTCGAATATTTAGGCTGATGGGTACTACGTGACTTCATCATGTCAACTCTATGTTCAAGATAAACATTCAAGTATAGACTATTCTGAGCGATGATTACTGAGTTCAATAAACAATTAGCATGTTAGATGAGTTATTGATCGATTAAATCATGATACATATGTGTTACTCCTTTTGTAAAACTAAAGTTCACTCTATTCTATAAACATTTGAATTTTTAAAAATAAAATTAGATATTTCTTTCTTATTGTAGAATTTACTTTCTGATATATTCAGTATTAGCAAAACTTTCCCAATCTAGCGATCCCTAGACGCACTCATATCTATTTACTATTAGTTATATCATTTGGAAGAACAATCTATAAAACAGTAGTTTTGATACATCACTTGATCCATTCTAGAAATCACTTACAGATGTTGCGTCTTTTTCTTGATTAAATCAAACGACAAATTCCACAATGATTTTCAATTGAAAGAATTTCCAGTCGGTGATTTTTTGTTAAAAATAATACAGTCATAAAATCGCTTGAGAATTTTTTATTTTTTTGAAAAATTTTATAACATTAAAAAAATAACAAAGAGTCAAAATCAACAAATTTCTACTAAAGTTTTCGTCACCGAGTTTTTAACCAAAAAGAGACAAAAAAAATATGACAAGAATAAGAAAAAAACAAAGATCTGTAGCACAAACAATTATCTAAATGATTGATTACGAATAATTAGAAAAGGCTATATTTTCTTCAATCGCAGAACAAAGAAAATCTTTAGTTATCGGACTTCGTATTGTTTCAATTACTCCTAAAGAAATAAAGAATATAAATGCAATCAATAAAAGAATCAATCCATTTACCATCGGCTGTTGCTAAACAAATAGAAACAAAAACGAAATCGGTACAATAGTTATAATAAAAAATAAAACATATACCTCGAGCGTTCGGATATGTCTTATCGGCACGATGTCGATAAAAATACCATTCATTATCACGAAATGAACATTCAATAATTTGATTTTTATATTGATCTAGTTCTGATGAATAACGAATGGATGCAAATGGATCCGACATGCCAGTTACAAAGAGAAGAGCACTTTTCTCCGATGATTCTCTAAAAATTCGAACATCTGTTTCGCAGGTTCTAGTAAATTTTAAAATTATTTTAAAAATTTTGCTAGAAAATAATTAGTTTCTTTGTTCTACTTTTTTTTAAAAATCATAACCAAAGATTCACAACATACCCTATACTCTCAATTTTCAATAGAAAATCCATTGTATTATCTTCTTTCCATTTTAAGATATTTGCCGATCTTCCAGGTTGGTAAGGCTAGAAAATGTTGATTAATTTAGAAAAGATTTAGCCGAAAAACTATCCCAGTTTAACTTACTCTCAACACTGGTTGAAATACAAGTCCATCACATCCATGAGTGATTTGCGATTGAAACTTTGGACTGAGTATCTAAAATGCAAATATGGTAATTAAAGACATGTTTTCTTTATATTGATCGGTTAAGTCTGTTTTAATTGCAATAAATCTATTTGTATATTCTTACTTTGCTCACTGCTGATAATTCCCAAAATTCTTTAAGTCGTATTGAAAATGGTTCTAAACTTTTGTTAATTTGACCTTTTACTGTAGCATGATTTCTAACATCAACAATATCATGACGTATTATATTAAGACGTTCTCTATACGATTGTTGACCGACATCTTGATTCTAAATCAAAAGAATTTATACTTATCGAATTGAATTCATTTTTATTTAACATACATTATATATTACAATATCATAAATTAGATATCGATATCGTTTAATACCATTATCATTATCAATAACAAATTCCTAATAGTAATTAAAAACACGATAAAATTATTAATTTATAAAATTAAGAAAACTGACCCCATCAACGAGTGTATTTATTAGATGTGTTTTACAGTCGAAATCCTTTGGAAAGTATAGATTATTGACTTGAAATACACAATTATTACGATCTAACATGTAAACGCGATCTTGATTTTCAATCAACATCATATATCTTAAATTAAAAAAAATCATATTGTTAAATAAATCGATCCACAATTATGATATCGCTTGCAACTGATCCGTAATTAATTAAAATTTTTTTCGATAAAACTCATGGTGAAAAAGACAAATGTTTTTTTTTCGAACTCTTAAATTCTGATTCTGAAATAATTAATTACGGATGCGTTGATTAATGATCAATATTATTTTTACCTGGTACCATCTGCTTTCCAACTGACCATATAAGGAGTTGAAAGTATGGTTTGATAATTTATTGAATTCATCGATACTGGTTGTGAGCCGGGAAAGCTTTGTCTAAAAACAATAAGTGAAAAAATCAAATTATTTATTTTCCTAAAGTTACCGATTCCATCCACACATTTGTTGATATTTCCATCGAATATTATTAAGCATAGGCTGTGTGCAAATAGGTTTTACATCATTTAGATCAACAACAAACATAGGATTAGAATTCTATAAAAAGAAAACCTCATCAATTTCAAGTAGGCTTTTTTCTTTTAGAATGGATTCAACTTGTTTTATTTCATTTCGAAATTGTTTATTAGGCTGTTTCTCGTCTAATTCATTGCACTTTCGTTTACTATCTGAAAATATATAATAGCAATTAGTGATAATTTAATTGAAAAAATATTTCTAAAAGATAGATTGTTTATTTTACCTAGACACCATTCAGGTCGTGATGGTGCATGAATAGATGTTGCACCGTCGGTGGCAAATTTTTCAATAAGTTTATTTAAATAATCTTGTTTGTAGATTCCAGGTGATCGAGCTGCTGCAAACAGATCGATAGCAGTTTGAATACTTGAAAATGAAAATTTATTTCATCCTTTAGAACGTAAACTTATTCTTAATATTCTCATGCCTATTATCAGATTGTCGACATAGATATGCGCAAATGAGAAAACCTGTTCGGTTAAAACCATGTGTACAATGAACACCTATAAGAGAAAATTTATAGGAGTTCGAATAAATAAATAGATATATCGAAGTCATCATACCGATAAAATCATTTGGATTACTATTAATAAAATCAACACATGTTTGAATAAATAAATTAATCTGTTCGTCATTTGGTGATTCATCGTGTCTATGCAAAAAGAAAAAACATCAAAATAGTGGATGTCCTTTTTCAGCATTCAGACCCTATAAAAATACTATCAACTGAAAAAAATTAAAAAATAGAACCATCGAAAATCTTTATATGCAGTTTTTCTTGTGGTTTCGAAAATATTGAAAATAACTTCTTTCGCTTTTTGATAAATAGACCAATTTATTCGAAACTATGTTTTTTTTTAAATTGATTTTCATCGTGTACTCGGGAGTCACTATACTCTATAGTTCGAACTTTTTCGAATTATTAAATCACATTATCTATGCAAATTATTTATGCCTATAGAATAATAAAACAATTTATTAATTAAATGTTCCAGAAGTTTCAAGCTAGAAAATAATTGTCTTTCTGAATTAAGTGTCTCAGTGATACTGACAAACAAATATAGGTATCGAAACACATGAACATGCATATTTTCGAAATGATGAATTTTCCAACTGGAAAAACCCAGAAAACATTCAGCGTAAAAAATGAATTTTTGATCATGTAGTTCGATAGATTCATAGTTTCGTTCTTCTGTGTAACAATATGAGGCAGAAAATATTAATAGAATACCAGTAATTAGCATGCCTATATTGTGTATGCATTAGTAATTTCATCAGAATTCATAGGTATTGCGAAACATTTTCACCTACAAAGTCCCACTGACGTAATTACGAAGATTTCCCGATACAATTTCAGTATAGATCTACTAAAACTAAGTTCTATGAATTTCAGTACGATGTGTAAACGTATCTCAAAATTTCATGAGTCATATAAGAACTAATTTTCTATCGATTTGCATAATATATATATGTATATCTCAAAGATGATTTCTTACCCTTGACATGCAATTTTTTGATAGCGTATATTTTTCTTAATAAATTCTTCATCACTTCGATAATATCGTTCAGTATTCGTTAAATCAATGATAAGACCAAGATTTTTCTATATAAAAATATAAATTATAATTATTATGTTTACAGCAAACTTTTAAAATTATACATGATCATCTTTCATATGTTTAATTAACATATTACATGTCCACCGTTTTACAATGGGTATTTCAGTGTTATATCGATCGTCTAGTGTTGTTTTAAATGCAATAAATTTTCCTATTTAAATAAATAAACATTATGATTAATAAATTGCGTAGACAATGTTTACCAGCGATAATAGTTGATTTTCTTGGACAATCAAGCCACTTTGACGGTATTTCATTTGTTTTCGATCGTTGCATAATTAATGAATTAAAAAGTATCAGTATAAAAAATCTGGAAAAGAAAAGAAAAACATTTAATAACGAATCAAGCAGATTTTCATGAAATCTAATGCAACATATACACACATGTGCGTATATATATATATAGTATGATTCATTTGGGTTTTTTACTACCTTTATTGCGCAGCTTGCCGTCAGCATCCAGTGAAGTAATTTTGCAATGTATTGGTTAATAGTTATCATGACTGTCAAACGTTTGCCTCTAAATTGATCTGGAATGCGAAAGGCACGAATTTTCATGGTGAAAGGACATTTTATTTTCATTGAAATGTAATCATTAGATTTTACTCAATGTTGTTCTTTTGAAATTGAGCTATGCAAAAAAATAGATATAATATCAATCCACAGTGTCTTGATTGTATTTTAACGTTTGACCTTTTTATTTTTATTTCTTTGCTTCGTCGATTGTCTTCTTTCTTTTCGTCGTTCTCCTTTCTAATATCTAAACACCGTGTTTGTTTGTTTCGTACAATAGTTGCACTCTTTCTTCAGCTTTTACTTTGCACTTTATTATAGCTATTCGTACGGCACATCTAATTATTTCAGTCTCAATCAGTCGAAACTGCAACAATGTCGTCGTCATCTGCTGCCCCTCAAAAACGGATTAAGGTAAACAATCCAATCGTTGAATTAGATGGAGATGAAATGACTCGTATCATTTGGGCATGGATTAAAGAAATGGTTCGTTTAGTAGATTTTTGCTAGTATAAAAAAAACGATATTTTTTCCATAGTTAATCTTTCCGTATCTTGATGTCGATTGCAAATATTATGATTTGGGTCTTGAAAATCGTGATGCAACCGATGATCAGGTTACTATCGATGCTGCAAATGCAATTCTAAAATATAATGTTGGTATCAAATGTGCTACAATCACACCCGATGAACAACGAGTCACAGGTAGATTAAACAATTGAATATAAATATTAGAAATTTCTCTTCATAAATCTTTAGAATTTTCACTTAAAAAAATGTGGCTTTCACCAAATGGAACTATTCGTAATATTCTTGTATGCCATATTTTAAGACAAAAATGAAATAAAAATCTCTTGGTAATTTAGGGTGGAACAGTTTTTCGTGAACCAATTATATGCAAGACCATACCATTATTAGTTCCTGGTTGGAAAGAACCAATTGTTATTGGCCGTCATGCATTTGGTGATCAATATCGATGTCAAGATATGGTCGTTAAAAACCCTGGACGTGTTACTCTTACATATACTCCAGCAGATGGTTCGCCACCAACAGAAGTTGAAGTTTTTAATTTTAAAAATTCTGGTGGTGTCACATTGGCTATGTATAATACCGATGAATCTATAACTGGATTTGCTCATTCTTGTTTTCAATATGCACTTCAAAAAGTACAAAAATCGATTTCTATGATCAATTTATGAGTTTTCATGCTTTGTTTTAGAACTATCCATTGTATTTGTCAACAAAGAATACTATTCTTAAAAAATATGATGGTCGTTTTAAAGATATTTTTGAAGAAATCTATCAGCAAAATTATAAGACACAATTCGAAGACAAGAAGATTTGGTACGAACATCGATTGATTGATGGTATGTTTGTTTTTCAAGGTGCATCATATCATAGAACTCGATTTTATCTTATGGTTTATAGATATGGTGGCTCAAGCTCTTAAAAGTAGTGGTGGTTTTGTTTGGGCGTGTAAAAATTATGATGGTGATGTTCAATCGGATATTGTTGCACAAGGTATTTAACAAAACGAAAAATTTATTATTATCATCATTGATTTGTGTTAGGTTATGGTAGTCTTGGTCTTATGTCGTCTGTACTTATTTGCCCGGATGGTAAAACAATTGAATCTGAAGCTGCTCATGGTACTGTAACACGTCACTATCGAGAACATCAAAAGGTTAATAGAAAGAATAATAATAATAATAATAATAATATTAATAGAAGAAGAAAGCAACAGTTCGATAATCATATTTTCTAGGGAAAAGCAACAAGTACAAATCCAGTAGCTAGTATATTTGCATGGACACGTGGCCTTGAACATCGTGGTAAACTTGATGGAAATGAAGAACTTCAACGGTTAATATATATATTTGTCTTGATTTAATAACATCTCTTTCTTTTCTTTCTTCTAGTTGGTGTCGTTTAGTTGAAGAAGCTTGTGTTGAAACAGTTGATTCACAAAAGATGACGAAAGATTTAGCTATTTGCATTCATGGCCTTAAAAAGTATGAATTGAAGGAGAAACCAAAAGAAACTAATTTTTCATATCTATATTCTTTTTCTTTTTAGTACTAAGGAAGGCATGTATTTGAATACAAGAGAGTTCATTACTGAAGTAAAAGCAACACTTGATAAAAAGCTCAATGCTGCGAAGTAACAATAAAATGTCCAAGCTGTTTTTTCGAACAATGTCAACTTCAACTGACATTTTCTCAAATATTTCCAGAAAGTAGTTAAATTGACTAGGACATTTTCTTTTTCTCAAACTAATATTGTTAAGAGTGATAGGTCTAATGTATTTTTTTTATTGGTTGATGAAGTTCAGCTGAAGATGATCACCAGATAATATTTGATAACAATATTAAAATAATAGAATATAAAAGAAGAAACTAACACGTAGGAATACATTGGAAATGGCGTTTAAATCTGACTTTATAGACAATATACAACGTGTTTCTTTCCACATGACAAAATTCGAGAAGAAATTAAACTTCTATAACGACAATCACTCAAAAGGTTATCGACAATGTTTTGCGTTTCTCTATTTTAAAACAAAAGAGCTTAAAGGGAGCCCTGTGTTTGTAAAAGTTCGTAGATCAAGGGAATAAAGCACTTTAGAGAAATAATTGCAAAGCCGGCGGCGAGCGTATCGTAAATAAGATCGCACGAGCGAACTTTTACTCTATGGCAAATTTTGCTTTATTCGGCAAGATCTATTAGCCCAGATAATGTCGTATGATTGGAGTGAGCGGTTTCCTAGCGTGAAAAAATAATGATGTAGACAAATGAATATGTTCAATGTCTTGACTCATAAAGATCGATGCAAAAATATGACTTGTCATGTAACTGTTATTTGGATTTCGGTAGTTTGTCTTATTTTCTAGATGAACAAACACGTATTGTTCTGAAGTCTATGCTTGAATTTGAATTGTTTAATCGTATGCTTATCATACTGCTGTTGATGATGGTCTGAGAAAAATTGCTTTTTCAATTATTGACAAGAAAAAACGATATTATTCGAAAATAATCGTAAGAAATCTTCAAGTTGATTCTGAGTTCATCAGCTAAGTTTTTTCACATTTTATGTAACTTATTATGTTTTAGAAAGATTGTTATTGAAAGATGTAAAGATCCAAATGGTGAGTACAAATTATCATTCTTTAAAATAGAAGCAATTGTTAGCAGTCTCTTATAATCTTTAGAGACTAGATTTGCCTGAATTTAGAATAGGATTGTTTTATAGAAAATATGTTGTCATGACCAGGAAATGTGCTCATACCTTTTTGATGCTATTTTAATGTCAGCCTTCCTTTTTTTAATCTAAAGCAATTTCTTAACCTATTCATATTCTACTCAACTTTCTCTACGTTTATTTTCATGATAGAGAGATTAAGATTATGAAATCTTTCTTTCAGCAAATTTAGGGTGAGAATATTGACTTAGTTTTTCTGTGAGAAACTGCTAGCACAATCCTGAGGGATCAAAATATAAGAAATATTGAAGCTACTGCCGCTAATAGTCATGCAATTACTTCATTATATCTATTTTGGGACCGATTTCTGCACAATGTTTTTAGCTAACCCTTCTAAAGTGCAATAAGCAAGTAATTCATAGCATCACCAGGCGTGATATCGATACATAGTCTATGAATGTACCCAGCAAAATCACATACAATGTTAGTACAGTCGAGTCCGCTTATAAGAGCGCAGTCGGGGTTTCTAAAAGAGGCTCTTATATCCGGATCGCTCCTTTATCCGAACTATATGTAAAACAGTGCAAAAATTATTTCTTGTCAATAACTATTAAGTAGTACATAGACATACATAAATTTACTTAAAGAAATCCGTGATTTTACTTTGAGTACGATTAATTAAAGCGTTCTTTTCGATCATGTCTTCGATATCATAATATGAATTATACTCTGTAAAATTCTCTTTCAAATACTTGCGAACCGTCGATGTTGAAATCTTTAGCCCATCGTCTGGCTTTTTCGATTTCAGTGTTTCCAAGATTTCTAATTTTTGCTCAATCGATAATGTGCAACGTTTACCGCTGGTAGATGCCATTTTTTGAAAAATAAAGGTTCAACGAAAAATGAGGAACAATATATAGAACAAAGGACGAAGGAAAAATCTATAGAATGGAAACTCCAACATAGAACAACATGAAAGAAAGAAGAACTAAGGAAGGGAAAAGTCCATCACATATATATATATATATATATATATGACAGAGAAGGAAAAATCCTTGGCGGATAACTAATAAGAAAAGAAAAGAAAAGAAAAGAAGAAGAGCATAAGTGTATATTTATAATCATATAGATAAAAAGGCTCTTTTATACGGAGTAAAATCGCAAAAAAGCACCAAAGCACAGCTCTTATAAGCGAACTGCTCCTTTATCCGAAGCTCTCATAAGCGGACTTTGCCAGCACGTAAAACACAGGAGAAAAAGCGGAGAATTGGAAAACGACTCTTAAAAGCGGACCGCTCCTTTACCCAGAGCTCTAATACGCGGACTCGACTGTAATGATATTCTCTTTCAAGAGAATAGTTCAACCTTGATTTTCTATTGACACTCATATTTACGTATATACCAATAATAAGTGCACTAATTTTATTATAGTTAATTCTTATTGGGATAAATATAAACTCATACCTAAAAATATAGCAATCCATATCTAATTTTAAAATAAATTTATATCTAATATAAGATGGATTTATATCTAATTTATTAACTAACACTATCTAACAACACAAAGTTATATCAAATTAATAATTAATTTAATAGAAAAAAAATAAAGATACAATTATCAATTATAACAAAAAAGCACAGCAAAAAGAGAAAACTATTGCACAATTAATGCTTTTTTACCTTTAGCAACACGACCTCGTTTTCTTTTTTGTCCCAATGGAATATTTTTAGCTTCCAATGAGATGCTGCATAATTTGTATCGTGCTGCTAGCCCATGTAATAAAAACCGCATGAAAATCGGCGGTTAACCGCGGTTTTACCGGTCCGGTTACCGGTTCTCATTACCGCAGAACGGATAAATACCGCGGTTTACCACAAAAAATGAACTGGCATTTACCGCGGTAAACCGCCGGTTTTGATTAATACCGCGGTTACCGCTAAAAAAAGCGGTTAACCGGTTCATCTATAATTTTTGACAGAAAAAGTCTTCGAAATCATCAATGAAACTATTTTAAAGATCCTTTCTTTTTACTTTTACATGTGATAAACATGCGCAAAAAACCGCCGGTTTTACCGGCTCCCATTACCGCAGAACGGATAAATACCGCGGTTTACCGCAAAAATCGATCCGGTATTCGCAACATGGGAAGCCTATAATGTGTTTACAAATATAATACTTTAAACAAGCTGCACAAGAACATGTACTTTTTGTCCAATTTTCACTTTCATTTAAAAATTCACATTCCCACAATGATAATTGTTCATTTTTCATAATATCAAAATCACACCAATTAACGTTTTGTTAATTTCATATATTTAATTGATTTAAAAGATGTTGAATTACAAAATTAGATTAAACAATTTTTTTAAAGGTATCCTTTCACCAGAATAGATACTACTGTATTAAGTTAGGCAATATTGATATAATTTAGATATGGATTGCTATATTTTTAGATATTACAGTAAATGGATGCCATTCCTATTTTCAGAAATCATGTTTTGTAGTATGAACAACAAAGAATATGGATTTTGTTGATTGTGGAAAGAGAAACGTTTGCTGTATACCTTCAGTTAAATCTCTGTTTCACTTACAAAAATTAATTGAAACTTTGTTTTTTTCATATTTAACATCAATAATTCAACTGTTTATTAAACTTAAAAACTTGAATACAATTGAAAATGCTAAATGCCGTTCAGTAACCAATATATATTTTAATTTTACGAATTCTAACTGTTCGGTCAATAAAGAAAACTAAAACGAGAACAGGAAAAGGTTGCTTGTATTCAAATATGTTGATATAAACTAGATAAAGTTTGATTTCATCAAGTAAAAATCATGGCCTAGTAAAATAGTTGAACTGACTCAGGGTTAGTTTTGAAAACAAACAACTCTTCAAGAAAATTAATTTTCACTTCTTACAAAATGAATTATGACACTTAAAATATAATTTAGGAAAAATTTCATCAAGATTATCTACATGATATCATGCAGAAGCGGAAATTGCCAATAGAATGACTTTTTGAGAAAAAAACAATTAATAAAATAGAGGCCTGAAGAAAAAAAACACAATTCCTATAAACATAATTTGCCCTTTTAGTTTTTAGTATCAGTAATTCTAGTCTTCGATGTTTGTCAATAGAATTCATTATTGTCTTTATTTTTAAAGTAACGTTCACTTATATTTGTCATTTGAACTTCATCAACCATTTGTTTTTATTTCAGTAGATATTTTTATTTTCTTTTGTGCGGGGTATTAAATAAGCGAAATACGTAGAAAGCATTAGTGAGAAGATGCTTTTAGCTTTCCGAAGAGAAAAAAAAATACAATGCTAATCAATCTCAGTATTCATCAAAGGATAAGACATTTCGCCGTAATCTTTTGCCCATATAATTTGCCGGACGTAATGATGCACGTTTTCCAGCGTATGGTCGAAGTGATGCACGTTTTCCAGCGTATGGTCGAAGGGATGCACGTTTTCCAGCGTATGGTCGAAGTGATGCCCGTTGCTGTAGACCATAGGGACGTAAAGATGCACGTCGGTAAAATTCAGCAAAATCTTCCAATTCATCATCAACATTATTTTCTTCTGCAGTACTATCAACTACAGGGTGCTTTTCATCTTCACTTGTGTCAGCATATGATGGTTGAACTGTACACCAAAGAAGAACTAGAAAATTGAATAGATTCGTTTTTTTTTCTAATTATAAATATTTTTAAAAAAGAAATCATACTTAGAGATATTGTAAGCCCGAGAAGCAAAAGTGAACTTCTATTAGTATACATTTTTGTAGTCGTGATTCTTTAGAAGAATTCTGAAATAGGATGTTCAATTCTTTATATTTATTTCAGATGTATATAATTATGCTTGTGTGAGGAACACAGAAAAAGATAATGTGTAGAGTTTGGTTTATGAGAATGAGATATATGCCAATAGAAACAATCCAAATCGCACTTAGTCTCAGTTTATGATACTTAGTTTGCAAAAAAAGAGAAAAGAAAGATGTCATTACACAAATTGAATGAATTCAAAGAAATATAATAATAAAAGAGGAAATAATAGAGCAGAAATATGAGATCTTTTTTTTGTCGCTCGGCTATATGTATATTGTCAAATTTATTAGTGCCGGAGAAGAAAAGAAAAAAGTTTAGATGTTCACTAAAACCTTCGAATAGTTTGTTTGACAAATATTTTATTTTTTCTACATAATCAACGTTTCGATCTGATTCATTCATCGGCTATTGGTATGAATATACAATGTCATATATCAGGTTTGCTAATCAATTTATACTCACGGACATAATAATATGAATATGAAATAGAAAATATGCTTTGATTATAGATCCAAGAAGGAATACTGAAAGAGTAAAGATTTAACAGAAGTATGCTTTGCTTTTGTCTGCCAATAGTCCATGCTAATGAGATCTAGATGATTAAATTTCATGAACTATTTAACACTTTCATTGTCAAACGATTATGTTTTCTATGTAGTATAACCGGTATCGTTAACATGTTTTACCAAATGAATGAGTACAAAACAATACAGCAATTTCAGAAGTAATAATATGTTCGTTTGATTATCTATTCTTTTTTGACTCACTCGACCAATGTATGCATGAATAATGAACGAAATCGAGCTGCACATGATCATTTCCGAGCGATAGTCTCAAAGTATTATTATTGGGATGATTAGTGCTTTTATTTGGCTCTAAATAACGAGAGAAGAGAAATAGAGCGAGAAAAGAATAGAATCTTACCATAGATAAAGATTACCAATAAAAACGAACTATCAAATTAGGATCGAGGGTGTCTGAGATAGAAAGAAGTAATCATTTCCGCGTCATCTCACTAAATGTGTGCGAGCATATACTCGCAATTTTTTCTCTTTTAGCAGCAATAGGACAGATTGAGCATTATCACGAACTACTCAAACACGATTCAGAATGAGACCGAAACGCAGACGTAGAAGCAAACAGATGCACAGTTTAAACGATTAAAACTGATGTTCTTCTTTTCTTGTCTTTCTCTCTCTCTCTCTCTCTCCTTCTCTCTCCTTCTCTCTCTCACTTATTTTATCTTAATTCTATAAGGGAACAAAGCAGAAATCTCATGTAATAATAATTGAATCTTTAAATATTTAGAAAATGCAACATAAAAGAGGAAAATAATTTCGCGCGCATTTGTTTGGCAACTTAATACAAAATAAATCAAAATAAATAAGTACATACTTAATATTATAACATGCATGGGAAACAGATCATGCTGCTCAAATACCCATCAACGAATGCAACCGTCTACATCTGGTCGTATCGCTTTAACAAATAGTCCACAGCATGCGTCTCGTATGTCTCAGTTTCATATTCTTCATGATAAGTTTCCTGTAGGACAGGAACAAAAATATGAAATTTCACCAGTAGATATAAAACAAAAACATCTTGTTAATTTATTTCTCACACCTTATTACAATACAGAAATACTTTCATATAATCTTCATAATGATCAAGAATGTGCCATATGTTTTGAACCGTTTTGTCGACAAGATACTGTAGCAAGACTTGAATGTTTATGTATTTATCATAAGAAATGTTTAGATGAATGGGGCCAACGGAAACGATGCTGTCCTTTACATATGGATAAAATAGTGTTAACTAATCTAAATAAATTTAATTCGTCTAATCAATTCTTACAAGAACAAAATAAATAATTGTATCTATCTGGAAATTTATTCTATGAAAAACGAAATGCAGACACTATGTTTGATTTCATAGTCTTCGGTGAAGTACAGCGAATTGAAAGACAAGCATAGAAAACAAAAACATGTATCATGCAGCCACTCTTTATTTAACCTTACGAGGGACCTCTTCAAGTGATACTAACCATTCGGGTTCACATTATGCTCATAAGTAGGATCCAATGAGACTAGAAAAAGCCTAAAAGATTTCGTGTCATTAGGCCTTTCTTTCAAAGTTATGACCGTTTTACTAAATTTTCGAGCTTGGACAACGGATTTATAGGAAAACTAAACAAAGGTGTTTCGAACTGAAATTTTTCCTAGCAATAGACCTCATCTATGTTAGAAGGTTCCAAAAGTTTCAATGAAAGCGGATGCATCCTTCTCGAGATATTGAATATTGAAGAGAAGTCAATTTTACGACATTTGCTTTGGAAAATGGCCGTTTTCATCAATATGCAATATCTAAAGAATGATACATCCGTCTTCATTGAAACTTTTGGAACCTTCTAACATCGATGAGACCTATTGTTAGGAAAAATTTCAGTTCGAGATAAAAACGGTCATAACTTTGAAAGAAAGGCCTAATGGCACGAAATCTTTTAGCCTTTTTCTAGTCTCACTGGGTTCTACTTATGAGTATAATATGAACTCGAATGGTTAGTATCATTTGGAGAGGTTCCCTCGTTAGATGAATCTACCTCAAATTGTGTCATACATTTTTAGAAGTAACTCATAGATGCCATAGTACCTTTACACTGGGTATCGAGAGGACTCTAAGGTGTTTGTGCTAAAAATTCGTTACCGGATATAAGGATATTATGATATCACTCAAGTAACTAATTGAATTGATGCAAGAATATAAGCCGGATTAATTTAATCTTAAAAATGGAAAGTAAGAAAACACTAGTCGCCTGCATCTTTTTATTAATCAAAACAGAAGAAAGTTGAAGATTTTTTCTTTATCCTTGATGCTACGCCAGAAAACGTAATATGAAAGTCTGTCATCTTGGTTAGAAGGTATTCTACTTTAAGCAGATTTTAATGAAAAGCCAGCAAATCTACTAAAATTGATTGAGATATGAGAAGGCAGTCGTCTGAATTATGTTATATTGATCTTTAAATGTAAAGTTCATGTCAAAATTGAAATGATATCGGAAGCGAAGCATCATTTTCAATATTTTTGTAAGATAATAAATTTCGAAGTGGTTCTTTTGTTCTTACTATGGCACAAAAGATGATCTCGTGTCTATTCTTTTGATGCCTGAAAATAGCAAGTCGCTAGTAGTTATCTTTATTGAATTAAGGCATCTACATCCATCCCTCTTTAATCTATCCGAGTGATTATTTTTCTCATCGAATGCATAGAACTCAATAAACTTTCTCCAGAATATTTTCGCTCATGATTCCACTTGGTTTATTTGCTTGCAATAATGAATTAGTCTCATACTCATTCATCAAGCTTTTCTCTAACAAAATAAATTCAGCATTGATTTTTTTCAGGAAGTTTCAAACGAGAACAATAAAGAGATCGTGCTTTTCTTTATGGTAGATGATAATCGCTCATAAATATTAGCCAATAAGAAAACATTTATTTCAACTTGAATCATTTTTATATCGTTTTGTTCTAATGTCCAATAAGCATATCGATTATAACTTGTCAAGATTAAAAATACTTTTTTCTATTGAAAAGAAATTTTTTGCAAAAAACCTGTAGGATTTCGTTGATTTGCATATTTTTCATTCTTGACAATCAAGACTAAAATTGCATAAGTGTACTGCTGTAAACATCTCATGATTCTATCGTACTCTCCATCACATGGAGAGTACTTACGTTGACAACAGTATTTAAAATCAAAGCTTCCGCTCTGTGAGTTATCAATACATTTATTATCATAAAATAAAAGCTTGTCAGCGCAGCCCCGTTGGGGCTAAAATGTGGAACTCACATATTTCAGTCAATTAGATACTGATCAAATAGAAGATTTATTTTTTCAGTGTAGTGAGAACATATTTTGTTCAAAAATAGGATAATAAAACCTGTTTAACATTTGAAGTTTATTGGATCTATCAATAGGAAATATTACTAGAGAGAACGTATGAAAAACTCTTTGTTTAAAATATGTCAGTATGCTGAAGTGTTTAGTGGTTTCATTGAGAAATATTGTGAATGATAATAGTTTAAACAGTATTTATGATATAGCAATCAATATTGTTGAGAAATTTATATTTTTTCGTATTACCAGGTGAGAAATTGATACATTTTTTCATAAACGAAAATTTGATAAAAGCTTCCCAGTGGATGGAAAAGTTCCGAATTGTAAATACACTAAAGTGGACTCAAACTCTAGAATAAGGTATTCGTGTGAGAAAGAAAAGATTAAAATCTTCATCTGTTTATTGTAGGTGGTAGAAGTAACGAATGTAATAGTAGCATAAACTAGTTACTAGCTTCTGTAGCGGTAGCATACACTGGTTACGAACGTCTTTAATAATAATAAAATATAATACTGTCGTAACCATGGGCTATAATAATAAAAATATGCGCTATTATCGTAACTATGGACTATAATAATAAAAACGACAGATTTTGATGATTAATTAGAGACTAAATCCTCCCAGGTGAAAGGAAACGGCCTGAAACGGCATAAAAAACGATGTAAAACGTTAAACAACGGCGCCGTTTTCCGTCAGCTCGAAAAACGAAGAGAATAGTGTTAAAAGCGATGGCCGTTAGCTAGCAAAAAAAACGGCCCGTAAAACGAGATGATGGATTACGGCGAAATCGGGTGAAAATTAATGCCGTTTTATAGCAGTTTCAGGCCGTTTCCGATGGCCTTTCAGACGGCAGAATGATCCTCCTGGGCTAATTATAATGAGTTCTAATTAGTGAAACTAGATTTTTATTAGTGATGCGAGTAGTGGTGAACATAGGCAATCCATCTGTATAAAAATTTTATCTAATTAGTGCACCGAAGTGTTAGTTTTTTTCGTTTTATGTCTGTAATGGAGGGGGGTACAGAGGAGCCGAAAAAACCTAACAATTCAACTTACACTCATTATTTTCTTCGAAAATATATGTGAGTTCCACAAAATAAGATTGAAATATGCGACATTTGATTGATGAATATATTTTTATTCATAGAAATGGTCATGTATACTTTAAGCATTTTAATCGTAACCGTGAGAAAAAACGAAAAAAAAATATGATGCAATCAATTGTACCACCGATTCCCTCTATGGGATTGCCCAACATCATGATGTTGACCCCTAAAAGTATCGATGATAGGATCGTAATGATGATGTCGCTTGGATTCTTCATTTTCCCGACGTCGACGCTTTCGTCGAATACTATAATATTATATTCAAAATTCATAATCAGATCTAATAAAAGAACAGCCTAGAACTTACTGTGGTAAATGTTCCCAATCATGGTAATAGTGCGATGGTGAATAATGCTGATGACGTGGAGAATGTTGAGCGTGTGGATAATAGTATGGATAATATGCATTGTATGGTGGTTGTGCGCCATGGTACATGGGTTGCTGAGGCATATCAGGTTGTATGAGCTGTAGAGGTATGCCAGATTGAATGGGTTGATGAGGCATACTAGGAGCAATTTGTTGCTGTGGTACAACAGAAGCAATAGGTTGCGATGGTATACCAGGAGCAACCTGCGGTTGAGCGTAGTTTGGTGCCATCGGAACAGTAGAAGGATTATAGTTGCCGTAGACCGAAGGAGCTGCAATGGGTTCTAATAGATTACGACCTTGCGGAGCAGGAGGTAGAGAAATAGAACTTTTTGGAATAAAATTCGTCGACATTGGAACAGGTGGAGGCCCATAATTTGTTGGATATTGTGGCTGACCGGGTTGACCCATTGGATAATTATACGCCATTTGTTGATTTGGATCATACTGCAATTGTTGCATTGATGGATTCCAGGGAGCCGGCGGTTGACCAGCCCAATAATCATATGCATAAGGTATTTGACCATCATTCTTAATGAAGACTTGTTGATTAGGCTGTTGGGTTGGTAAATTATGATGTTGTTGATCTGTACTACTAAATAATGGTTGTTCTTGTTTTTGTTTACTTTTTTGCGACATGTTGCGATGAGAAAAAAAGATTGGTGTTCACATAAATGGAATTACTATTTCAATAATAAATGAGTCAGTCAATTTCATTCTTTCTTCAAATGTCAGGAAGAAAATAAAATAAAATGAAAGTAGATTGTTAGCTTGTAAATGGGTTATTCAGATCTAATAAATTCTTTTTAATATCATATTTTCTTTGTTTATTTAAATATTTAAATTTTCTAATCATATGCGAGCATCTTTTTATAATCATTTCATAATTAAATAGATGTCTATTTTGTTTCACTAATTGAATACATGCTGAAAAAAACACGTATTTACATTGGTTCACTAATTTAATCGATTTTTTATCATAGTTAAACGTTTTTTTAATTAACATCCGTAAACCGGAACGTATTGTACGAAATAGAAATAAACTTTTCGATTGAATATATTTATGTGAATAAAATTGTGCAAAACGAAAACACATCGAATGTAAGCGTTTAAAAAAATAACATGATAGAAAATAAAAATTTCTTATCAGCGTTTTATCTGACGTATATAAACGATCAAAATAATATGAATGCGAACGAAGAAATAATGCATTGATTAATGAATGACGTAGATGATAACCTATTTCACGTGTTATTTTAATTGTTAACGGAGTGACTTTGTTCTCTGAATTATCATTTTGATTTATTGCAACAAGAATTTCACGAGATTGAATATCAACAAGTGAACCCCAATATTCAACTGGCCGAAATTTTTTCATTGTTTTATGACGTATATTGGTTTTTGTTTTCAATGAATTAGTTATATGATGTAATTCGTCTAGTTTTTTTGTCATATTTTGCTTGATATGTTGAAGACGATAACGATGTGGAGATATAATTAATAAGTCATCTTCATGACGTACAGCGAATTCATCGGATAATATATTAAAACTAATATCATAATCAATTTTATTTAAATAAATTTGTCCTAACATTGACGCTATTCTTAAACCATGATTAATGCCGATTATACGACGAAAAGTTTTAATGGGCAATTTTTTCGGATGTAATGTATAAAGATGAGAACTAAAAAATAGTTTTGATTTCGAATTTAATTAAAAAATAAAATAAATATTTACTTGAATAATTGAGCACGAATATATTTTAGTAATTTTTCTTTATTGTAAATTTCAACATGAGCATCATAGATGATCATATCATGAAATGTTCCATTGCTAACACGTTTTGTAGAATCAGTCATTATTTCAAGCATTTGTTCATTGTCTTTTCCTACCCAATAAGTGATTTTTCGACGAATAAAACGCCCCTTACGATATTGAGTTTTATATAATGTATGAATATACAAATCATAAGTAAATTGACAATTATCAAGAAATTCTACTAATGCCTAAAATAAACAGACGAAGTTTAGATTCATTTTTGAGAACACTGTTTGCTTATTATAATGAAATCATGAAAAATTCGTTCATCAATTAAATGTCTTTTAGGATTGTTAGGGACATGATCTATTAATAGCAAAAGATTTTGCAAGTACAATTAATATATTCAGTGGAGAAATTTTCAAGATAAAAACACCTACTTAGAATTCTTAAAAATTCCTACGAAATTTTCTCATCAATTGACATAAAATTACACTTGTGAAAACAAGCATCTACAACAGACCAATTTTTCCGTCATGACCTTAGAGAATTTTTTTTCTTAATTGATTTTTGTTAGGCATCGATTGGCAAGGCTAATATCGTCACTCACCAGATCAAGATAGTCAAGGTTAATTGAATCATAGAAATTCGAAACATCACTTCTCTACAAATTAAAAAAATGTCATATTAATTGACTAGTAGACGAAAAATCTCATACCAAAAAGTAAGTCATATTATCATTATCTATTGGTGGCGCATTCCGGCAATAATCTTGCCATCGTCTATGCATTTCTATTCGATTAAATGTCGAAATACCCATTAAATGACTATTGTGTCTTCGAAGATATTTCAATACTTCACTTGTATATTTTAAATGATTTATATTTTCTTTCGTATTGAATTGTGTTTGTGCACACGCTAAATAACGAACATTGGCCACTTTAGGTACAAAACGTATTTTCCATAAGTAACGAATACAATCATAGTTATCAGTTAAGTCTTTTTCGGTATGTGAAGAGCAAGATTTATGAAATAATTCTATACGAGATTGCCGTTGTATAACATACCTAGTATTAATATTTCAAAATATGAAATTTTTTGAAAGTAACAGAATGTTTTTCTTACCAAATTTTATGTCGATAGAAAACAAGAGCAAGTTGATGGCAGGGCGACGATGCTTCAGTAGCATAGAAATATGAACGAACCAATATAAGAACATAGCGTATTAGAAAATGAATTAAATGGCAAATATATAAGTGAGAAATAAGCGACGAAGAATTTATTGAAGTTTTTGCCCAATGAAAATGTTTAAATTTAATTTTTCGAATTGCATCACCTAAAGAATAATCTTGTGTTCGAGGTAGATCAATTAAAAAGCGCATTTTATGTACGAATAATTTATGATTATACGCTGAACCAAACAGTTCTCGTGGAAGAACTTTTTTCAACCAGACAGAAACAAAATTTTGTACTGAAGAAATGGGTGTTGTTAATGGTACTAATTGGTCTAGTGTAGCAGTTGGCTCGGGAACATGGTGATTAGCATATGAAAATGGTAAACGAGACCGACGACGAAGATAAAATTGATGATGATTTGATTGAAACTTTTCGAATATTGGCATTAGATGTTCACAAATGTATTCCTAAATATATAAAATGATCGAAAACTCCATTCAACATAGAATTTCGTTTGTTTTAACAGTCGATCTTTTCGAACATTTCTGCTCAAAGCGACCCTTGATTGAGAAAATCATCTGTTAGGTGTTAGGAGAGAAAATGTTTTTTGTTTATGACAAACTGGCATGTTAAAAGCATCGTTCGGGTGTTGTTGAGTTACTAGAAGCGTAAGCTCGAATATTCTAGATATCAAATGAGTAGCCACCAGTAACCTCCAGACATTCCAGGATCACGTGTACTGAGAGGGCGGCTTTAAGTGTTGTAATATGGTTGTAAGCAGAAGGACTTCCGTTCTGTTCGTTTCACCCCCAGCACTCGTACTGAAACTCTGTAGTCGTATCAACAGAACAGTTTTTGGAATTTCAAAAGATGTATTAAATTAGTACAGAAAAACAAAATAATTTATTCTAATCACGAGTGTGGTGTAACGATTTCTTACGCCTTAGAAATGACATTCTTATTTCTCGTTCTCCCTTACCAGTTCTTGTTTTGGTCGATGACTGAAAAATGTTTTACTAAAATCGGATTTAAGCCAAGCATCGATAAGCATTTGTCCACTCGATGATTTTTCAATAGGATGATTAATATCGAATCGTTCATATTTCGATACATGATATTGAATCATGTTTCTATCGATTAACATTAGACATAAATCAGTTAAATTTGCTTGTTGTCCTTGTTTAGTTGCATGTAAATGAAATTGTACTGTTCGTTTTCTTGTATTAAATTTATGGACTCTTAAATCATTTCGTTTTTTTTCTTCCGCAGTTCTTGTTACATAATACGGTACACTAAAAAATGTTTCCTGTGTGCCACATAATTGTGTAAACAATAGTCTCTTACGATTTAAAGATTCAACTATTACAAACTCACTTAGAAGATAAATCAATGCATCATCAGTAATAAATTGTCGTCGTCTAGTCCAGAGATTTGATAAACAAATATGCGAAATCAGTGAATTTTTCTTTACATAATCGTCATATTGAAATGTATTTTTTGATAGACTTGTATTTTTCAAATCAATATTCATTAAGAGTATATTCAAACGATTTTTTCTATAACAATTCATTAAAAGATTGAACAAAAATGTTGAATTATCATTAATGAAATGTTTTCTTTCAAGAATTTCTTTCCATTGAATTTCTTGAGTTTTTGTCATTTTTTTCGTCAAATAAATTCCATGAAAAAGTTCTTTTTCATTCGAATCAATGTTCGGTATATATCGAACAATGGAATGTAACTCTGAATAAGCACTTTTTAGAATATTCATTATTTACCCGCGTATCTACAACAAAGCAAAAAAAGATAAAGATAAAAAACGCTTTTTTTCTCTATTTAAAAACAAACAAAATTCATTGATGATCTTAGCAGCAGCTGCATGTGCTGTTGCTGGTGCTGCAGGACTTTCTTATGTATTTGATGATGATGAACAATCATTACATAGAAAATATGAAACAGTTACTGTATCGTCAACAATTGCTGATAAACAAGGTGTCGTTAAATGTGTTATACATCCGTATTCATACATGTATCCTCCATTTCTTAGACCAGAACAAAACAAAACTTCTATTCGATTTATAAATCAAAATCAATTAAAATTACCTATAGAAATCAATAAACTAAAAGCTAATGATTCGATTTTTAAACGCAATTTTTCTATTGTTTTCTTTTGGTCAATGCCATTAAAAGCTCGTCTATTACAAACATCAACCAAACCATGTTTTAGTATTGAGAATTCTAATATCTATGAACATAAATCGATAAAATTTAGTGTTGGAATTCAGAATGTACGAATAGAGATCTATGAGATTATTAAACTAAATATTAATTTTTCAGGAAATTAATGGAATTTCTAACGTTTCATCAGAGATAGTTCTTTCAAATCTTAATGATGAATACGATAATACATTTGATTCGTTAACCTTATACAATCCAATACGAAATGATGATACCATACCGATTGGTGTACTTAACAAGAAAAAATCCAGTATAACTGAAAATAATAATAATAATCAAAAACGATTTTGTTGTGATAAAATATTAGGTTAATTGCGAAAAAATGCCCATTGAAGAGATTATTGTTTCATTTGAAAATTTTAGATTCAAATCAAAATAATTTAATGAGAAATATAATATTAAAAAATGTAAATTTATGTGTAGATAATTTATCCAAAGTTTTAAGTGAATCATGTTCAAATAATGAAAAACAATCAGCTACATTACAAGATTCAATTTCATTTGATAATAGTAAATCTAAGACATTGATTCAACAGGATATCTATCAGAATATACATTCGCAATCATTTAAAAAAGTATGACTGGCCATTTGAATGTTTTGTGTGCACAAAGGAAGATAATTCTAAGAGAGGATAAAAAGATGTCAGATATATTCAGTATTATTAAAATATTCAAACTGATTTTCTCGCTATTTACAAAAGTATTATTAGATTTGATAATGAGTCTATATTGATAAAAGTATCAAAGAGAGAAATGTCTCTAAAACTACTGAGAAATCAAAGTAAAGAATTAAGAAATAAGTTAGCATCATTTGCTTGTTTCTGATTTGGTAAACCTCTTTCATCATCTCTATATCATTCAATATAGATAATATATACCGATGGATACTCCTCTTCTTAGACATTACTGAACCTTTTTTTCTTCGAGTATGTTTTTATGCAATAATGATAAATCTTGATCTACGCAAATGTTTATGTCGTACAAACTTGCTTATTCAAATATAAAAGAATATGATACTCGAGGATATTTATTCTAATCAAAATACGAAATTATCGTTTCAAATAAGCTCTATCCTTGAACGATTTTTATTGTCAACATTTTCATGTTGAATAAGATAAACTATTGTAAAAATTTTAGCATGACGAAAGTTTCAATTCGAATCAAATTGCTCTGCTCAAAGGTAATAATATTACAAATTCGAATGAACGAGTATCTGATGGTGTAATTTTACATCGTGGTAAACAATTCGGTAAAACATTGGGTGAACCCATAGCACGCAAATATTATGAGAACGAAGAATGTTCGACCAGGTCTTCTCATTTGATTAATGTATTAAATAGATTATTATCGAAAACGAGTTGTTTATTAATGCGCCAATATAATATTCAATCAATCGAAGATTTAATTCGATTATTTTTAGAACACGGTCAACAGAATTTTACTGAAATTATGATCAATGATTTCAAGGTTAATTCATGTGTTGTTGAACAAATTAATATGCTACTAATAGAATGGACTAGAAAGCTGACTTGATTTTTTTTCTGAACACCTAGCGACCTCTCTCTCTACAGTTTTCTTTTGTAAATTTTACTATAGATAAATTAACAAAAACATATAAATTAACATATCTCTCAAAGGTTTACTCTAAACAGAATCTTTTAGGCAAACAATGCTAGTTGTCAAGGTTATCCATAGAGATATAAGTAAGAATGGCAAGCAAACATAACCTGCGCGTATACTAGAAATCAGCTGCCAACATTGTTATTACTTCTATTTTTCTTGAAATCTTACTCTGGAATAGAAGAGAATCAATTTTTTTATAATGAGTGGATTTAATGCACTTTCAAAACCACTAAAACCTCGATCAGAAGTTGCCGTACATACAATTCATCCAACACTTGAACAAAAGCCCCGCGCTAAATACAATGTACCAGATTGGTTCAATCATAAGTAAGCCTTTTGTTAAATGTTCAAGTTTTCTATTGCAACTCTTTTCGTTTTTGTCCGTTAGCTATGCTATTTCATTTGATGCCGAACGTAGTAGAAATGTATCACATCAAGTACGACAAGATGGCCGAAGATTGATTAATGAAACATACAATGAATCATGGTGGAATAAACACGATAAGTACGTTGACTGTTAAAGATATAATTAGACTTCATTCTCACAATGTTAACATATAATTGTTGCTAAGATGAAAATGTTCTTCTAAGTGGTAAAATGTATCATAACTTTTTATTTCTTATTCAAAAGCTTATTGTTGGCTCTCTTACGAAAAAATAGTTTACGCCAAACGCAGAAAAGAATCGCGAGTAAGATCTTTGGTCTAACCAGATCTTCTATAAGAATTTCATCTACCAACGGATAGGAGATCCGTACTGAAGCTATATTAGGCAAAAGCATACAGAAGAGAATGATCAGCTGAGTTATCATCGTCACTTTACTTAGTTAATATTTGATTTCTCTTCAATCGATATCCATGATCAGGCGTTTATCGAACTTTATTTGTCTCTATTTCAGTGATGTACGTATTTCTGATCGACTTGATGAAGTTGATAAATGGCGTAAAACTCTTGAATATACAATTCAAGATGTTGATCGTGAAGTTCAAGCAATTCAGGCAGCTAAAGAACAATGTGAACGTTATTTGGAACATATGCGTAGTCCACTAGGTAAATTATTAACTAATCGAAAAAAACAAAAACAAAAACTAAAAGCGTATGAAAATTTTCATTAAAGATGTCACGTTGGAAAATCATGTCACACGTGATGGCCGCAAAGCTATTGATAATGTTGACGATGAAGCTGAACGTGAATTGAAAAAAGTAAGTTATTCAATCGTATAAATAAATATACGATTTGCAAGCCAAATAGCTAAGTAATTTGATTCATCTAATATTTTACATTGATTTATTTTTTCGTTAAATTGAACAAATTCAGTTGACTCTTGATTAACAAATATAATTCGTTGTTTTTTAAAATCACATAGTATCCAATCTAATGTACGTTCATAACCAGTTAAACACGTTATACAGCCGATATCATTTAAATCAATCATGTAAACTTGTCTATCAAGTAATGAATCGTAAACATACAGAGAATATTCTTCATGTTGTTTTGATGAATATCGACCATATCGTATAACAACACCAATATAATTTTCAAATGCATGCAAACCATGCATTGTACCATCATCGAATTCAAGATCACAAACATGCTTACAACCATATTGCGATAAACGAGAAAGAACAGTTGAAGTACATGTAGACGTAAAAGAAAAATAGCCATGATATATAGAGGACATATTACATGCTAGATATCGAATTCTATGATTGTGATCGAGACTGAATGGATAGCCCGGTAGAATAATATCGTATTTAACTTTAGATTTTTGAAAATTATAGATATATAAATTCGATGTTGATGCAACTAACAATTCATTTTTATATTTATTATAACATGTAGCGATGTAATTAATATTTGGTGATTGAAAACATAGTTTTTCATCACATTGACCTGTTTCAAGATTATAAATATCAATGTGTGTTGAATTAGCTAAGAGAATTTTATTGCCATCGAATTCTGATATCGGTTGACAATGATATTGACGATTGAAAAGAGAAATTATTTTGTACGGATTATTTTGCCACCGTGTTAAACTGTTTAAACTTGAACTTCGATGATAGCTGATTTTTCTTTGACTTGCAAGGTCGAATATAATTGTAGAACTTGGTAAAGAACTTGTACGACGACGACGATAATCATAATAATTATATTGATAATTAGGTTTAATATCCAGACAACTTACATAATGTGGCGTAGATTTTTCATCGTCACTTGATGTTAATTCAATATGATAAATATTTGGTGATAGAGATTTTTTCTCATTATCATTGGAGTTTTCTGCGGTTGTTGATACATTATCATCATTGCTTATTTGATTATCATTTATTAATAATTTTGCCGAGGTACGATACATAGGTGGTATCGTAGTCATATATTCAAATAGGCATTCATCAGTATGAAAAGATTTTTCTCCATGCGATAGACTTTGTTGGCTATCATCTTCGCTGCTATTCCGAACGATGACTTTTGCTTCTTCCAGTGCAAATTTTACTTTACCATCGGTGGACGATGGTTTTAGTAAACGAAATTCTCGTCGTCGAGTCTCTGGAGTTGAACTATTCGTTCGAATACGTGGCATGTACAGTATACTAGATAATAATCAAATGAAAAAAGAAACATGCACGCACAAGAATAATAACATTCTTTTGCATAGGAAGTCTACGTGATCGACGGTATCAAACGACAACTTCATCAACAAGTACAAACGGCTTTTGATCAAATTGCTCGTCTCAATGAAGCTAAACAACAATTAATTCGAGTATATTCTATTGAAATCTTTGCATTGAAAAAGCAAAATATTTCCCCCATCGTTTAGGATTTACAAGATAAACATACAGCTTTTGGTATATGCGAAGAGAATTTACAATTAAATGAATTTTCACCAAATATTAGTTATAAACCTGATCCATGCCGACCAATCAAAGGACAAATAACACCTGAAGAATGGCATGCTTTCTCAAAATATAATAAAGATCGGGCAGAAAAAGAAAGTATAAAAATACAACCAAAACAGAAACAACAATAATGAATATAAAATGTTGTCTCTTTAAGTCTATGAATCAACACGTCTTCGCGAAAGTATTTTTCATACAATGGGTCAATCATCAGCTGATCTTGAATCACAAGGAAAAGCCAGTGAATATGCATTACGAAAACGCCTACATGAACTTGAACGTGCACTTAAAGAACTTGAATGGCAAAAGAAACAGGTACGATTTTTGAAAAAAATGTATTGCAGTGTCTAGAGGGTAGAAATTTCAACGTTCTGTCGAATACGAATGTTTTATTCTAAGAAATAAATTACTCCGAAAGAGGATTAAAGTAAAATATAGTAAAGAAATCCATTTTGTTCGATAAGCGATGAAATCATGTTTCATATTGATGGACATCGGTTTTCTATTTTAGACGGAAGAAGAAATTCTTAGCAATGAAAATGATATTGATCGTTTGGAAAAATCTATTCGAGGTAACTAATAAATCTTTATAGATATTATCAACACAATTACTTCCTGTATTCTAGATAAAGAGCCAATGATTAAATTAGCTATGACACGACAAGAAAATCGTCATAGTAGACCTGGCATGGATTTAGTTCGCGATGAAGTTTCATATGGAGTATGTTTTAAATGGATCTTTTCAATTCGATAATTTCCTATTAAAAATTTAGTTATGCGATGAAATTCAACAACTAAAAGCTGAAAAACGTGCCTTAGAGGATCAATTAAAACAAACCAAGTAACATAACGAATATACAATGGTTCTTTTATTTTCTAAATAATCTATTTAGACATGCATGGAATATTCTTCAACAACAATTACATCGCATTGAAGATGAAATTGCTGTAAAATCAAATTCAATTATGCTTGAAAACCGAGCATTAGATACTCGACGCCGTCTTAATACCGAAATAGCACCAAGTACAGAAACTGATCGTAATCAACAATTACTTAACATGGATGCAAGTGGCATTCGTCCAATACTTCAACCAACTTTCTAAAAACAATTCTTTCAATAGAATTCATTAAAGACATATATTTTTACGATTCCGTCTGTGTGAGAGTGTGTGCGTGTGAGTTTACGATCCCATCATATACTTAATAATATGTCAAGTAATGAATAAAGAAAAAATCATAATCAACAACAAGATAAAAGAGCAAATTTAGTTAGTCTTTTTTATTGGATTTTGTTTGAATGTTGTTTCTTTAAACTGATATATATGAAATTGAACCAGTATGATCAAGAAGTAAATACATGAACAAACACTGATAAGAACAACCCATAGATCTGGATAACGTGATGGTGGTTGAATATAAATAGCAGCGATTAATAATGGAAGTGTTGCAGTTATGCATAATATTGACTGAAAAGAAAATTTATCAATAATTGACTTTTTTTTGGAAACAAAAATGAAATCGATGATTAGAACATACGAAAAATAATTGAAATAGTGATACTTGATTTAAATGTACGTATATTCGTTGTAAAGCAAGAATTGAAAAACCGATGAATGTTAACCAGAAGATAAGTACTAGATCATCTTTAATCATTAGAGGAAACACACTAAAAACAAGACAAAGATTTATGAATTCAATTCTGAAGAATCGTCAAATACAAAAATTGCGTTTCGATAAAGAAACTAAAATGGCTGTTTTGGTGCTTTCAAGGAAAGATACTTGTCATAATTGGTGAACGCAAGCTCTCATATTTATACTTCAGGATGAGAGAGACATACAAAACTAGTCCCGAAGTTGAGACCAAAACAAATGTGATCACGCAGATCTATATTCAGACCTCCTTGTCAAGTTTGCTTCACATTTTAAACAAACATTGAGCAGAGACTTCCATACTTGAGAATTATTTAACTTATATTCGTATAGAAACGCTTGAAATTTGACGCAATATGAGCTCTCTTACCTGATCATAGAAAATTGCAAAAACGAAAAACATTCAATGGGATATGTTGCTGTCAGTAACATTAATGGTCTATAATACATATTTATTTTGATATTAAATAAAATTGCAAAACAAAATACGTACAAACATGGCAGTAAAATTGTTTTTTCATGAACTTGAAATGAAAATAAATAAAAGCAAAGTGAAACATTGAACTAAAAGTTAATTAGGAATTATAATTAGTATAATTTTTTTTCGTCCGAATTAAAACTTGCCAGACTGATGTAAAAATTTCGAACTGTAGGTCGTCGAAAAAGCATCAAACACGATGGTAAAATAGACAGTGAAGTTGTCAATAAACTAAAAATTTTTATCCTAAATAAACATAATTAAAAAGAAAATCAATTTTTTTTACCATATTTTAGCTAAGGCTTCGTGAGTAAATTTCGATCGAAGTTTAACAACTAGATTGATCGTACACCAAAAATTAGCAACTTTATCCTGAGAAATTCAATGATCAAACATTCTTTTAAAAAATTCAACAGAAAAACAAAATTTTACTTCATATAAACCTCTTTCGAACGGAAAAAGTCTTTTCAGGACAGCAATTGGATCATGTTGTAATACAGGTACCCATATGATGAAAAATGTTAAAATTACAATTGTTCCCAATGATAAAAATGCTTTCAACCTTAATTAAAAAACATGAATAATAATTAATTAGCGTAAACTAATTCAAAATAATTCTTACTTGATTTTTCTCTGTTCAAAACAATAGGCCGATAATAAATAGACAAATATTGGTACAGCATGGTAGAGTTCCATTTGTTTATAATTCAGTGATAAGGTAAAGAAAAAAGCTGAAGTTAGAAATGAATTCGATTGAGTAGCCATTACAAATGCAATTAATGCTAAACCAAGACTTATGGAATTATATTGAAAATGTCCATGATCAATAAGAATTAAAAGTGGATAAAATAGATTTGTCAGTAATACAGTTAACTAGAAAGAAGAAAACAAATTGTATGCGGAGTTCGAAGAAAATAAAGGTATAAACTTTTTTTGTTGCAACATTCTTATTGAGAACATCCGATCGATAGACATAAAAGACAGCTGGATAATAGATCAGAAGATCAGCGATAAAAACTAATATAAAAAAGTTATTATTTTTTTGTAAAGTAATTTCAATTCTTTTCTCTTTACTAACCAGTATACCGCATAAATAGTTTATGTGAACTACTTTCATGTCCGTGGGATTCTTTCAAAGCACACCATGTCGGATTGATTTTGTTAGAACTTAAAATGAATTCGTTTTTTTTTCTCAAAATAGGCATTATAAACTATTCTAGAAGACTCACATCCATCCGCAAATATATGCATGATAAGCTGTTAACAATGGATAATCTAAACCCCAATATGTTAAATTATTAGAAGAAGAATTTTGATACCTAAAATATAAAGAAGCATAAAAATGATTGTTTCATTTTTTTTTTCTGCTCGTTCACCATTCATTAATGGGTAAATTGACTGTTACTTCCATCCAATGACGTTGAGCTTCAAAATCACCAAACATGGGCGGTTTGTTATAACCTTGAATAAAGAGTATAAACAATTTTTTTAATGGCACAAATGTGACACCACTTTTTGTCAATTATAAGCATATGTCAACTAAAAATCGTCTTCGGTACGAGACTATCTCTCCGGTATTATTAGTTACAATGAAAGAACATGAACAGAAAAAAAAGAATTTTCTGGCGAACTATTTTCAAATGAACTGAAAGTTCTCTTTTACAATTGCTGACTTCAAAATTTACCTGAATAAGGATATCGAGCAACAATCCATCGCATAGCGATAGCCGATGAAAGTAATCCGATAAACAGAAGATAATCCATTCTGAAACAAAATGATCAAATATGTGTTTTTTTTTGTTAAATAATGAATTTTCTTTTGAGAAACATATTAAGCAGAATGAGAACAGTTTTTTTTTGCTTGTATCATTTTATTGTATCTGACTATATTATCTATTTTTTTTACATGAACATTTACAGACGATCAATAAAAAAATATATATTTATAAATCTGACGAATATACATCATTCATTCATTCATTATCTTCTTCTTCTTCTTCACCGTCGCCCTGTTCTTCTTCGTCATCATCTTCATCTTGATCTGGTCGTACATCGCTTGAATCTTCATCCATGATCGAAGAATTTTCCTCTTCTTCTTGTTGTTGACGATACGTCGTGTCAGTTAATTCATTTCCCTTCAAATCTTTAGCTTTCAATTGACCAATACAAAATACATTGGCTGGACAATTATTAATATCAACCATTAATTTCGCTCGGCACATTAGCATTTCAAGTGTACGCTTCAATACTGGTATTAAACGTATACAAGACATATGTTTCTGATCTTTTTTAACCATATTGCAAAGTGATTGTAAAAGGCGAGTTGATTTTTGTAATACAGTTAATAGCTGTTTTGTTCCATGTGTATCGTGCAAAAAGTAGAGATCTAATGTTGGCATTGAACGAGCTCGAAATACATCAATATATTGTTTCGAACAGCGAAGAACTGTTGAAATAACCTACAATGATATGTAGATTGTGAATTTAGTGTGATAAAATCAAGATGATAGCATGAAAAGAAAAGCAAAATATCCGGTGTAAACTTTCGCCCAAGAAAATCTTTTCACGCTTAGCAACTGCTAACTAATGAATATTATGAATCGATATGAGACGCAAATTTTGCAAAACACTACCTCTCGAATTATTGTGGGTTTCCTTGCCACTAGTCGATATAGAACTTTTTTGCTCAATCGAAACTAATATCAGTTTGAGGCATTTAGCTGAGCGAATGAACATGGTGATATTTTGTGTTTCAATATCTACAGGACGCCTTTAGAATCCAATCTACATAAAGTTTTTAACTACGGAACTATCAAGTTAAAAATATCCATCCTCATTCGATTCAATGACATCGCAAACTCTATATTTAGCCATAATCAGAACATTTTGCTGGTACTGAACTTCACTCTTAGTATTCTAGTTGTGCGCATTGGTGAGTCTAACTGCCAAGAATTGTTTTAAATGTCTTATTTACCATGGCATTTTTAGCATATATTTGATCGATCGTAACAAATGATACAAATTTACGAAATAATTCATTAAGTTCCAACCATTCTGTGCAGATTTGTTCGAGTTCATTTTTTTTCTTTGATTCGTTAGGTAATTTAATTGATCGAGCTTTAATAATAAAATGTTTAAAAAGACAACGAAAATAAACTACAAATGTCGATTTAATATTCCATGTTGATAAATCCACAATTGGATTGTCTAATGTATCATCATCGGTATTTTCCGTATCATTCTTCGAGCCCTTTTCAGCTCGTACAAAAATTTTTAATGAATAATGTATTAAACCATCAATAACAGAATTTATTTCGTTGGGTTCAAGATGAAGTAAATATAGATTAAGCAGCGTTTCAACAGCTCTTACAGATGATATTTTTGAAAATGATAAAACCGTACTGGAATTGGCATCAAGACTACATTCTTCTAATAATTGACGACATTTGCCAGTAAATATTTTGTAAAGTTCATCCTTAAAAGCAAGAAAAAAAATCCTGTTAGAAAAATATTGATCGGATTCTGAAAGTTGACGGGAGAAGATAAACTTCGATAAATTCGCATTTGTGAAATACAAATAAAGCTAGCTGATGAAATATACCTGTTGTGTTTCGTCATCAAATAATTGAATAAATAATTCCAGAGATTGACAAAGACGTGTTGAATCGATCAAATTCAGAATATCAGTAAATGTGAAAATTTTTGTCAAAATTCGAACACGTTCATTTTCTTCTTTTCCAGTTGTTTTCTTTGCTAATAGAATTTGATTACTGATAGTTTTTAATAAATGACTTAAACATGTTTCATCTCGATCTAAATCCTTTTGCCAATTTGTTTGTTTTACTTTAAATAAGCTTAATAGAAAATAAAAACTATCGAGTGCATAATAGAACGCTCGACTAGCGATATTGCGACTTTGATCACGATCAATTATAAAACTCATATCATCATCATCGTCAGTTTCCATGGATCCAGTTGCCGCATCGGTATTTGATGCACTCATAAATGTATGAATATATTTCATCGTATTGATAACTTGTAATAAAAACATTTCGAAATATTCCAAAGTTATAAAATCAAGTTTATCATCATTATTTTCATCCACATCTTCATCGTTATCATCCGTATCGACACGTATTTGCTGAGTTAGTAAAGTGGTTGGTGCTGTATGAGTAATAAAACGTTTTTTAACCATACCAATAGATGATATTGATGAATTATTTGTTGTTAATAAACGATGAAGATCACCCATCAATGTTGACACACAACGAAGAATAGTTAAACGCTGTTTGCCGTTGCTTTTCGGTAGACGTTCAAGATATTTTGATATATATGGAAATGTGACGTATTCAAGTGGACGTATATCGAATTCATACATATCAAACATTGATGATTGTTTTGATTTTGGTTCTTAATAAAACAAATTATGTTATACAATGGGTCTATCATAATGAACAGTTGCTTTCGTATTTATTTTATTGATATCCTCGTTGGTATGATTCTCTTGCAGAAGCCAATTAACTACCTCAAACTCATCACTATTTTCACGTCAAACCAAAGAGCACAATTTAAATTTCATTTCACTTACCTGACGTAGATTTCGATTGTAAACAAAACTTTGTAGAAATACGTTCTCCAAGCGTCGTCTTATTTGTACTAAAGATCTAATATATTCGAGTGTCTTAATATTTACCCACGCATAATCGTTCCGCTGTCGATTTCTATCTAAGAAAGTTACAACAATAGGCTACTAAATAGAAAAATCATGCATTTCTCTAGATGTTTGCAGAAATAAATAAATTGTTTTCGTCCTCAGGACAAGCTATTCACAATATATCAAAACTAACTTATTACTGATAAACTTAGAGATGCGGAATATCTCTATCTGAACTCGGATATTTTTTGTGGATAGATTCAAGGAGATACTTACTAGGCTTTGGCTTTAGTTTTGCTACAGTTGCTGTTCGAGGTTTTTTCTTATTTGTATTTTCTTCGTCTTCACTTCGACTTGCTTCATCTTCCTCGTCGTCCGATACAGGAGCAGCTCGTCTAAATAAATTATTGCTGTTAATTTATGAATAATTTTCAATCGAAATCCTACTTTGTTCCTTGTTGTTTATTTGCCTTCGTTTTAGTTGTTGTAATTTTCTTTGAAACTTTTTTCATTTTATTTCTTTCAATATTCGAACAAATCGGCTCATAAAATCCATATTTTTGTCGACATATTTGGACACAAATAGAAAAATGCTCCTCAATATCTGCCAATTGTTCGAGTCTTGTTGATATTAACGATTCATTTTGATTTAATTCTAATGAGAGTAAATTGCATATTTCTCGAAATAGTCGACTTGCATAATAATAAACATCACACAAAATATTCAATGATGAACTCGAAAATTCGTTTAATTTTTCACGATAAGATTCTAAAGATTTCGGCACATCAATATCGATATCCGCTGATGGTAATACATCTGGTATACGTAATGAACATTGAAGAACAGCATCAACTTGGTCGATATTTGACCATGATGCCAATACAATTAAACGCAGCATTGGCGCTAGTAAGATGGGCGATGAACATGTATCACTCATGGTTCGATACTGATGATATTTGGAAATAATATTTGCTAGATTAAGTATTGATGCATTTGTTGTTTGTCCATCGAAATTATAGACAATACGAGTTTGTTGAGCAAAGCGATTTATGTCAAGAGAATTAGTTGTTGTAGATGCATCAGTATCGTTCAGAAATGCTTCTTGAAACATATCAGCTGCTGATATAGCAAACCAATCGAGCGATTGCGTATCAAGTTGAGTAGATGATGAATTGAGTTGTTGTTGTTGTTTATTTGTTTGTTTGGAATTAGCTGAACCAAGTATTGTTGCTAATTCGTCATAGAAAAGTGCTAATGTTTGTGGACATTGCATACCAGATGATTGTACAAGACCAAGAAGATCTTTTAATTCATTTTCATGATTGGACATTTTCCCATCCAGACGAGTATTACCTAAAAGAATGATTCCATAAAATCTTCTTAATGACATGGACGAATGAGAACAATTATACGAAATTTTCGTTTCTCCCTATTCTTAAATAAGATTTATCAATATCTCTCATTTTCTTTTTATAAATAGACTGAACATTCGTCTATCAGCGTTAAAAAGATGAGTTTACTTCTTATGAGCTCAGTAATACTGCTGCCGAGTTTTCAAGAGCTACCACGCGATAGATCAACCTAATTTGTGAGAAAACTATAATTCGTGTTCTTACTCTATACAGCGAAAGTGTTCAGTAAAATAAAAGGATAAACTGCGATTAATTAAGTTTCGATAGAATGGAAAATTCGACAGATTTACCGAATTACTTTTCATCAAAATCAAATCCTATTAGTCTTACCAGTGTTTGGTGCTTGTGTTGAATCAGTCACGTGTCTAAGAAGCAGCGAACGAAAAATTTCAATAGCACCAAAAACACCACGAGCTTTTTCTTTATACGGTTGTATTAAACATTTAGTAACAAACATATTCAAGTCATTATATACACCTGTATTATACATTGAAGCAAGAATTGAAAATACCAACCGAAGATGATCACCCTAAAAATGCAGTCAATACTATTTTAATTCTATTTCTCAAATAAACTGATAAAACATACTCGAAATGTATCAATATATTCAAATAAGTTCTTTATATATGATTCACAATTTAATACTTTTGATTTATATCGATAGCAAAAACGTTTGAGTAATTTAAGTATGTGCAATCTTTGTAAATATCGATTTTGAAATAGAATAGCCAATCGAACAAGTGCATTGATAATTTGCTCATTGAAATCAGTCGTATGTTTTATATTTTCACTAACTGAAAAAAGTAAATCAATAAGCATAAAAGCTAATTGTAAACCGATTTGTAAATGAATAACATTTGATGATGATAACGAATTGTTTGTTGTTGTTATTGTTGGAAAATTACCAAAGGATAAATGTTGAAATATGGCTATAGCAAAACGAAATATATGCTGAGCAAATTTAAAAACAAATGAGAGATTCGATGTTAAATGTAAATAAATCGAACGAATTATAGATGGATCTTCGCCGAGCTTTTTAATGAATGTTTTTAAATTATTATAATATGAACGATTTGCAAGCAGAATACCAATGAAAAAATCGAATAAAAAATAACTATTTATTTTTAAACATAAATCAGCAGTTATTGGATGTTTTTCTTGGCATGTTCGAAAAAGAATACGCGATGAATTGAAATAATGTTCAAATCGTTCGAAAAGACTTTGTACAGTTTGAAAATTATCTGTTGTTGAACATGTCAAACGATCGGATCTAAAGAGAGAAAGAGTTTCTTTAAAACAAACATTTCTCAATGAAATAGGAAGATCAGTAGAAATTATCTTTTTAGGGAAAACCAATTGATGGGATTTCAAGTACAGTAGCAATTTATTTTACACGAAACTTTACGCTCTACAATTATGCTCCACTATTGTAATGAAGAAAAGAGGATAACAAAATTCGACTACTTATGCTTTCACAGATTTGAACGAGATATTGTTCGTACAGAGTGCCAGAATCGATTTTTACAGTGACGTACTTAAAACTAGTTGCGTTCGAGCTTTTCGTTGAATAATGACAAAGCAGCTCGAATAATCAAGTAGGAAGAGCGAAAAGTTCATAAATGAATTCCTAACTCTCGTATTTTATGAATCGATTCGACATGTTGAAAATTTATGCAATAACAAATTAAAGGCCTCAAAGAAATAAAATTTTTAAATAATTCATCATGGAAATTTTGCTTGAAACAAAACATTAAGTCTTGGTTTCATTTATGTGGCTTACCTTCTGCCAGATACAGTTGCAACATCACGAAATAATAGTACGGTTTCGAACATATTAGTTTTTGTTGATGTTTCAAATAGATAATTAAAACATTCCACTTTAACATCTGAAATTCCTGTCATAATCATTGGAATAATTCTTTCTCGTATTCGTCTATCCGTTGAATCATTGAGCTGTATTGTTGTTAATGTCGATAGAACTTGCTTAATAATATCAACGTTAGTTGACTCGAGTTTTTCTTCTAATTTTGTAACGATATCGATTTGTAAATAATCATCGCAAAAAATATCTGTAACAAGTGAAATCATTTGACAACGTACATCATTATTCGTAACTAAATCAATAACATCCAAATAAAAATAGAGTAAGTCTTTAGCATTGGTTAATTTTCCTATGGGAAGATAATGAAATGTTTGTAATATAAGTCGTATCATTGATAATGGTAAATTTTGTACAATGACACGATCACCACCTTTATTATCAAAACGAACAAGGCGTTTGAGTAAATATTTTGCTAGAAACATCTGTAATTCATCAACGCATAATAATATACGCATAAGACTATCTTGTTGTTGAGCACGAAGCGGTGATACGTCATCGGCACTTGATGTTGGAAGTAGAGATGAACGAAATATTGAATCGTTGGAAAAGAAGGAGATTAATTCAGTTTCAAATTGTTTTACAGATATTTGTGGTAGTGCACCTATTGTATTGATATTGCTGTCGGATGATGAACGTAAACGTTGTGAGAGATGTTTGGCTAAGATACCTTGATCAACTTTAAGTTCAAGCTACATAAAATAAAACAAATTTTTATTCCGAATTTCTTTAAAATGGCATCATCGTTTCCCATACAATTGAGATCAACGTCGAAATGACGGATCGAATAATTTGCTGAGTGAAATGGTTTGAGAATCGGGCAGTTGTGAAAAATATCCCGATGGCTCAATGTACTATTGACCATAGCGCCTGAGTCAACTAAGAACTGTCGGATAAAACGACGGATTAATCTCAGTAGTAGAAGATTATGAACCTGAAGTTTATTCTGGGATCCTGGGACTATCGACACACGTAAAAGCTCAATATTTCGGTTCTCGATTGGCTTCTCTCTGAAAAAAGGCGGGTGATCAATTCTTTTTTGTTATTCACGTTCTCACTCGGAGAGCTACAGATCCAAATCTAACCTACACCCGAATAAATCTGGAAGAATTTGGAGTTCTTTTGAAAGCGTTATTAACCAAATTACAGACTTTTTCCTTTTCACTTGTGCCCATCGTGACTGTTAACGCATTGATTAGCCGATGTAGACATGAAAATCCCCCAAATCTCTATTATATTTCTTTCTTGTATTTCCAATTCTCTAACTCACATTTAATTCATCATTGTTATTCATATTTTCTTCATCGGCCATTTTTATTTCAAGTCCACATTCATCAAGTATACGTGTTACAAACATATTTGTTGCTTCAGAACTACGTTGTGATCGTTGTGGCGGTGTTGAACTATATTCTTGAATGCGTGCAAGCGATTGCGTTGATTGTTGTTGTACAACTTGTTGTGAAGCTCGAATTTCATGTTGACGTAATAAACCCACTTGACGATTCATTTTATTTTATCTTTGCAATCTAAATTTCATTCATTGATTTATTTCAAAAAAATTTCATTTTTATTAATTACAAAAGCAAATATAACTAGTCTCTTCGTAATCAATATTTTCATTAACAAGAATACAAGTTTTTAAGATACAAGTTAACATGTGTACCAAATAAAATTTAACCCAACAGAAAACTGCCTTTTTTTATCTATTTTATCTAATACACAGATAGGTATAAACAAGAAAAACAACTAAAGAATTCACATAAATGTATAATGCAGACGAAATATGTATTTAAATCGGGTTCTGTATTCGTCACAAGATATGCCAACTGAGTAAAAATATGACTAGAGTACAAATAGCTGACTACATTCAGCTCAATAAACTAAAATACAAAATAACTCTACCAGATAATAAAGTTAACAGACAACCTTACTGAATTTTTCATCGATCCAAGACAATCATTCGTAATGAACAAGAAAAACAACAGAAAGAGATTCGAAAAAAAAACAAGAAAACAATTATAATCTACTAAATGAAATATAGGTATGTGCTGATTAAAATAGGAAGAATCAACTCAATAATGGATGCTTTCTTTCGAAAAGTTGTATTCACTGTTGCACAGCATATTCGGCAAGATAATCAATAATTACGAGAAAAGAACAAAAACACAATAAATATGTATTCAGTATTTATATTTTGACAACAGACAAAATAATGCATCACTGTTATGATTGTTTAAAGACGAGGTAGACAAGCAAATATTTATCATAATTTGCTATTTCTGTGATCCTAAAAAATAAATTGAACGATAAAGTTTTAATAATACAGAACAAAGAGCTTATTCTTGATTCGTATTTGTTTTCAACTCGGAAAAGAAAAGGATCAAAATTTATTTTCAGTAAGATGAACAACAAGACATTTAGTTAAACATTGTTTTTTGTTTAGCTTATTGAAATAGGTCAGAATAGTGTCACTGGTGAATTTTGCTTTTCTGTATCTCAGTAATTTCAATATTTTCTGTACAAGTATTTTTCATTTTGAATTTCTTATCAGATAGAATATGTCTACAGGAAATTTTAATAAACTTAAGAAGCTGTGAAAGATTGTTGTTAATTGAATCCTATTTTTGTGCGTGTCGTTTTCTGTTAAAATGAACTGGCTAACTAACCCTGAACTTATCATTAACATACAGAAGTTAATGATAGTATTTATTTGTTAACAGACGAGGAAAAGGGCAATCTACGAGATGTTAGTTTTGCAGGAATTAAAATCACTCCTTTTCCACCTTCATAACTAGTTGTATTTGTATGTGATGATGTGCCATTTTGATTTTCTTCTGATCCATGTGTATCTTCGTTAATATCATATAATTTCGATTGTTGTTGATGTTGAGATGCTCGTTTATTGGATATAAAAGCAATATGTAGTCTATTAGAATCTTTTTTTTCTTCTTCCTCTTCTTGATCTTCGGGTTTCGCTAATGGTACACTGGCAGAATTTACACATTTTTCATTATCATTTATTAGATGAGTTTCAGTACTATTGTTAGATTGAGTTTCTAACGTTGTTGCTGATGGTTTGAGTCTGGTTGATATTCGCTTTAAAAAGTTACTCGATGATTCGTTTCGATGTTTGATGGCTTCTTCTAATTGTTTTTGTGCTCGATTTATTCGAACTTTCTCATCGATAGCTTGTTGTTGAGAAATAAGTTTTTGTCGATTTCGTTTTGCAAAACGATTATACCAACGTTCATCAATTGAACTTTCGGCTTGTGATGATGTTTCAAGAAGTTCATTATGTTCATATGTATTCGGTGCATCATGTTGATTAATAATATTTTCACAGGATTTCGATTTTCCTATACGACTGGAGTCGGACAGTGTTCGAATACGTACAATAGACGATATGTTTTGTTTTATACTAAGGCGAACATGATCACTTGGATGTAAAAATCGATAATAGAGAAATTGAAATAAAACAGCTAACCAAAAACCACAACAGACAAATGTGACAAGCGAATATTTAAATATTATATTTGATTCAGCTGAATGAATTGCATATATGATTGAAAAAGCAATGTTTTCGATGTAATAGATTGCATAAAAACCAATATAATGTGCACGAGTATCACCTTTGCGAAGATTCTAAAAGAAATAAATTAGTATAATGAAATAAATTCAATAGAAGAAAGAATCTCTCATAGTAATAAAATATGTATAGATTTTGTTTGAATTGACCTGGCCAAATTTTCCTAATTATAGTTTTATCTTTTTGTCGAACAAAAAAAAGCAATCAAAATAAGCCTATTTTCTTTTCCGATATTACTCCCAAAAGACATAATGGCATCGGTGTGAAAGAAAAACGGAGATTGTTCGTCAATGTGAATAGAAAGACAATTAGAGATTATCTTACGTGAGTAGAATCAGAATCGATGACATGAATCATTTGTATTTTGCTTAATACATGAGTTGAAATCAATAAAGAAGACTTTCGTATTATCAAGGGATCGTAAAAATAATAGACCCAATACTGAAACTGGTTGGAATGAATGAAGTACAAACAATAACACATTCCTGCTTCCAGAACATCAAGGCTCGGAAGCTTAATAACAAATTCCGCAGAGATATATGTATTTCAGGGCTATTCATTATTAACTTTTCTTTCGAAAATAACTTACCATATAACAAAATATAAATATATATGAGCAAACAAGATTATAACATTTTTCAAAAATAGCTTCTCGTGGATGATATTTTGACTGATCACTAATACAAAAGATTGTTCGCTAGAACAAAAAAGCAATTTTCATTTACATATTATAATAGAAACATATTTACAAAACGAAGTATCCAAAAAAGCATTCCAAACCAATGTGCAACAAGTATAATCCAAAACCACGAACGAAATGTTGCTGCAAACATAGCAAGCGCCAATACTCTTGGAGTGATTAGAAATAAATACCAAAACTTGATAAAGAGGAAAAAAATTCATTATTATTAAAAAAAAGAGAAAAAGATATTATTTATAATTAATACCCATTGAATAATCGTACTCCACCATGACACTAATTGTGGTGGAGGTTTTCCTTTTGGCCAATCTTGTGGCGAATGTGTCAATTGCATATGTCGCCAACATCGCGAATAGCCACTAAGCGCATATGCTAACGAACCAAGTGAGGAAACAATCGATAATGTTTGTTTTAAGAATAGTGTATCAACTAAAACAGAGTTCAGAAACAAAAATTCTTATAAATCTATATTCGATGTTAATTACATTTCATTGATGTTGAACCAAGCCTTAACATAATATATAATTGTAATGTAACTTGTGAACCCGAATCCATAAAACAATCGAATACACGTAATAAGGCAATGTCAGCGTCAATTAATATTTGTTTAGTTAAATAAAAACGTTTCCATTTTGGATTATGACGTTTTCGAAAACCTTTCCATGTATAATATAAACCGCGAATATACCTAAATGAATCAATTGTTGACTTCTACTAATCATCATATAGAAATCATAGATGAAACCGGTAATAAAAGAAGTCTCAAGATTTCTCTGAAAATTGTTTTTTTTTCTGAAAAAGTTCGCTTCTGCGGACATAAAGGGTCTTCAGTTATTGAAAGATTTTGATTTAGTAACCGACATAAAGACTCTTTGTGAGATTAACCGACTTATTTCTTTCATAGGATATTAAATTTCATGTTTTATCTCACTTCAAACATAAATCTAATTGTAATACAAGTATAATAATTCGAATAATCCATGTTAAAATATTGGCAGTTGCTGCTGAGATTTGAAAATATTTTCCTTGAATATAATCTTGCTGTCGCATATCTTTCTCTGGTGGTTGTAATTTCGATTTTACACGCGATATATGACTATCTTGTTGATCTTCATCATATAAATCGTCTGTTTGACAAGAGGAATTTTGTTTTTGATTCAATGAAACTAATTCAGTATTTTTATTATTAATACGTTCTTGATCTTTTTCATTTAAATCATCCGACGAACTTGTTTCATACATCGAAGTGTTATATTGCATTGTGGTTTGGTTTTCATTTGCAACGGCTTTTAATTGACTACTATCCATATACCAAACAAGTGAAAAAATCGACAAAGTCAAATTTGGTAGAACAACACACATTAATGTTAGTATGAAAAGCCAATAAGCTCCTTCTAAGTAATAGGCATGAGCCAAAACTAGATCAGTAACCATATCAAAAAAGAAGGCGAATACACCCCAAGCATAAATAAACACTTCAAATACATTGATGGTCATTGAATTCGGTATAAAATCTGCAACCATTGTATTTGGTGATGGCTCAGAAAATAGATGAGGTTGTACACTATCATCGTTATTGGAATTCGTTATATATTCAACTGGGTATGGTGGAAGCACAGATCCAGATGTATTGCCTAATGTTGAACGTCGTCGTATCATTTGAATTTTTTCTTCTTCATTTAATGAAAATTGTATTTGTTGGGGTTTAATTTCATCGGATAACGATAATTTATTTGTTGCAGTAGAAAAAGACTTGGATCTTTTGTCATGTATATCAATTATTGCTTTATTATCTTCATCTTCATCTTCGACAGGCGCAATTGGTTCAGGACAATTTGTTGTTCCTGTTACTGAAATAACTTCTTTGCCAAGAAAACCAAATGGATGCGCACGATATAATTCCTTGTGTGTTAAGTCTTTGAGTGATTGAAAAAAATGCAAATTATTTGGTGCTGATATTGATGCTTGAGAAGAACTATTTGCTGGTGATTCATAATCAAAAATATCTGTGGAAGTTGTTTTTGAGCGTCGACGATGTGATTCTTTTATCGGTACCTTAGAGAAATTCGGTTGTTCAACAGTTGCAGAGAAAGCAGATGCTACTCCAGGTAGATAAATGACAGTCGTCTGTGGTTCTATGAGAAAGACAAAATCATGGTTAGCTATGTTTATTACTTTTACAAAAGTCTGGCTCATTTCATCTTTTACTTAGTTAGATAAATTTTACTAATATAAACAAAAGATTGAAAATATGGGAACTAATATAAATAGATTGGAAGATAGCCCCTGATATATGATATCTCACCGTGGACAGTTTCTTATGAGGCATTTCCTTTTGTGCCAAACACTTTGATGATTTCTGTCATCACCTACTTTGAAAACATCCGCATTCCAGTCAACAGCAGGACATATTTCTTAGTTTCTGATCATGTATAGGAAATTTTTACGAAGAGATTCATGATAGGCAATTCATTTTTTTTTCTATGTGAAAAAGAATATGCTGCTGTGATGCCTGCTTCATGGTTATAAGCATTTCTATCAATAGATGCATGGATAATTATTTCCAAATATTAAGATTATTATATCCTGTCTTCACTTGAAAAGTATGAATTAATCTTTTAAAGGAGACAAAATTAAATCTATTTCGGAAAAGTTCCCTGAGAATATTAAATTATTAGATGATCGTTGTCTGTTGAATATCCATCTTAAAAACATGATAGTATGCAGTTAATACTCTGAGGCAATGTGAATTCTCTTAGTTTTATTTTTTTGAAAAACAGATTCTTTCACAGTTGTTATTAGAAACGCTCCTTGGTCGATTCATAAAATTTAGAAATTTTTATACCTGGAGTTGATATTGTCTTTGCAAAGTCTTTGTTTTCGTTAATTTGTTCATGGTCATTTATTGCTAAAGACCGATTTATAATCGGCGGGTGTCCATCAGAATTTCGATCGGACATCTATTGCATAAAAATAGTTGATAAAATAAATAAATAAATGAATGACATCTAAGGTGTCTTACTTTTCCTCGGCATTAAGTTAGGAAAAAATAAAATGAAAGACGAGAATAATAATAAACGGTTAAGCATAAGAAAAGGAAATTTTATTTACTGAACAAAAAAATAAATAGTAAATAGAAATCAAATTCATATATATCTAGAATAGACCAGAAAAAAAATGAACAATGAAAAAAAAATTTTATTTATTTTATTTATAATCCTTCTAATGTTTCATGTTTAAGTAATGTTTGTAAATTACTCAATTTTTGTCTAAGAACATTCAAACTAGATAAAAGAATCTAAAAGTAAAGGAATCATCTTTTATTGATAAGAAGCGAAAATAAGATGTGAAACTTACTGTTTCTGGTTTTAATGCACCGGCTGATTCAACATTAAAAAAGTATTTATTTGGTTGTTTATTTAGTTCATAGGGTGCTTCATGTTTATCTTCAGCTAATTCTGAAATATATTATGGCATAGATTTATATTTTTTTTATTCCAAAACAAATATTTTCCTCTTTACCAGAATGTTCTGAATGTGGCCATTCATCAGGTACTGGATAAACTGTATGACGAAGACTATTGTCTGGATCATATTCAAATGAAACACCCTAAAATATTCACTCCATTAATATTTCAATTCTTGAAAAACGAAATTCTCTTACACAAGTTGGAATCCATTTAGCATGTTCTTTACCAAAACCTTTTCGAGCATGAGCTTTTAAACGAAGTTCTTGATTTTGTCGAAGTTTAACAATTAGAATATCTAAACAAAAATAATATTCTCTTTTGTTGTAATGAATATATTATTTCGTATTAACGGAAGATCGTTCTCTTCTTCCATGAGTCTGTTTTTATTTTTGTTCACAATGATTGTAGAATCTTGATAAAGATTGTCATGACGAATCAAACTTCAGAATTATGATTTAATAGTTTTCGAACATTCTAGACACGGAAATCTTCAGATTCGAGAATACTTCGTCGGGGTTATTTAGTGTCAATGCCATTTACAAGAGAACAAAGTATTGGGGAGGGGGAAATAAAGCGTCACCATATTATCTACGACCTTCACTGAAAAGGTGAAATTTATCACAAAATAATATTTTTCTGAATCGATCTTTCTATGAGTTTCGTTCTCCTTAAAACACCATTGTTTATAAATAACTTGCAAAACAATCTTTCACAATTTGATAATGACTTGATGCAATTATTTTTACATTACACAAAATAAGGTCTAAACTATGTTTCTTTCAAAAACTTTTTCCCATTACCTCACATCGTTCACAATTTCATTAACACAAAAAAAAAACTTACGATCAACTAAATTGTCTCTTCCATCATCATCGCTTTTAGCTTTTGACGTCACCGGTACTAAATTTGGATTGCTCGTTATCAGATCAGCTGATGTAACCTAAGATTAAACAAAATTTGAAAAATAAATAATTTCTTTCTAAATATATATCTTCTTACATTTCTTGTATGATTATCTTTATTTTTGACATCAAGTATAAATTCAACTGAACATTGAGGACAATAACCTTCACATGCACAATCACGATGATAATTCATTTTATCAACAAGTTCTTCACTATATAATGGAATTAATCCAATACGATGAGCAAGAAATTCATCGAATAATACAGTTGTATTCGAATCGATTTGTACAGAATCAATGGCTATTGTTGGTGTTTCAGCAATCATACAACGACGAATAGCATTAGCTACGCTGAGATCTGTATTTTCAATAACGAATTTAATATTATCTTCGGTTAACTCCGTCACTTGAACGTTAGGTTGATTAGCATATGGCATTCTAGTATTACCGATTATTCAAATGGAATAGAAAAGTAATGATCTTTCAATCAATTGTGTGCAAAGAAGAAAAGAATGAATGAAAAGAAAACGGTCGAACCGAACAAGCATTTAATAGAATTTTATTCATTTGCCAATTCTAGATGGCCAATAAGATGTCACGAGACACACGTCGCTCTGTTGCAACTTGTTGATTAATGTTATATATAATATTGAAGCTTCTAGCTCTTTTAGGTTAGCTTGGTGTCTGGAAGACGCAAAATAATAATTGATTTTCTTTCTATAGTTTGATCGGCATGAAATGTCTATCATATTCTTTTTTCTCTCTTTCTTCACTAGTTCGCTAGAACACAATTCAGTCGATGAATGAAACATAAACGGTATTGATAAGAAGAACATGAAGAACAAGCAAAAAAAGAAAGTATCGTAGAGACAACTTAGAAGAAAGTTTTATATTAAAATATGAGATGTAAATAATCTTTTCTTATGCAAACTAAAATAATCAGCTCAATAATCTTTGATAAAAGAGAGTATTTGATAGTACACGATGTTCTGAAAGGACGATAGGTTATTCAAACAAACGTTCAGAAGTAATCAACGCTAATGCATTAATAACATGACAAAATCAATGGATATTCATAATTTTACTTGAGATTGGAATCAAGTCGATGGCATGAATATTTTTATTTTCTATTTCGACAAAAAAAAATCATATTTTGATTAATATAATTCAATGGATATTGTCTGTAACGAATCACAATGCACAAAAAGAAGGAGAAAATCTCAGGAATTCTAATCTTTATTTTGTTTCTGTAATTCGTGACAGTTATTTTAATAAATTATTCTCCGTTACCTACGATAATAAATATTTGTAGATCAGAAACTTTCTTGGTTTTATCTAATGTTAATTGCACAAACTATTTAAACGAAAATCTCTTTCTAAACTATTCCGATTTTAGGTTAGATCATATTTATTTTTGAAACTCTACTTTGTTGGTTTCAATAAAATTTAAATCCTTTTAGATGCATTGTTTTTTTTTGAAGTATTTTTGTTTATGTTTTACTTCAATAAAAATTAACAATAATCAATCTATTTGTGTTTGAAGAAAATAGTCTTTTATATGTTCAAGTTATTGTTTTCCAACAGAAAAGTCATCAGCATATTCAGAAAATTTGATTTCTATTCATAAGTTTACTTAATTAATTTTTGCACAATTATTTCATGTTCTATTTCTTGTGAAATTGCATATCACTTGTTTCACTAGTCCATACTGCATGTCAACACGCTTTAGTATCGAATAACAATTGTTCATAGTCATCTCAATGCAAGTATCAATAAGATAAAGTTGTTTAAGATAAGAATATTTAATGATTGGCAAGAATGAAAATGATTGAGGAATTCGAAAGAAAGATCCATGTTCAAAAGAGTGCTCATTAAATAATAATACTAGACAAACATATTCATATATTCCACTTGGAAAATAATTAATCCAATAGATAATTTGTTTATCGTTAAAATCTATAAATGTCTTTTGAATATCTTCATTGGATGGTAAATCAATTTCATTATAAAAACTGCTTGATGAACGAATATTAAACGGGAAGTTGTTTAATTGTGTCATGGGATTATTAATATTTATCTTCAAATCATTACCATCAAAAAATGTTTTTCTTTCGTCAACAGTAATATACAAATGAAATTGTTCTAAACTTGACATTCGATGTAAAACAGTGGTACAACTAATTCATTATAGACGAGTGTTATCCTATTGCATTGCAGCCAAAAGCATTTTAAAGCAGGTAGCTTTTCCTAGAAAAAAGCAATACTATCATCTATTGCTGTAGATAAACTATTCAGTTGTGTTGTTATCAATGATATTGATCCCTAATCTACTCTTCTCCGAGGATTCCCCAGGGAGTCCCCGCAAAACACACGAAATCCCTAGGGACTCCCTGGGGATTCTTCTAGGGAGAGTTGACTAGGGTCAAAATAATTACAATTAAATTTTCATTCTATTGATGGCGTTGAACTTCTTGCGCCTGTTATCACAATGCTACCTTCACTAGGAACTGAATCTTCAGCACAAAAATCGAACAAAACTTGGCGGCTTGAGAGAACTAATTTACCTTGATCACGGGATAATGTTAGTCGATTAATACGACCATGAGAACGCATATATCCTCGTAGATATATTGTATCTAAAATAAAAAAGTATTTTCAAAATGATTTAACTTCAATATTTTCTATTTTCAAATAAACAGAAGCTTGTCGGATACGAGGTAACGCGTCCGTTCACAATACATTTTCATATAATATTCGCTTTTCTTCAGTAAAAATGTTCAAGTAAAAATTTACTTGTGTTTCTAATCCACTATCTTCATTTCGTCGTGGTCATACATCACCTAGGTGAGTGAATTCGATATCGAATTCTATAAGATCTTAGCATTCAACAAAATCCGATGAGATTCTGAGTTGAGGTACTACTCCTGGATCTGATGGGCAAATCTTATATAGTTAGTTGAGTAGAACTTAATAATTGAGTTCAACATCAAATATCACTTAGAGCCGTGCTAGAATGTCGGATCCCAACACTAGGGATCGGAATGTCGGTTGACAACCCGGACCCTAGCGTCAGTTCTATCGAAATTCACGTAAAATTCAATCGGGCTGCTTTCGGAATGATTCTTCTGGACTAGGCGCCATCAGCTGATAAATCATCTCGAGAATATCAACGTGCAGAATGAGATAATCTAGAAGAAACATCAATCTTCTTGTTGATCCAGCAAATGAATCAAACATGCCTCATCATTTCGTCGCCAATATCAATATAATTATAAATTCAAATGCTTGTGAACAACAAAAACTATTACAGATTTAGAAGATCAAAATATGCTGCTAGTATTATTAAACAGATAAAGAATATTTACTAATTTCCTTTTTTCCATTTAGTTACATGAGATGATAGCACAACATATATTAGTTCTTTTACTCGAAAATTCATCAGATGATAATGTTAATTTAATAATTGGATTCGTAAAAGAATGCAGATAAAAATGATGTCAAGTTAATCGACGTGGATTAAATTCTATATTTTCAACATTAAAAAATTTACTTAATAAATCAATAATAAAATGTACACGATATATGATTCAAGGTTTATTTGTTATGCGAGAAGATCAATTTAAAGAAAACCCAGCTATTTCAATTTGTCTTCATGTTGTGCATGAAAATAATTAATATACACATATGATTATAGAAGATGCATATGGACCTGAATCAAACCTTGGGTGTGATTCATATTCAATAAAATACTTCTCTTATCTTTCTTTTCATTTAGATGTCCTTAAATTTGGTGAAAAATATGAAAAACCCGAACCCATACGTTCAAGAAAACAGCCCGTAAACGAGCTGACGGGTCACGAAGAAATAAGGTGAAAATGAATGCTTTATCATACCGTTTTATAGTCGTTTTAGACCTTTTAAGATGCTCGTTCGGACGGTCGGAATGATTGTCCTGGGAAGCACAATATGATGTTATTTGAGAAATGTTTTTTCATAAAAGTAGTGATGATGAAAATAAATCAAGTTTAACTGCTAATGATAAAGGTGATGGAAAAAAGATAATGCTTATGAAGTGTTAGCGGCTAACCCTCGTTATGTTTTTCTTTCTTTTCTTTGATCTGAACTCTCTCAGGTCATTCTTTATTTTGCACTTATATTTCTATTTTTTTCCAAACCCTCTATATATATATCGATGGTTTTTCTATTAGTAGTGTGTGCGCGTATGTGTGATGTTTGTTTTCGATTTGAAAAAAATAAAAAATAAATCGAGCATAAAGGTCTCTCTCTCCTTACCCGCTAATATGAAGAGAGAAGCAAGTCGATTTAGTCATTTGTAAAATTAAATTAAATTATTTCTTTTAGAAGAAAAACAACAAATAATTATTGATGGAACTAAAATAAATTTAGTGAAACTTCGCTAAACAATATATTCAACAATTTAGAATGCTTTGAAAATTTTTTCCAAAATCAATGTGAGATTATATTCGTTGTCTTGAAAATATTAAATTAAGAAATGTTGCCAAACGTTTTGCATATTTACTTATTGCTAATTCTATTTCATGGAGTGTATATGTAATAATTTTTAATATCAAATAATATTTATTCTTTTCTTTCTAGATACTTCGCTGCATCGGTGGGCCACCATTATGGCACGGTGGGGCAATTTCAGCCCAGCAAGAATTTTTACTCTCGTAGATGCGATTTCTTCATTTTTTTCTAGAGCTGATATAAACATCTCAGGTCGACTAATCCGACGACGAATTCTATCGGATCCTAAAACATCCTACTAACCTAGGAAATCCAGTTGGATTCTGGGTTTCGGAACTATTGACGGATCCGACGGAAGAATTTTAAAAAGTATCAAAATTCTATTTAGTGCAAAAGAGCTTTTTAGAAGTTGAGTATAGTAGACTTTTTTGGCGCATCGAATCCCAGAGAAGGATACGATCGGATTTCGACGGAATCTGTTGGTTCTTGTCGGTTTTCATGTAAGATCCGATGCAACCCATTTTCAGATCCGGTTGGATCCGATTGTAGGAATGAATGACCTGGGATTGATTATTTATTTGTTACTTTTGTGGTTTTTATGAAATTTAAAAACGTTTTTACTCTTCCGGATAGCTTTTAAGTGAAAACAGGAGGATTCGCTGAAGTCTTATGTTTTCAATTACATTTGTTTCATACTCATTCGTTTGACATGATGTTTTTCTATTGGTTTCAAAATAAGACAACAGGTCCTATTAAGACATCTTACGCTTGAAAAAGGTAACGAAATAATGTTCACACTCAATTGAAACATACAGTATTAAAGTCTTTTGAACATATGTTTAGTTGTTGATTTATTCAACGTAGCTTATATTTCTTTCGATAAATATATCGTCATGTTGAAAATAATGAACTTTCTATTGTCTATTTATATATACACAGAGATAGAGAGGAGAAGAAAAGCCACTGAAAAGAATTAGCCCGCTTAACCATGACATGCACTACTAACTAAAGGGCAAATTATGGCCTATTCTGTTTTGTTCTTTTTTTCTATCTACCTGTATAAAACAGAGACCGTCACAGGGCAACGTTTTTTGCTCTGCCATGTCCTGCCTGGCGCCCTGCTATATCCTGCCCTGAAACAGGGCATGATTATAAATTGAACTGAAATATTGAAAAAGGTAAAGACTAAATGAAAATGTTGTAACCGCTGAAAAGTAAAGTACTCATATTTTATTTATCTATATTCGAGAAAATATAGATATGCGCTTAAAAAATAATTAAATATGAGTAGCAAACAGCAATTAAGATTACCACAAAAATCAGTTCACTGCAAAAATAATGCGCTTATCATGATCTGGCGAATTGAATATGTATATAATTTGAATAAGTTAGAAATCGAGTAAATCTTTCACATTTATTCTCCTCAACTCATCGTGCTGGATAAATAAAGACTCTTCAAAATGTACCAGTAGCAAGAGATTCATTGTGTATTATAGGGTGGTAAGATTTATCATCAAACAAAAGATTTTCTAATTTTGTAGAACCGGGCGAGTTCATATCAAGTGAAAATAATTTAAAACATAGAGAACTAAGCATACAAAACTAAAACATACAAAGAAATTTACCATTAGAACATGTTGAATCTTTAAGTGAAATTTCCTCTGGAACACTGAACTCATGTGTGAAATCATTTAGAAAAAAAGCTCATCATACACATAATTCTTAAATTAGCTCGTTCTCTTATACAATATTAAATGATTCTACCATGTTTTGCATTTCTCTTTGAAGCAGTATTTTATTTTTATAATTGAATTATATGATAATAAATGAGTAAACTGGTATCGCCCGAACTAGACTTAGTAACAAATTTCACAGTGACTGTCGCATAATGACATACATTATAATCCATCACCATGTCAGCATAATCGACTGAAAAATCTGCTGTATATCAGTTTATAGGAAAAATTATCAGGGCAGGGCAGGACTGCCCTGTGACGGTCTCTGGTATAAAAGTTCATCACTTTGAAGTTGAAGACGACAAATACATTTGTTGAAATGGAAATGACTTCTCAGGTCGATCAACTTGGGTCGTACACAGTCGCTTGACTATAATTTACGGCCGTTTTGGTATGCACCGTATTACGGTCGTTTTACATCATGGCAAAAACGATCGTATACGCTCGGATGCTGAAATATTTGACCACATTATGGCCATTAGTAATCGTTTACGACACTGAAATACGGCCGTAGTACGGTGCATGCCAAAACATCAAATTACGGTGATTTACGGTCAGAACCGTTATAAAACGGTATAGTATACGTTACCGTATGCGGCCGTTTACGATTGTATCAGGTTGTCGTAATGTTCGTCCTGGCCTTAGAGTGAATTATTGGCACAAACTGCTTTATATCATTGTTTGATTGAAACTTTTTACATCAGTAATTAAGCATTTTATATTCAGACTATATCTATTCAAAAGAGTAAGGCAATAATAAATTATGAAATCAGCTTTTTTTGCTGACTAAAATTAAAACATGCATTTTTTGTCTGTATCTCATCAACACATAAAGGCTAAAGAAAAGCGGACAAGTGACTCTTATTCTATGTATATCTAATTATACTATATAGAAATCTCGATTGCATAGAAAACGTTTTATAGTATTAACTATGTTTTATGCCAATTAATCGAAGTGTTCGAATGTAATTTACTGTAACTTACTTTTATCATTCTGTGAGCGTGATTGTGTGTGACTAATAATGTTATCGAGAAATAGTCACGTAATATATTCTTTTTTTTTGACGATATAATACGAAAGAAAAATCGATGCCAAACACGTAAAAAAACATGCATATAAAATCATCATATATCATCAATTCAATGATATTATGTTGTTATTTTTTTTATTGTGTTTTATTTATCAAGATGTAACTAAAGGCAATGTCACTAGACGAAGTGCTGTAATTTCTTGTTTTCTTGCAATTGGTGTTCGATGTGAAAGAGATTGAGGCCATTTTTCAAACTAGCAAATTAAAGGAAAAGAAATCAGTCAAAAAGTTTTACTTTCCAGAAAACCGGCACGTTACTTACACTTTCACGTACACCAAGTCGATCAGCAGCATATCCAAAATGCATTGAACTTGCTGTTTTAGAAAATCCAAAACCTGATTTTGTTGACGGTAGTGGTGCAGTCTTTGATGTTGTCGTTTTTGATATGGTTGTGACTGTATCATCATTATCATTGATAGACATCATTGTACGTGTGGGTGCTCTTAAGCGTCGATGAGATCTTTCTGAAATACTTTTATGAACATCTAACGATGAATAATATACTTCGGCTAAACTTAAATAACGCGTTGCATTATGTGAAATCCATCGATCGCGTGCTACCACTCCTGTTCTTGACAACGATTGAGTACGTACAGGTGTTTTTGGTTTTGTTTGTGCCGTCGTTTTACTGGATTTTTTATCATTGTCATCATTACCATCATCATCGTCATCGTCGTCCTTTTTGTCGCTATCAACATCAGAGCAATCCGACGCTGAAAGATAGTCTCTTGCATGATCTTGATAAGTGATTGTTTTCAGAGAAGGAGTATGTGTTGGTTTTTTTGTATTTTCATTCGGAGGTCTAATACACGGTATTAAAGATTTAGCTCGAAGTGGTGCTGGAGGTATTAAATTCAATAACATTGTTGCTGGATCCTGCGTAGGCGTTTTAGGTGATGGGGGTGGACCGCGTGGCATAAAATATTGTGATGTGAAAGGTGATTGATCAAAAACAGATGAAGCACGAATTTGTAAGTCTTCAATTGATGTTGATGACTTTGGTGCACGAATCGATGGGGAATATTTCAGTGAATTTTGAAAAGAACGATAAGGACTTGAAACATTTAATGATGCTGTTCGTGGTGGCAGTTTTGGTGGAGCGCGGAACTATAATTAGAATCAGTCATTAAAAAAAGTTATATATTTATTGTAACGGCAGTTCACACAATTGATGAGATAGGAACCGTGTACACCCAAGTAAAATATGAATACTCTGAAGAGAATTCTGGTATAGAGCTTATTACTACTAAGATTATATACTTTTCTGTAAGATCAGTACGAGTTATTTTCAAGTTGAAGCAAGTCTTAGCAAGAATAATTTAACGTAAAAGTTTTATTGTTCCAATCTTTCAGTGTAGATATATTACAAGTACGACTTTTTACATCGCTTATGTACATTCTGAGATTCGATATTCTTCTTTGAGAACACGAAAAAAATCAAGTAATTCTACACTCTTGTGATTAACGATTGGCGTCAATGCAGAAGGAAAATCAATTTTCTTGGTTTTACTCAGGGGGATATAGTCACTGTATTTCGAGATACATGCTGTTAACAATAATTAACTTTATGCTAAAATTCTCTTTGGAATATTCATAAAGAACTAGTTTCGACATGAAGTATATCAGTCAATTTGTCTTGTTAGTTAATCAAAATTATTTTAGTTTGTATAAACCTTTTTATCATATGTTTGACTGTCTGACACAAGAATCGGCACATGAATTGGCTCTGATCTACTTGTGAAAATAGAATCCTGATTGTGATCTTGTTGTCGATGACGATTTTTTTTATATGGCGTTGATACTCGATGTGATAAATCTCTATCATGTGTTCGTGGTGCTGGATGAATATTAATCATGTCGTGAGTTAGGTCATTTTCTGGAAATAAATCTGTACAAAATATATGAAATGATCGATGGCATTGACAATTTGGTGATGTGACAAGATGTGACGGTAGTTGTACTAAATTTCGTTGTGTAATGTTTCTGTTTTTTAATAATAAACTTACGCCTACAAAAACAAAATGTTAAACAAAGCATGCAACGAAAACAAAAAACAATTAACAACGACAGAATGCAACACTCGAAAACACCTACTTACTATGAGCAATAGATCTCTCTTCATCATCGATATCTATCATATCATTATTATTCGTAGTTTTCTTGGTACTCCAATAGCTTAAACCATCCGATTTTATTGAATTATTTCTATTGAATTTTATTAAAGAAAACTCTATGAAATGATATTAGAACTTACGATTTTACTGTCATAGTTTCAAAGTTTCTTATATTCCAAAGGTAATAGATCACTTCAGATTGTGGTCAAATAGACGTACAATTACCTTTTCCATTGTTAAATATGAAAGAAAAATGAAGAAAAGCAATAATAAACGAGTAAAAACGAACCCTACAGTAATCTCATCAAGACGAAAAACTGCAATATTGATTGTTCTGTTTTATTTTATTTTTTTGATTTCTCTACAGAAGTTCTACAACATCGTAAATTCGTCCGTTTCGATAAAAGTATTGCTTCGTCAACAATATGTTTTCTTTGTTAGAATCATATCGAGTTTCATTTGTGATGATTGATGTGTAATACTGTTGTTTTCTTTCCGCTTTCGATGCGTTAAATTCATAAGAAACTCTCGATTGAAATAAAATATTGACTGACATTCGCATTTATTTTTGTCATACCCGTAAACAAGAATTTTGCATATTTACCGTTTTATTCTCTATTTTTCTATTTATATTAAATAAAGCGGATAATGAATACATATTTGAATGAAAGGTACACATAACAATAGAATACTGCATAGAGATGAATTAGTATTTTGTCTTTTTTTTAGTTTCATCTTATTAATATTGTCTCATGTGTTTTGCTTTTTTATGTCTCATAATTATAGTCTAATAAAAATAAAGAACGCACACTAAAGTGGATAGACAGTTTGATGCTACACATTACATTGAAAAAAGAAATGTTTTTTATTTGTTTAAAACTTTTTTAATCGATTTCACGACGTTGGCAACTTGAGGCATAGAATTTTGTTCTAATGTTTTAGCATATGCCAATGGAACATCCGCACCAGTAACACGTATTGGTGGAGCATCAAGATAATCGAAAGCATCGCCTAAAATATAGAACAGAATAAAAATAATGTTTAGTCATTGTTTACGAAAGGTGTCTAATATCACTTTTAACGTTTATTGGTGTTTTTTTCGAATAGGAAATCAGTTATAAGTCCTAGTAGAAGATAAAATCTCGAGGATTTAATAGGCTCAAAGATTTGTTGTCGTTCTCTAACATTGATGGAGTACAGTGAAAGTTTTTTCCATTCAGTTCAAAACTTTTTTATTGCCTTTGGCAATAAATAAGAGCATTGCCATAATGCATCACAGTTAGAAAAACATTGAATTTTAGATGGCTACATGTTTGAATTCTGCATTGCTAATGATTTGAACTAGTATTTCTTTATAAAAGAAGATAAATTAAGGCATATCTTTGTCTTTAACGACTAATTATTTTCAGTAGAACGTGCGCATCAATAACCTAATATTGTATTTATTTGCCTATACAGTTGATGAACTATAACTGCGTTTTTCATTATAATAAAGTCAAAAAAATTTAATAGGCGCAATTGAATGAAAAAGAGTTTGAGTGCTTCTTTAAGTGTAACGTCTTTTGACATAAATTTTAATTTTTTCTTTTTTTTTTATGAAAATAAACTGATCAACTTTTATACAGCCTGAAATGTCAGCTCGCAATAAGAAACCCTAAGTGTATCTTAGTAGAATAGTATGCAATTACCGTTGCCCTTATTAAGTTTTTATTTTCCACTGAATTACACTCGATGTTTACTTTTTTGGCTAGATTTTTTATTGGACCAGCGACCTCAACCTGCACACGATTATACTTAAAAAAGAGCTATGCAGTTTCTCAAGGTACGGTGTCTCTGACGCTGCTCGCATAGATATCATATATACTTTTCGTAGTATACATTGTAGGAAAGGTAAATTATTATTAAGAACATACTTTCACATATTCTTGCAATAACTTCACTGCCGATACTACATTGAGACCAACCAAATTCAACTGTAAGAAGATAATGAGTTTTTTTAACGGAATTTTTGATAATATCTTCATCAAGTGGTCTCAATGACCGTAAATTAACAACCTAAAATCGTATGAAACTATGCTAAAATATGTTCAAAGAAATATGTTTTCAAGCAAACTTCGCATTGAATTCCGCTTTGTTCAAGTTCTTTAGCAGCTTCCATACATAGTTTAACACCAATTGAATAAGCGACAAGTGTTATATGTTTGCCTTCGCGTTCAATTTTACCTTTACCAATAGGTAAAACAAAATCGGCAGATAATGCTTCATCGGAGACAGGAAAGTGTAAACCATACAACAATTCATTTTCCAAAAATACAACTAAAAAATAGAAACTCATCAGAAAACTGAATAAAAGAAAATCAAATCATAAACAAACCTGGATCATCATCACGAATGGCAGCTTTAAGTAAACCGCGACAATCCTCCGCGGAATAAGGTGCGATTACTTTAAGACCAGGACATTGACTGTACCATGATGAATAATCTTGAGAGTGTTGAGCACCCACGCCTATATTCATAGATAAGAAAATTTATTCTCAATAATGTTTTCTTTTGTGTTTAGCTAAAGTCAATTACCAGCAGCAGCTCCATTGGGGCCACGGAAAACGATTGGTACTTTAACCTGAATTGCATTTCAATGGAAAAAAATATTAAAACAAAACATTCTTTGCTCTTACTATTCCTGCAGACATATAATAAGCCTTGGCAGCAGAATTGATAACATGATCAATAGCTTGCATTGAAAAGTTAAATGTCATGAATTCACAAATTGGTCGAAGGCCAGCCTTTAAAAAGACAAAAGACAAAAGAAAAATGGAACTATTGTTTTTCAAATACAATCTTTATATACCATTGCAGCACCGGTTGCTATTCCAGCAAAACCCATTTCAGTAATTGGTGTATCGACAACACGCTTATCACCATGTTTCTTCCAAAGACCTTTCGACATTTTATAAGCACCATCGTATTGTGCTACTTCCTCTCCGATTAAAAAAACGCGTTCGTCACGCGAAATTTCTTCATCCATGGCTTGAGTTATAGCTTCACGGATTGTAAGCTAAATAATAATGATGATGCAATTGAAAATCGACATATAATAAAACGTACCGATTTTTCAGTGAGTAATCGAGGGCTAATCGAAAATGATCGACGTAAAACTTCCATTGAATTATGAGACTAAAATAATTGATAATGAGCAATAATATTATACGTAAATAATAAAAACAAAAACAATCTAGTCGTTACTTTGAGAATATTATTGACTAGATTCATGGTGATGGTTTGATCAATGTTCTAATTTTCAAATCTATAATTAAAAATAGAAGTGTTTTCTACTTTGCTCATACAATCATTGAAAAAAAAACTTTGTTTACTCTGGAAACGACGGCGTTTGGTGTTCCAGTCTATTAGGTTTATAGGCGGTATAAGTAGCACTATTTTCCATTGGATACTTAGCAACCATTTAATAGCTGTCGCTGCTAGAAGTGGTGAGGTCGCATATATCATGAATAGTGATTTCAAAGCCTGAAGTAGACATTTGCATCAAATCCCCAATTTCGGATGTATTGTTTCACGCGAAAAGTTTTAGTTTTTAAATAACAAGCAATGATTATTAAAATTATCATGTTTCCTTATCCTATTTATTTACTTATGATAACTATATTCATCTCGATAAGAAGTTATCTAGAGTATTGTTTACAATAAAAATCGCTCTTGTTAAATCAGCTACTAGATTTATTACCAATGATAGTGTATTTATTTCGTTCAGAGAGACAATAAAGATTTCATCATGCATGCACATTTTCACATGTAACAGCTGTTCATGCAATCTCTTTTTCTGAATAGTTCGGTTATGTATATCAGAAAACCTGTAATAATAGCAAACTACTGTTATCATCAACTGTAATGACTTCATGAAAATTAAACTAAGTATACAAAAAGAACATTTGTTGACACTAGAACTGGATACAATCCGATAAAACGCTATGTTTCATATAGAACAGTTTTTTAACTTAAATAATTCAATCAATCGATTTAAAAGAATAATTGCAATGAAACTTAGGGATGAAATAGGAAAAACTAAATGCTCCGAAATCAAAAGGTATTTTACTTTCGCAGACACGAGAAGAAATACCTTGAATGAATAATTTTTGTAAACGAATCTACATCTTGTCCATATGGCAAATAGAAAGATTATGCGCAGCTGGTTTCAACTCGTCGCAAGCGTCGCTAAGAACTGCTATTGGAAGAAATAGATTAACCAATGAGTGTTTTTTGTTTACTAATACGATGTTTTAATTGATAGGAGCAGAGCGATTCTTTCCAGGGTTTAATTTTCTTTTTATCTTACGAAAAATAAATTCTGGCCCAATTAAATTTTAGAAATTAATATGACAACACCAGTGAGTGCCTATGCTCAACGGATGATTCGTTTGAGCCAGCGAATTTTTACTGAATATCCAAAAGTTACGTTTTCAAAGAAAAAACATCAAGAACAACATGAACATTTCGTTCGTTTTCTTGATGACCGTCCACATACATCAGGTCCACTTGTTTCAATGGATTATTACCCACGTTATGGAGAAATGTATCATTTAATGGAGGGCTTACGTGAATACGGTCTATTTAGGTAACTAGTATTTTTCCCAAGTTAATCTAATGAATGCTGGATTATCTTTTAGAAACGAACATCGCGATTTTCAAGAAGAAGTTGCTCGATTGCGTGTACTTCGTGGTAAACAACGCAAAAATATTCGTCTTCAATATCCAAAACGAATGCCTGAACTTGCTCCCTGTTGTAAACAATCATCGAAAAAATGATGATCCCTTTTTCTCTTGTATTTTTCATTGTTACTGTTTTTTCCTAGAAAACAAGTAAAATTAGCGTATGATTTATACACCAAATGATCTTCATGTTTTATTCAGAGAAAAAACTTCTCAGTTTCATCATTTCTCTGTCTTGCGTTGAACAATTGCTCATAAGCTCTGATTCTGTTCACATAATATTTCTATTAGCGCATTTGATTCAGCAGGGAAAAATCATCTTTTCAGAAACAACACACATAAAGTACTTACAATTATTCGATGCATTTATGTTCTGAGCTTAGAACAATAGCATGATCTACAGTTTGTGATGCGGTTAAGAAAAAACTGTAAAGAATGATATTTTTAGAAAATCACTTAGTGCACAGATGAAGGAATTATTGAATCAATATGTAAAGGGTGGATACGTATAAATTTATTTCAAAGAGATGCATTGAACATTGGCTCATAACGCTTTTTTTGTATTCTAGATGGAATTAAGACATTGTAATCGTCTTGCAGTTTCATTAATTCGTCTATCTAGACAGGTAAAACCTACATAAGCCCATCTTTTACTACTTTTTGTGTTTATTTAGCCGACATTCTCTCCCTGTGCTCGAAATTTCTCTTCTTCAACAAGGTTATATCCAAAAACTTCAAGTCAACTTATATTCAAACGTTCTATATCATGGCAATTTTGGAAATCATCGTCAACAGCAGAATCAGTTGATCCATGGCCTGCCAATATTGTTCAACCAACACCAGAACCTGTTACTATCACACCGCCAATACTTGAAGTACCAAAAATAGAAGCTGATGAATTCGGTTATATACCTGAACCACCAGAGATTCCATTGGATGTACCTCTTGAATTCTTATTAAATTCTGCTGGTGAACCAGCTCTATCGACACTTGGTCTCGGTAAATTGTATTTACCTACTGGTTGGGTACAACAAGGTCTTGATTTTATTCATGCGGATATTGGATTGCCATGGTGGGGAACACTCATGCTTGGTGAGTTAACTAAGAAAAAGAAAAATACATCTGTTTTTGTTTTGTTTAACCAAAATGAATAGGCACATTCATTATTCGTACAATTACAACGCCTATTGCAATTTACAATCAAAGAAGTGCAGCAAAAATGCAATTGCATATGCCTAAACTACAAGAATTACAAGGGAAATTACAAGAAGCTCGTATTCGAAATGATCAATTAGCTAGTAAGAAAATAGTTCGACTAGTGATTTTGTTTTAAGAATAAATGTCCATAATTCATTATAGTTATGAGAGCCGGTAGTGATTTAATGGAATTTATGAAATATTCCGATCTTAAACCATGGAAAGCAATGCTTGGACCATTTATGCAGGTAAAAATCTTCTTTTTTGTACTATTTATTTGCCGTCTTTTTCATTCCAACATATCTATATTTAGATGCCATTTTTCATTTCACTTTTTCTTGGTATTCGTGGCTTAGCGAATTATCCTATTGAAAGTATGATGTTTGGTGGAGTCATGTGGTTTCAAGATTTGACAGTACCTGATCCTTATTATATTCTACCAGTATTTACCGCTGTTACAATGTTTGTTACCATGGAGGTATGCTTTTTCTTTTCATAGATCGAAATCATTATTTTGATTTATCTAGCTTGGTATTGAAACAGGTATGCGTACAGCCAATTTAGGACCTATTGGACGTAATGCATTACGTGTTGTTCCTTTTCTTTCGTTGATTTTTACTGTGAATTTTTCATCGGTAAGATCACTGTTTTCAGTAATATGATTTAATCTCTCTAAATCATAGGCATTAACACTTTATTGGGCAACTTCAAATGTGATTTCACTAGCTCAGTCAGTTATATTACGTCAACCAGCTGTTCGTAAAGCATTAAGATTACCAGCACCACCGCCAAAATCAATAGAAACAAAAACTAAAAAGAAGAAAGGTTTCGCTGGAATGAAAGAAAGTAAGAATTGATCGATTGATTAGAAAAAAGCATAGGCTATTCAACAATATCGATTTAGATTTCCGTAATAGCAAATTATTAGCTGAAGTTGAAAAACGAAAACAAGCAGGAGGTTTGATGAAGTTATATCTTTATATATCTTCTTTTTTTTATCTGATCTTTTTTCCTAGATGATATCTTTCGTCGTGCTGGTATAAGCTCAGCTGTACCAACATACAAACATGATCCAACAAAAGTCAAAACAAATAATCCACCACAAATACGAAAAACATTTGAATGATTTTTCAATAGGCAAATTGTCTTTTCTGTTCTTGTTGTTGTTTCTTGTTGCTTTTTTACATATAAAAAGTTTAATACTATTTAGACAAAAGAAATGAAGAGCAAAATTAAATTTTTATGAAAGTACTAATGAGTTTTATCTCTATATATATATATATTTATTTATTCACATGGAGAAAGAATGCAACTTTTGCTGAAATGTTGGTGTAATAATACTAAAGATGATTCAATAGATAAATAGGTAAAATAGTAGTTGTGGATAAACAGGGAACAACACCCATTCTTGATTGATCTTCATCATCTGGTGAAACAATAATATATTCTATGAAGAAACAAAATTGGAAGAAGAGATAAACTTTTTTTTAGAGATTTACCAGGTTCCTGATTCATTGCTTTTGCATCATTTGATATGACGAACGGCACTAAAAGATAATTGAATACTCAACTGAGTGTATACTTCAAAAGTCATTTTTATGTTAAGTTCACTCAAAGCGAATAACACATTCTGAAATTTTCAATAAGGAAAAGCTCATTTAACAACTCTGATTTACCTGAATGGCTTTTCCTTTCATTGATTTTATGTTTTTTAGCTTGAAAGACAGGCCACAATGAAGTACTTTGTAGATTCACTTTTTTTCAATGTCAAATAAAAGAGTTTCACCCTCGACAAAAGATCATCTGTCTATAGAAATGTTTGGTTATATGATAATTAGATCTACAACTAGGCACTGCAATTTCACCTGTTCTTGTAAAACTAATACTGTGGCACTAATAAACCTCGAAACGAACAGATGACGATGCATGAATTTTGTTAGGAGTGAAAACTCAATTTTTTACGATAAATTTTGTGAGGTAAGATCTTTTGTTGCCTATGGCTTCACCGAGAGAGAAAGATAATCTTGCAAATGTCTTATAACTAAATAATTTACCTGGTGTAAAAGTATTTTCAAAAGGTTTAATACCAATTGTAAGGCTATTAACAGTTGTTTGTTGATGTTGCATTTGAATTATTTGATTTAATAATTGAAGATCTTCGGATGGTTCAGGATCACATGAAGAAAAATGTGGCATATGAAGACCTTCGAATTCATTATCATACATCGTATCACAATATTCATGATTAAATAATAAAGATTTTTGATTGTCGAGTATTTTTTCTTGTTTTATTTCTACTTTATAAATCGATTTTTCTGCGGCAATAACTTTTTCTTCAGTTTTAACTGTTGTTGATTTTACAACAATTTTACGACGTTGTTGATTAGTTTCTTCACCATCATAATCTTCGTCGGTTCGTTTACGTTTTAATGTCGTTGAATGATTGCTATTGGTTACTTTTAAAGATTTTTCTATTTTATCGATTCCATTATCATCATCATCAAATATATTTTGATCAAGATAATTAATTTTCGAATGAGGACTATGATTTTTCATATGTTGTTTATAGACTTTTATTTTATTTCCTAACTCTGCACGTAGACGAAGACATTTAAAATTTTCAACACCATCGTAATACGCTTTTATATGATTTAATATTATTTCATTGATTATTCGATTTCCAATTGCACTCCTAAGTAGAAAAAATTCTTTTTTTCCCAAATATTCGATCCAAAATCGGACACACGAAATACCAATGTATGCCATCCGCTTGACGAAGATGTAACATATTTGACAAAATTTTATGAATATCAACGTAAAGAACACTATGAATATTACATATCTAAGAAGAAAAATTAAATTGAAAGAAAAATAATGCCGTATTTACTTGAGAACAGTAATAATTTCCATCTCGGATAAGACCTAAGAAAGAAAATAAGCTGTTAGTACAATCTCGATGGGATTAAAATATGAAACCTGATGTACTTTTACGGCGTATTGTTGATTATCACAATTAGAAATTTTCTCGAGACATTTGTTTACTATCCTTTTACTTAATCCTTCAGATATGTAATAAAGTATTAATTCTTTATTGATATACAGTCTGTGATAAAACAAATACTCATTGCTACATATCAACAATCCTATTCGATCGTGTTTCAGAATAAAATAAGCTGACTATCGTTTGAGCAATCTTGCTTTTGAAAAAATAAATTATCTACATCGCACTTGTATTTCTTCGATTCAACGATACTGATCAATCTTTGATGAATATTAGTCTTACCTGGTATTATTGGTCGTACATATTCAGCACTTGGCACAATAACACCTCCTTGAAAAGAAAAATACAGCCATGTGTAAATAAAATTCGTCTTACCTTTCGATGAATTTGAAACAGGCAATGCTGAAAGCCACAGAAACAATGCATCCGGTAACATTTGTCGAAATGAACCCATAATACTATCAACATTTCTTTTATATGATCTCATCGAATAAACGCCATATCTAAAAACAAAACATACAATTAAAACGAATACTGCTTGTATTTACCTAGATATATCCCATAAACAACTATTCATTATAATGATATCTGGTTTAATTGTTTGGTTTTTAATATCGTTAAATATCACATTTTTCATATATGATGAATAGCATCTTGTTAAGAAATAATATCGAGTACGACGATGACCACCAGAGGTATGTTCACGAACCTATTCAAAATAGTTATTTAAATCGTCATAGAAACATCGATTTTTGCGTTTTCCTACTTCTTCGTAATCAATTCCATTTGTGAGACCTTTTTGAACGCCACCATTAATTAATCGATCGCCAAAAAAACGTTTTTCACCCTTGGTATAGAAATTTGTATTTTCAATTTTTAAATTAAACCTATTTTACTTTGACTCGAAGTTCTTCGTCGCTGAGAAAATCGTCTACATGTGAAAATTTAACTAAATCTTTATATAAACCTCTGACAACTAAAAATGAGACGAATATTTATCGGTTTACAAAAGAAACTTTACTCTTTACCAGAGTCACCGAGAATGAGAACATATTTATCATTGAGTAATTGCCTAACATCGTTTGCAGTTAGTGTATCTAATGGTGACGTCATTGTGTAATCATGAAACAAAGAAAAATATCTAAAAATAGTAGTACATAGTATAAACGAGTCGTCTGGTTAAAATCATTCAGTAGATTCGTGAAAAGTAGGCATCTTCACACTGATGTAAACATTTATCATATTCTCAGCAAGACTTGAGACCAGACACTAGTGTCATGTACAAGATGGATTCAAGAATTAATTAACAAAACATTTCCTTTTGTGAAATTTAACGCCCGTATTATCAAACTGATTTTATTTGTATATCATTCAAACATCTTAATGCTACAATAAAATTGTACCGTCTTTTGAACCTACAAGGATATCTTGAAAATTCAGCTATTACTGCTTTATTGACTTTTTCGCATGTAAGATTAGTCTGATAACTCTTGAAGTATTATGAAAACTCTAGTCGCAAAGAGTTCCCGTTTGTGGAGTTATTGGTGTTCTCGGTGAACTCAACTTTTATGAAGTAATTGTTGCAAGCGACCTTTATTTCCAATGTCACCACAACGAGTGACAACACTCACTCAGGTACTAATGACAATTTCGTTGTATAAAAAAAAAAGGCTGGTAGCAATTGAAGTGAATGCAATATTCTGCTACTGATGAAAACTGCCCTTAAAGTTCAGGACAATATTGCGACAAAAATTTATTACAGGTGAATGAATAGTTGTTATCACCTTGACCCATAAAATAACTTATTTACTTTTTTGTTCTTATCATTGAAATCTGTGTTCTGCATGATAACTTACAACTGCACCGCTGACTTCTACTGTATGTCAGGACTCATAGAATCAATAACATTTTGATATTTATCATGATGTGTCGTATTCTCGAGCTTCCCTGCAGGCTCAGACGATCATTTACATTTCGTATAGTTTTCTAGAAAAATAAAAATCTTTTAATTCTGGCAGATCTTCTTCATCGATCATATGATTAATTATGCTAAAAATAAAAATTGAGTATAAAAATAAGAAGAAAAAAAGCGTCTATTTATTATTACACAAGTATCAGACTAGACAAGATGAATTTCTTTTTCTACTATAAGTTTATGTATATGTTTAAATTGCATAATATATTGATCATCACTTTTTATATCAAGAACATCATTTGGAGCACCGGTGTTATTTGATTCACTTGTTAAAACTAATCCATTCACTGATTTATCAGCTTGAAAAAATACAAATTCATTTAAATTTGGTTTAGGCAAAAGTTGCACTAATGCATTCTCATCGGTTTGCTGTTGTTCAGATTTTAATTCTGTTAGTACAGTTTTCTTTAAATGATGTTTCATATTATTTAAATATGTATGTGCATAAACACATTCTTCAGGTGATAAAAGTTCTTCTGAATTTAATGCTGCTGCTGGATATTCTTCAATTTTAAAACAACGTGTTCGTATATATGAACATAATATAAAGTAGAGGCGATTATATTCTGTACGATGCATTAACCAACGAAACGATGTTGTTTTATGTTCACTTGATTTTAAACGTTTTTCTATATCATCCAGTAATTCAAATGTTGCTAGAACAAGAAGATTTTCATGTTTGAGCAATACAGGAGAATATTTTTCATTTAACCATGCTTGTTGAAGACGTTGAAAAAGTTGTTGAGATGTCATTGAATCATCATCGTCATCTTCTTCTTCTTCTTCTTCGATACCATTTTGAGATAAAATAGGAAATGAATTATTTTCATCCATAGTCAATCAAACGAATGCCTTCGTACAGTTATGTGTCGTTGTATACAACTAGATCATACAAAGAACACCAATCAATGTTAAAATAAATCTCTTTATTTATATAGATGTTAACATCAGACACATCGTTCATTTTATTTGAAAATCGATAACTAGCGCCATCCAATTTTTAGGGGGGTTTTAAAGTAAAGAATTTTCTTTTCGTTCTATCCAATAGAAATATGTGAATAGTGTGAAATAGTTCAACGATCATTTGATCATAGTGATTGGTTGTTGTCAAATGTCCTTTGTTTCTTGTGAGAGTATAAGGCGTCTTCAGAATCTTGGAAAACATGAAATTACATTTGCTAGAATGATACTCGTTTGTTGTTTGTTTCCTTCCTTCTCAAGTATATGCGCTCATCTGGTAAGAACTATTTATAGTGTAGTGTTTTGTGAAGGTTTAATTTTTTTGCAAGCATTTCCTTTAGATTTTCTAGAAACTTCATTATTACACTTGTCTAAATCCAAACATGGTCTCAATACCAATGAGTGCCAACATGTGTTTAGAAGAAAAGCTAATAATAGTAGAGCTTCTCTTTGATAATCTCTTTCGTTCAATCTATATTTTTCTCGATTGAATGAATGCGCAGTAGAAAACATTCTTTCTCCTTGATTATAACACAGATGGAAGAGATCAAGTAAAAAAAGAAGTGATTCTTATACATTCTTCTGTTTTTGTTTCGCTGAAAGAAAATGTCTCCTTATCATCAATTATAGTCTTATCTCGTATATTCGTTTTTACATTAGCCAGAAGTTCTTTTTTCACAGATCGAAATAGAACTAAAGCTAAATTCACACCGTTGTATGATCGACTGACATTTAATATTGACAAAATTATAGTCGTGGATCTATTATTCGTTCGCTGTCCGTCTTATTTCCACCCACGTTATATATCTATCGTGTTTAAGAACAATGTTTGTTTAAAGCTTAAAGATACTTTTTCTTTTTCTTTTGTCTCTTATCGACTCAGATTATACAATGTGCCATCATTTAACATATTTCGTGTCCTTATTCATGTCAGATAGTATGTGTATGTGAAAAAGTTCACTTTCGTTTTTTCCTCTTCTTTTATATGAGTTCATCAATAAAATAATAGATTCTATTGTCATCCACTAAGTGTCTACTATTCAAGAAGAAAGAAAAGCTTAATAAAAGTCAATGATGAAAAAGCAGGGGTCTTGAAAACATCCGAGAATGTTGGATGTACGCGAAGAGTAGATAATCATTTTATTTATTTTCGGTTAGCTTAAGGAAATAAATAAATCGATTGATTATTCTACTCTTCGTGGGATAACTATTGGCCAACTGAACTGAGACTTTTATTATTTCATTAAACAATCGATTCTTCTAAATGATTTTTTTTGGGTTTATTTAGATGTTTGTTAATCTATTAATTAAAAATAATGATCGTAGAATCTTACGCATTCCAATCACTATCAAATAATCATTCTCAACCATTGGCAATCAAACAAATTGAAATGGCGATGAATAAATTAACTGTAAAACAGAATGGACAATCAAAAACGGATGAAAATCGTACGGATGACGATTATGGTGGAGGTGGAAGTAAAACTAATTTACCAATATCTTCGTAAATATTCTTTTTTTTTAAGAAAACTTGAATTCGAATTTTCTATAGTTTTAAAACTTCTTTTCTAGTAAAACTGCAATACTAGATAATCGTAAATCTCGTTCGACGAATTATCATCTTCGTGTTGATGTAAGTGAAACAGCCTCAATGAGTTTGCTTTTGTTTGGATTTTGGAATCTTTTTTTCTAAAGCCAACTCGATGGTGGCTCGTTCATTTTATACAACGTTTTATTGTTGATCCGAAACGTACATTAACACGAAGTCGTAGTGCTACAGATGCTACACGTTTTCTTCGTCATATTCAAGCTCGTATATCAACAGCGATTAAATGTGACTCTGTTTATGAAGAATCACCAACGAATAAAAAAAGACGAAATACTAGTTATCATCATAGTCAAATGTCTGATTGTGAGCATAATACGTATATACGAACACGTTCTCAATCAGTACCTAATCATGATATTTATAGGTTTGCTGTTTAAGAAAATGGTAATAAACAACTAGTAATTGTTTCTTTTTTTTCGTTTTTGTTAGTTCTAATTATCAAATGTTAACAATGAAACGAAGATCACAACCAATACTACGTTCATCATCTGTACATGATCTTAATCGTCATGAAGTATTTCGTGCAAATGAACTTGATTTTGGTCCAATTATTGGACAAGGATTTTATGGTATTGCACGAACAGTAAATAGATGAAAATTCTTTCTCGAAATGTTTTTTGTATTATAATTATTACTTTGTTTTAAGGTTACACTCAGGAAAACTGGTCAGATAATGGTGATGAAAGAAACGAAAACATTTGATAAAGAAGCACAAAAAATTTTTGTTAAAGAAGTAAGATATTTTGTTTCAATGAACAATTTCATGTGTTGTTTTCTGAAAGAAACTTGTCATTTTTTCATTGGAACGCCTCTATTATAAATCATTAGGAGCATAGATAGGAGTGTCATACTAATCAAGGTTATTTTTAGAAAGACAAATACTATGTCTGATTTTTTTCTGTTTAAAATCTTTTCCGATTATCTGCTTCTATATATAGCCATGTAAAACAAAATCGTAAAAAATCTGATTATAATAGATTTGTAATCTGATTATTAATCCAATTTTTTTTACATGAGATATATATAGATATAGATATAAGATCGATGATAATAATTAGAATATTTTATTTACTACGCAATTATAATTTTCTCTATTAATACCATGATGTCACGCACGTGCGCTCTTTAATTTAGGTGCAAGTTCTTAAAAGACTGAAGCATTCGAACGTTCTCAATTTTATAGGATTACTTCTTGATAAAGATAATCAAATGTGTTTTCTTGTTGGTATGTAATAGAGAATTCATTTTTGCAATAAAAAAAAGATTTGTACATTTTTAATTAAAAGATTATATAGCCGGTGGTACATTAAAAAATATTATTCATGATTTATCAATTCCATTAACATGGCTGCAACGCTTACGCTATGCAAAAGATATCGCTGCCGGAATGGTAAAATATAAACTGAATTTTCATTCCTATTGTTTATATCTATTTAAAGGAATATTTGCATTCATGTAATATAATTCATCGAGATTTGAATAGTTCAAATTGTTTGGTTAAATCCGATGGACATGTTGTCGTGGCTGATTTTGGTTTATCAAGAATAAATCTTGAAGACGATGATGATAATGTAAATACACAAATTAGTGATGGTTCATCGTCATCAAGTTTCAGACGAGAACAACGAAGTACAAGTACAACAATTACATCAAATGGACATATTGTTGTAGTTCGGCCAAAAACTCGACGACAATTGTTAAGAGATCGGCAAAGGTAAATATTTTATAATGAAAACAAAAAAAAGGAAACCGAATCGATATTTATTATTTTCTTTTTTAAGATATACAGTAGTTGGTTCACCTTATTGGGTAATAGAAAAATTCATCTGAGTCAATCATAAAGTTGAAATATTTTTAGATGGCACCTGAAATGTTAAAAGGGCAATGTTATGATGAACGTGTAGATATATTTTCTTTTGGAATAATGCTTTGTGAAGTAAATAGAATTTAACAAACAAAAAATTTATTTCTATGTTTTTTACTTTAAATTAGATTATCGGTCGGGTACAAGCCGATCCTGACTATTTACCTCGTACCCAAGATTTTGGGTTGAATGTACATTTATTTAATCAGAAATATTGTAGTAAAGATTGTCCAAAACAATTTATTGCTATAGCCATAGCTTGTTGTGACATAAATCCTGATTCAAGGTGAGGAATTAAAATGAAGAAGAAGAAGAAGAAAAAAATTAATTTTTTCTAGACCTGCATTTTGTGTGTCTCATCCATGGCTTGAAGCTCTTGCATTGAGTGTTGAAACAGGAGTTTGTCTCTCTTCGACTTCGAATACAATAGCGGATCGAATCTCGAATGGAAATTAAATCTTAACTTTTTCTTTAACTAGCAATTTAATCCCGGTGTGATTTACTGTTTTCTTTTTATATCTATTCTATTGACTTTGCCGTTCAGTACAACGAAATTTCTATCGGCATAAATCAATTCCATATTGTCAGGACTTTTATTGTAACTGATCTTATTCTGAAAACCTAGGTTTTTTTTTCAATATCTTGTTACTCGGAAAAACAAAAAATAATAACAACAGCAATGTTGACTTTTTTTTCTCATGTATATATTTCTATATATATATATATATATATATATATATTGTAACTTTTACTCACAGTCCTAATGTATCTACTTGTAATCTATTCATTTATTTGTTACAACGAAAAAGAAAATTTCTTTTTTTAATACATCCTATATAAAAAAAAAAAAAGATAAGAAAAACGATAATAGAAGAAATGAGAGCAATAATAAATATTACAGTGATATTACTTTTTGTTTTTTTTAACTTTTTTCCTTTGGGTTCAGTGAAAGTTAAAGGTCTCGTTGGCTGGCAATTAGATTGGAAAAAAAGCAATATCACATGATTATTTTTAGGAACACTTTCAAGATTGATACTAACGAAGGAAAGAAAACGAGAGAAAAGGGTTTGATGCCCAACAGAAAGAAAGAGAATATATAGTGTGTGTCATAAAGAAGAAAAGAAATAAGAGACGGCCCTTCTATTATTCTCTTTTTTTTTCTGCTTTCTATCTGACGTTTTCTTATTCACTTTTTTTTTCTCTCTCTTATTTTCTTTCCTTTCGTTCTTTCTAGAAGATATAAAAGGCGCTGCAATAGACATCAACCCGCAGTGCGTAATCATTCGACTGTATTGTGTTGTATTTTTGTTGTTGTAGTGGTGTTTATGTTAAAATCATTTAACCATTACCGTAAAAAGTAAATTTTACTCTTCGAATTAAATCTACTAAAGTTCAAATCTGCTAATCATGCCGTGTATTGAATATCAATCAAATAATGAAGTGTAAGTATTTATTTTTTAGTTCGCGAGGAAAAAAATAGTAATCAAAAATTGTTATTTTTGTTTTTCAAGTATGAGTCGTTTCTGTAATCGGAACGCGGCCGAACCAACGTGGTATTCCTGATGTTGCCAACGGTAAATTGAATAACAAGAAGAAAATAAACATGATTGATATATTTTATTTCTATTTAATATAGCTGCTGCAGTTTTAACTTCGAAAGTAAGCGCAGAGGGCGGCAGCGTTGGACGACGAGTTTTAGCCTCGCGCCACAATGAATCACCTATCCACTCGTTAGAAATCTCTCAGGTTTGTTTGTTAGCTGAAATTTTAATTCGAAAAGAAAATAATGATTTTATTTATTATTTTTTTTTGTACAGAATCTTTCTAATGATAATAATTTATTTGATGATAATGAAATGTCAAAAAAGAGAAATGATGAATTACAGGAGTTTATGGATGAACATGATCTTTTGTGGACCATTAAATTATGTCAGGATTCTCTATACGTAGAGCTTCCGCAAGAATTAAATGAAGGATCAAAAGAAATGTAAGTTATAACGAAAATAAATAAATAAAAATATTCAACAACTTATTTATGTAGGTTCGTCGATCTTTTGGAATTGGCTGATGATGTTTTACATTGTAAACATGTTATTGTTTGTTTTGATAAAACACGTACCGATCGTGCAAGTTTGGTTAGAACGTTCATGTTTCTCGGTTTTCATATTCTTTCACCTGACAATAATTTAATGGCATCCCATGATAAACAACAAGATCAATTGTCTATGGTTTATATCATTGATCATGATGATTAAATTTCATTTATCATTTTAAATATCTTATTATCTATTAGCAAGCAATTAAGTTCTCCTCTCCTTTAGTTCTTCTATTGTCTTTTTCTTTAGCGATCAAAAAATCGAACGCTTTTCGCTCGCTGTCTTACTTTCATTCACTTATCTTATTCTATGTTTGTCTTGTCATCTACTTTGTTGTGTGTCTGTTTGCTTCTGTTCGTGTCTCTTATTGATGAACAAACAAAAAACTAAAAAAAACAAAAATAATAATAACTAGAAAAAAAGGAATCTTCTTTGTGCTTATTATCAAATTAAGACATTCTTTTCCATATTAAAAATCAAGCAACATTTTCCTTTTTATTTTGATGTTTTTTTGTCTTGCGGCAAAGCCTTATGTAACTGCACTCGGAGTTTTTGATTCATGAGTTTTCGTTTGCTTATATTATGCCTTTAATGTCTACTAGTTAGTGTAAGAGAATTTGAAAATTTATATGTCAGTATTTTATTCCATTATGTCTTCTATATATATCTATTGAAACACTGAAGAAAAAATAAAATGAGAAAAAATAAAAAGTTATTTTGTTTTCTTATCCTTTTGATACTAGTTTCAATAGAATAGCAAAATAAAGATAAAAGAAACCGATTGAGAGTGGTGTCAGCTGGAAAACTGATTATAGAATAATATGTTCTATACAATTAAAAAACGACCGAGACAAATAATTCCGTCTGTTTACCTGTTTTATCAGTGAATATGAAATTATTTTTTCCTACATTTATTAAGCTCATAAAACAAGAAAAAAATAAGTACACTATTATTGAAAATTAATTGATATTATTGCCAAAATAAGAGCCATCAAGGGAAAGGAAAACAACATACAAAAACAAACATAGACATGATGGAAATGCCTACGCAATCCGCAATTAACCATTTGTTCGTTTTTTCCATTCTTTGTAGTTTCGAATATTTAAGTATTAAAAATAAGTTTGACGAAACCCTGAATAATAGTTGCATATGAAAAAAAGCAAAATCAGAAAATGACTGAATAATTACGATTGCTGAATTCGGTTGTTTAATGCATTTTATATAATGAATTGCAGCTATAATTACAACGATGTGAATCTTTGGTCTGACATTTTTTACAAGATTCCTGATGTTAATTCTATTCGGCTTATTTTCCTCTAGTCTACCAGTTCACAATCAAATGACGCCATAGTATTATTAATCTGCGTGAACTATTAATAATAATTTTTTGTAGCGAAAAATCTTCAAAAAGGTTTTGTTTTTTATCAATGATTAGAAAAGATTAATATTAATATACAATAGGCTAGAGTAGCAAAGGTCACCAAAGTTATTTTACTATGGCTAAAATTAAAATCATGAATACTAAGAAATATTTGTCTATTTCGTTATTTGAATAATCATTGTTTTTGTTCTTTTGTCTTCATTGTTAAAAAGTCACGACTCCCAAAGAATAATCTTTTGTAATTAGTGATGCATCTGAAGGAATTCTACAGATGTCACCTATGAGAATCGCATGAATTTCCTTGCATATTTCCTAAATGTAGATGAAATTCTTTTATTTTTATTTTCTCTTATCAAAAAAGACATGAACTCACAAAACGTCTTTATAAAACATGAAAAATCAATTTATATAAGAAAAAAAAGGAAATCAAAATGTAATGTTGATCAGATCAGAATATTAGTTCTTCTGACACTTAAGTCTATTATATGAATGCAAAAATAAATTTAAGCCATGTCAACAACAACCCTAACTTGTTTCGTTGACGTTAACAATATTATTCGATTGATCATTTGCTATCGTTTATTTAAAGCATAATACATACACTCGATGTCACGCCAAAGGGTCGAGTTGTTCGTATTAATAAACTGATCGATCCAAACAAAATAACATTAATCAACCTAATCGTGTTGGGTTTTTGTCTTGTATACAAACGAGCATAAAATATCAAATACGTTAGTATTCATTAAAAATCATCGTATGAGAGAGAAAACATGATGATGTCAAGCGTTCAACAGAGCAAAAAAATTTAGAGAGATTTTCATTCATTTGGTTTGATACAGCAATAAATAATTCATTGGAAAATACCGAATGACATGAACGTTTACATAGATCTATTATTGATTTGAAAACCTTTCAAAATAGTGATAAATTTTTACATTATATAGAAACATTATTAAATAATCATTTTGTACTCATTACTAGTAATCATTCAGGTAAAAAAAAATCATTCCTATGATACACAGTCTCAGACAAGTCTATTCAATATATATTTATGGCACGCAAAAAAAAACATAACAAGTAAACGATGGCTTGAAAATATCCAAAAGTTAAAGATTTTATTATTAAATTCGATGATTTAATATCACAAATACGTTCTTATCAAGAACCATCTAATCCAGCCAGACTAAATCAACCATTATCAATAAGATGTTGTCTTAGAAATAATGAATTAAATGACGATTATCTTTTACAGATAAAACCAATATCTTTATGTAAAGATGAAAATCAATTAAATATTATACGTGAATTTGAACGTAATTATTCATATAATCGAGCATTATGGTGGTATACAAGAGAAACATTTATTAGTAATTTATTGAATGAAGCTTTTCGTTTAGGAAATATTGATTTATTATTAAGATTTCATTTTTTTATTAACGATATTCAACGATTAATTGAGAAAAATCGATGTACAAAATCTCGATGCGTTTATAGAAGTTATTCAATGCCAAATGAAGAACTTCAATTTTTTCAAAATTCTATTGGAGAATTTCTATCAATATTTATTAAAAGCACTGTCCGATGTTCATGCAAATATAGCTGATTCATATTATGGATTAGGAATCATTATGGATAATAAAGGAGATTATGAATCAAGTTTAAAATGGCATAAAAAATGTATTCAAATTAGAAACGAAACTCGATTAATGAATGATTCAAGTATTGCCTATATTTACAATAGCACAGCTAATGTTTATCAAAAGCAAGGAGCTTATAAACACGCATTAGAATATTATAATAAAACATTAAATTTATGCAAAGAAATTTTCGGTGAAAATCATTCTGGCATTGTCATGCGTTTAAATAACATGGCCTGTATATATGCAAGTGAAAAAAGATATTCCGAAGCACTTGAATGCCATCGAAAAGCTCTGATAATTAACCAATCACATTTACCTGACGATCATTTTGATTTTAGTGCAACACATAATAATCTTGCGATCGTTTACAGTTATATGAGTCAATTCGATTTAGCATTGGAACATTTTAATGTGCCATTAGCAATTAAATCGAAATCTACTTTCATAAATCAACTTGATACAGCATTAACATTGAAAAATATCGGTCTGATTTATGAAATGAAAGAAGATTTTTTACAAGCGAAATCATTTTACGAAAGAGCTGCTGCTATTCGTCATCACATTCTATCGTCAACGCATTGTGATGTGATTCAAATTGAACACGATATTAAACGAATTTCAATCAAAATTAAAGAAAAAATAGTCACATAGCAAAATAAAAAGATAAAGGAAGCAATCTAAAATATTTCATGATTCACGATATCAACACAAATTTTTAGCATTTTTGCCGTCATGATATAGTTATCTTCGTAGATTCTTGCAATAGATCGCGATAAACAAAAGATTAAAATTATTTTTTAGAAATTCTGCAAGTAATGCATACATGACATTTGAAAAATCTTACATAATCCATATTTACCATCAGATTTTATTTTCAAAGGGCAAACGACGATGATTATTGAATATCAACTTAAATCCAAATATTCTACTGCGATTGTAAAAAGTAAAGTTCGCAGTTCACAGATCGTAGGACAAATTGTTTTTTGTACTGATAAAGTGCAACGAAATTGTACTTTCATCGAACTATTGAATTTGACGGTAAACAAATAAAACTACAGGAAGTTTCTAAATGCGATTCAATCAGTTTTCAAGTACAGCCTTCATTGTAATTATCAAATAGTAACACATTGCTACAAAAAGATTCATAACAGTTTATCTAACTGTTGTTTATTCATCCGGTGTTTTTAAATATATTCTTTGAACGTTTCTCAGCATGAAACACAGATGATTTTTGTCATGTCTTGAATAAAAGAGAACTTGAAAATAAGCATAATAAATGGTAACCTTCCTGGCATGTTCACTGTAGCACAGCTGATACCATTGCTTTACAGCAGCTTCCGGTTTAAAAACATGCTCTGAAAGAATGTTTCGCTTGCTATTGCTTGTATCACAAGCCTGATATTTCGTTGAATCCGTTGTGGTTGATATATCATAACGATAGTAATTACAGCAGATTTTAACCTTGATTGACATGTATCAATAAGGAAGAAAAGTTCAGTTCGATACTAACTATTCACAGCAGATGCATTTTGATTCTTGTAAGATTGATCATGGAGCAATAAAAACGTTTTTTTTTGTACACAATAAATGTTTCATTTCATTCTTTTTTTTTTTAATATTCATATTATTATAAATAAGAAACACACAAAAGGCAAATAATATATATGTGCGAATGAGGATATAGTAATTTTAAGTCGCACATCATCAATATGATCACTGTGTGTGAAGGTAGATTTAAAGAGCAAAAAAAGAAAACGAAGAAAAGGCAAGGAATGACAAGACAAGACAATAATACACACAAACACAAGAAAGAAAAACTGAAGTTCGCACATTTTTTCCTTCTCTATTAAAGAAATTGCCATTCAAGTGCATGAATAAGGGCTGTAAGGTTTTGATGTTCACTGACACGCCAGAATGGCCAGGCAAGCTAAAAGCAAAATAGATATTGAATGAATAAATAAGATTATTGAAACTCACTTGTTTCGCTGCTAATTCTTCATCACGTCCATCGCCAACGACAACATATGTTGGTTTTCGGCCAAATCTTGTATGTATACGTTCAAAACAACTTTCTTTACCAATTTTCGTTGCACTATATATATTTTCTATATCAAATACACCACCGAGTCCATATAAAACAACTTTTGATAAGGCTGGTACAAGTTGACATGTTGTTACAAGAACATTAATACAATTTTTTCTAAATAAATCAAAAGAATTCGTTCGTTTTTTGTTCGGAAAAAAATTATTTAACATTTTCATTTACCTCTGTTTAATAATATTTAATGCTTTAATAGCTAATGTAAGCCATGACCCAGTTAATCCTTCAATATCGACACGTAATTGAAGTAGTTCTTCATATTTTTGTTGGCCCAGTAAAGCTAATTAAAATAATTAAGAGTATTGAAAAATGAAAATATGCTAATAGAATCTACTTTGTGGATTTGTTCTATATGTATTATAAATTTCTTTTATGCGTCGATAACGAAATGCTAATTTACGCATCCAATCTACTCCACCACGAACTGTACTACTGATACATGGATTATTAACATTTGTCGATGAGTGAAAGCCATCAGCAGCAAAATTGTAATTACTAAATAAACAAGAAAATATATTTTTCAAATAAAGTTGAGCGACTGTCAAATAAAAACCCACCAGAAATACATCGAGTAAAATTCTATTAATAATTATCAAAAGTCGAATAATTAGATATTATATTCCGAATGACCATTATTGTCATCGTGTTCTAATCTTAGCTTAAAAAATTTGATGACCTCATTACTTGATATGATGAAATCGAATATTTTGAACATGATCATAATCAAGCTTAGATATGCGTTGATGTTTATGAGATAAAAGCAAATACTTTGGACTTATTTACCTCGAAAAAGTCAATGACCAAATTCTCCGCCTGTCGATTTAAAAAAGCTGAGTAGTCATGCAAGATCTTATTTAAATTACCTTAAATCTTGTCCATTATCATCTGATGAAACATCATCAATATGAACTTGATCACATTCTTCAAGATCATTAAAAAATAAATGTGCATCAGCTAAATTAAAAATAATTTCTTCAATACGTAAACCAAGTGACATTGCTGTTTGAGCATCCTAAAATAATACCAAACAAATTTTAGAAAAAAAACATACAGATTAAAATAGATCAATATACTTTTTGATAACGTTGAGCGTATGTGCCTGTCAATAGTGAATGTAAAATAATAATTGTTTCATCTAAATCCCAAACAAATATTCGTTCAACTTGATTATCTGGATCTGGTGATGCTTGTTGCTGCTGAGTTTTACTTCGTCCACGATTGTTTTTAGATTTTGATGCTACAAAATAAAACAAAATCTATTTTTCAGTTTCTTTTTTTGTTTTGTTTATTTCAAATACATCGTGCACTGGTTTCAGTTTTGATAGATGGTGATGGAGAATTAGGTGATGAAAGTACACTTGGATTTGTATAATGACTAGGATGATCAAGAAGTGTCGGTGGAATAGATTCGACTTGATATACATGAGGATTTTTAGCTGATGACGTTAATTGATTAGGTGAGGTTGTTGATGAATTAAGATTATATGGAGAAGGATAAGAAGATGTCGGATAACATGGATAGGCAAGTGAAGGCTGAAATTGATGATAATAACTTGCGTCGAGACCCTAGGAAAATAATTCAATTATGATCATTTTTCTCACATATTTCTTCTTTCATACCGATTGAGTACCGTACGGCGATGCACTAGTTAAATTATTAGCATTTGGCGCACCAGTGGAGTAAGCTTTAAAAAAAAATGAAATTCAATTCATTGAAACTCTGTAGCTGTTAGAACTTACTGTCTGGTAGTGGATACTGAAAATTTAAAGATGAATATCCATTTGGCGCTGTATTATAGTATGGAGGTATATTGACATTGACATATCCAGGCGATGGAAATGTATAGCTTGCCATCGACGGTTGTCTAAAATAAAAATTGTATGTTTCTCATACGTTCCATGTCTCTTACGTCTTTTTAATTTAAACGTGTCTATATGATTTTCTTTATGGATATAGAACAAAATCACAAGTCTAGCATGATCCATGACTGTGACCCTTTTTTTGTTTGAAGAGGAAAAAACTATCTGATTACTTGCACGAGTGAAATCTTACCTTTATTCCTTGTGGAAGAAGAAGAACAAGAGGAAAAAAAAGATAAAGCAAACGTTCGGCAGAGAACAATATTTCTCGTACTCTCCTCTCTCACCGCTTTCCTCATTTTTTTTTTGAATAAAACACGAACGAATCAAAAAGAAGAGAAACTCAAAGGACAAAAAAAGTTGTATGATTTTTACTATTTCTTTTTTTTTTGGGGGGGGGGGGGGGGGCCCCCCCCCCCCCCCCCCCCCCCCCCCCCCCCCCCCACTCACCCGTCGAATACTGTCGGATTGTGTTGATTATAATTATTATGATTCGTCGTTGTTTTTGTTAAAAAATCTTGTTCATCATCTAAACATATGAAATATTTTCCCAAATAAATGAAATTCTGTCTGTTCTATTCTCGACATGATTATTGACCACTTGTCTGTCTGTCTATTCTGATTTATTATCAATTTTTTTATTCACGTGAATCTGTCCGTTTAACAATTTAAAATACGACACATGCTCGATAAGTTTCATATTACTGATTAACTTTTTTTCTTCTTCTTCTTCTTCTCCTACCGTTTGATGATCGTTTACGTTTTGATACAACAAGATCAATTGGAACAGATCTAAAAAAAAAATATAGCTATGTAGACATTTATTCAAACGAACTTGTAACTACTTGCTCTGATGGGTCACAATTTGTTTTAATGAATTTAATTGTAGGCTAGAAAAGAAGAACAAAAAAAAACGATAGACACCACCACCATACAGTTATCGATCAAAGTTGGGAAAAAATGTGAGAAAATTGGCATCCTGTTGTTAATGATGTTATATAGTAACAATTATTTTCTTTGATAATCATGTCCAACGAATAAAACAAAACTAAAATATCAGCATAGTCAAGTTTATCTTATTGATTAAGAATGTTCTTGAAACACTACTATGGATGCAAAATATGCAAATAAGTTATTGATAAATAGATTGCTTCTATTTATCCCCTGAGCGAACATTGTCAATTTTTCTTCGCCCATTGTCTAGACAAAGCAATCGACCGTACTAGTGTAAAGTAGAAGATCGACATGTAATCCCTCTTTCGTTTCTATTTAGTTACCATGTGTGTTTGAGTAAGCATTAAGGAAAGTCCATCTTCTCCGCCCCTGCTGGTGTGAAAACATTATTTCCGCTCAATTATACATTGGTACACAAGCACTTACTTTTTTTTTGTATATATGTATATGTATCTATCACACTTTTATATGCATACACGTGTATATATATAAGCACACAAAACACCTCGGGCCCGACATCATCAACATTGTTGTGTCCTTGATTTGATTCGGAATCTAAGATTACGACGAGTTGCCATTTCGTTAGTATAGGTATGTGTTCCGCATAATGGACTCGTTCGGCTACAACGGCGAGTGTGTGCGTGTGTCTAACTCACTCAATGGTTACATGGTGAAAGGCATCAAAGGACAGAACGACAGTATATAATTTGTTTGTTTGTTTGTTTGTCGATACGTG